CCTTGCAAGGTTACATGCGTCACTTTTGCAATGTTGATCTTGCGTGACGTCATTTATGACGTCATTAGGGTCATATTAGTTTGTCGTCAATAACTCCCGATCAATTTGAGCTAACGAGTCGGGAAAGCAACCAATGGACTCAGGAAGACCTGCCGAATCGAATGATATGCGATATCCCGCGAGTTGCTGGGGGGGGGGGCGTTAAACGCCCCCACTTTTTTCGCCGGGCCATAGCATAAAAACGGCGCGCCGCAGGCGCGCCAAATTTTGGGTACCTGTAGGGAATTGATTGAAGTTTATTGTGACAAAGTTTCAAAAAAATCGGTCGGAAAATTTTTGAGATATCGAGGTTTTAGTGACGTCATGATTTCTGAGTTCTCGACCAAAAACGGCATATGTTCAAAAAATAATATAAAATCACAGAATAGACATACAGACATGCCGTAAACGCCATTAGACTGCCAATACCATGAACAATCAAATGGTTATCTTCGATTGTTGATTATCGTTCCACATTTTCCAAAATCTTGAACTGAATCTTGGCAATTTCTCGTGACTTCTTCACGACCATGATACATGCATTTCTTAAATTGAACTTTTTTAGCCAAACACGTACACATATGGTAAAATGAATGTCACCATCGTGTTCTACGCCCAAAATTACCTATAAAACATGTGTCACAGGCTGCGAATATCAGTTTTGATTTTCGGGGATATGTGCCTGCCCGGTTGACCTGACCTTGACCCTGACCTATGCTTGACTGACCCCTATATGGAGCTGACTTTCTTGTAGGCCTTATATGATGGATTGTGCACCGTTTTGACAGAGTTTATGACGAGAGGCGCCCATTGCGCAGGCCTGAAGTCCATGCTACTGAAAGCCCGATTTCAGGTGTTTGACCTGACCTTGACCTGACCTGTGACCTCAAAATTCGACTTCAAAGTACTCATCTGAAGCGTCTCGTCGCGTTCTTTCGTTTGCCGCCTCGTGCGTTTCGCTGCGCCTATTGGTTCTCGAGTTATCGGCTGGGATCGTTTAACGCCCCCCCCCCCCAGCAAACGGTGGGTGGCGAAATACCCCAGCAACTGCCGGGTTAAGACCTACTTCGACCAATGTCGTGACCTGGGGGCGCTGGCCTGACCGTGACCTGAGGTCAACACCTTTAGTTGACCTCACCCAAACAAAAAGTATACCATTTGACGCGCCTGAGCGAGGCAAACACGATGCTGCCAAAATCGCGGCTCTGCGGCCGTGTTTTGCGAAGTTATTCACCAAAAATGGAACCGTACCATGGGGCACTTGACCTGACCTGAGAGGTCACCGGTTGACTAGGACCTTAAAATCGGGTATCAATCTCCGCGTCTCGTAACGGCGCACTCGCTCGCTTTTCCGGCGACGCGCTAGCTCCTTCAGGGACGAAACGGCGAGGGGGGTCGTACCCGCCCTCGTTTTAGCCCCCGGCCCCCACAATAAACTTCTGTCACTTCCCTACATGTACCTACCCACGCAAAATTTGGCACAAAAAAACATCGTTCCTACGCTAAAATTCTGCACCAGTAATATTCCCAGTGTTCGTGCCTACAAACGGGCCAATTGTCTATATGGACTCTCAGCTGCTCCCGGGTCATACACAGCGCCTCGCCGACTGAGCGTAGCCAGGCGACAAGCCAGCCCGTCACCGCAAGAACGGCGCTGCCTCCCCCTCCCCTCCTCCCGACCCCGTCCCCCGACCCGCGCGACATTCCACAGGTCACAATAGTGACTCCCCTCTCTCAGCTGACCCGTCCTCAGGTGCGGTGTACACTGGACAAATACCTCTGTCGGGCTGACGGGGTCCATGTTTGAACAAGGGATTAAGGGAAGCCTTCAAACATCTCAGACGGAGTTTTCGCCGAAACTACCAGCTAGCGCCATCCACCGGTGAACGGCGGTACTAAACTTCATTCGCTAGTTCCCGAAACGACACACCATGACCTGTGCCCTGCTGTGTGCCCTGACCTGTACCCTTCCCTCTAAAATGTCCTGTGCCATGCCCTGTAATCTGCCGTGCCCTACTTTTTGCCCTCCACAGTGCCCTACTCTGTTCCTTGCCCTGTGCCCTTAGTCGTAGCGCGTGCCCTCTGCTCAACTTTGGGACGCAGTAAAAATTTGTTAAAATATGCCCTGTCTAATGTCTACATATAACTGAGAGCACTACTGGAACTGCAGGAGTGTTGACCTGTTATGATTTTTTTTATATGTGTCTTTATTTTGACGGTGTTCGCATATAACTATTTTGTTTGTTTACATGTTTCCTTTGGGGAAGGTGCTATTGAAGACACAAAGGCTGAAGACTTCCATTTCGCGTCTAGCTAGACACGTCTAAGTCTTAGACGCATCCAGCTGGACGGCCGCTGCGTCTATCTGGCGACAGCTAAATTTAGACGCGTCTAGCTTGGAAGTCTCCGTCCAACAGTTAGACGCCAAGTTAGACGCCAACCTGGACGTCTGCTCAGTTAGACGCCAGTTGGACGCCAGTGGAAGTCTCCACCCAAAACGAATCAGCAGAGGGTAATGATTGTTTCATTATGTTTGCCCGCTGATTAGTTTTATCTGAGCCCTCCCCAGCCGAGGGAGGTTTGTGCAACTCCATGGCGGTTTTCTCGCGCTTATCCAAAGCGCGTTAGAGAAAGAGAGACAAAAGTTGGCATGCCTGGCCTTTGATTGAAGCTAAATCTTGAGGCACCAGTCATATGACCTATAACGCCATAACAGAACCCTGGCACGGTCCAAAAATAAATGCCGCAATTTAGCGACATCCTCACTCCTTAGTGAGAGAAAATATTTCGCTGGGAAATGAACATCACAGAAAGCAGTGAGCTTCCGAGCCCTTATAACGTGTAAATACCTATCTCTCGGATTTTTCATACGTTTTAGTTTTGCCTGAGGTCAGTTCGGCACATGACTTCATTACTAGGCATAGGTAAATTAAAGTGAAAAAACACGGAAAATGTTATTTTTGCGCCGGAATAACCTAAGGCAATCTTAAGCGCTCCTAAAATCACAAGTTCCTCACTCCTTGCAAGGTGCGACGCTTAAGTTTTGAATGGCGGTCCCTCACTATACGGTCGCTTTGAGGTCATCGTTTTTTTTTTGTTTATACCTAACCTTCGATCAAATAAAACTAGCGAGTCGGGCAAGCCACCAAAAACGGACTATGCCTTGGGACACTTGACCTGTCACCATTTAAAAGTCACCATCTGATATAAGACCTTAACCCTTTTCCGGGGGGAGGGGGCTTTGAAAGGTTCGATTCTGGGCCTTTTCGCCCTCTTCAGATCTAAAAAAAAACACACACACATTCGAGCGATAAACGGCAAACGGTGTTTGATGGGCCGTTCAAAGATCTATAACTTTTACATACGCCTTTTCATTATCGGAACAAGTCAATATTGAGGTCACCAGAGGTCATCAACGATAAAATGTTTTGGAAATGGTTACTTATATAGGCAACTTTTGAACTAAGAAACACAGAGACATAAAATTAGTACATTTTTGCTGCTCTCGTCGAGGCGATGCAAAATAAGTATGCGAAGACCTTCACAGGTCAATTTGAAATTTGACCCGAGGTCAACGTCAGGTAATTCACCAATGAGGTTGTAGGGTATGGCCATGCTGCATATCAAACGACGTACCTTGACCAGGCGAGCAGTTTCGTACCACTTACAAGTCTTTAGCGCCATCATGTCGTGATTTATTGACGAAAAACTATCTATGACGTCACATGACCTCAGATGACCTTTCCCGGTTCTCCTGTCAACAAGTGGCATCAGGATCATCACTGATGATAATCTTCCACAATACTGAAAGAGCTGGGTGGTTTTGACTCGTTTACACGAAGCAGGAAACAGTGGCGGATCCAGGGGGGGGGGGCAAAATGGGCATTTGCCCTCCCAAACGGCATAATTTTAACATTACGCCTATGGACGAGGCATGGAAAGAATCGATAAATTGTTATGATTTGCCCCCCCCCCCCAAAAAAAAACGCTGAGCTGGATCCGCCTCTGGTAGGAGGCATTTCAATATTTTCCCACAGGCTTGCAATGTAAAGGTCACGAGTCTGGCCTGACCTCAGCCCAAAGATATGAAACTTCTGAGATATAAAATTGGACATACCTACTGGTATATAATTAACTAAAACCTGAAGAGAAACAATTGATCAGTCAGTCTCCAGCTCTGGCGTGATTGCAAACTCTTCTGAGGCGGGGTCAACAAGCCGCCTATGGTGACCTGACCTGACCTGACCCGGCAACTTTTTTGTCAAAATGTACACAATGAATGTTTAGGAAGTCAGCGAGTATGAACTTGCGGCGTTCAGCAATGGCACAAGAAAAACCTAAGGGGGGTCGAATCGCCCCCCCGCCCGGAATAGGGTTAAAATTGGGCACCAGTCGCTGTATATCGTATCGGCGCACACCATCGTTTTTTTCGCGAAGCTCTAGAAGTCTAGACCAATTAGGGGGGGGGGGGGCGGCGAGGAGGTCCCCCATCTAACGAGGAGGTAGAAAAGCGATAGATCCGGCGAGGGTTGTTCCACGTGTTACCTTTTGGGTGCAGTAAATACTAGCCTCCGTGGCCCATGAAAAAAGTTAAAAAGGGTTGGTTGACAACTTTGAATAATTAGGAGACATGTTTTTGTCGCTATTGTCGGATGCGATTCCTGCTACGATTGTGAGCCAGCATTTTTCGATGGTGCTGCGCGACATCCCAATGTTTCTCCAATCTCTGCGTGCTTCCGGCAGCGGAGGCGCGGAGCGGCGCCTCCCGCCCGCCTCGACGGCGCCCGCTCGCGGATTGACCCGAGGCGACCGCCGACGGCCCCTCTGAGGCGGGGGATCGGCGGGGAGGGGGTCGACTGCCTGCGTACCTGGCCGCTGCCAGCCGGCCGCTCATTGGTCGGCGCCCTCTGACGTCAGAGGCAAGAGTTGATCGATGCTGGCTGGCGGCCGAGCGGCTAGTCGGGCCCGAGTCCCTAGCGCCGTTTGGTCGCCGCTGGTTGCCGGCGCGACGCGTGCGCCTATTTTTGAACGTCTATTTTCAGATTGTTGTATTTGACTCGATATTTTCGTTGAGTGGCCGCGTGAGAACGTGGAATTGCGTGAGAGCCACGACATTGGGGCGCCACCGACCAGCGCCGGCTCCGGAAGACAGCAGCAGCGGCGCCGGACTTGTAGGCGCCACCACTCCGCAATCGACTGTCTTCACCGGGAGCCCAGTAAGTGTGATATGTCTTTAGTCCGTGTCCGTCCGCCCCTACGGCAGCAGCTGCACGCCGCTCTCGGCAACAGTGGCGGGACCACCGAACTGGGTACCAAGGTGAGACTCACTCCCCGAGCGCGGCCCGGGCCCGCGGGTGTGTGCGGAAAGTGCGGACGGCGGCGGCCGCGCCGGCCCGGCACCTGGAGCCCACATGCGCTGCCGCCCGTCCGACCGGCCCGGGCCGCGATCGGGACAAACAAGTGCCGCCCCACGCCGCCCGCGCCGCGGCCATGGCAGACGCGAATCCCGGTCGGCGACCCCTGCCAACCCCAGCCGGACCCCGGCGGGCCAGCATGGATGTGCCGCTCCTTGGCGGGGGACCGACCGACCGACTGGAGACGCCTTGCATCGGCCTGTCATTTGAGCCAGCGGAAGGGGTGGTTTCGACAACTGGGACCCGGCTGGCTGGTTGGGGTCCTCGGCAGATCAGCCAAGACTGTCAGTGGTGGTGGAGACGGTACTTCGGTCACTTTCGGCGCTCTCACAGCCTGCTGTGGAGAGCCAGTACCTTCCTGTAAGGGATACGACCGGCGGGATGGTACCGGACACCGGTACCTTTCCTGTGAGGGGACAGATAGGCTGGGTGGTATAGTACCGACTAGAGATGTCAATCGGATACCAACTTTTTGGTATACCGATACCAAACCGATACCAAATCGGTATTTGGTATTTCAATCCTAATGTGTTTGGTATTTTGTTGGTATCATGAACCCTCGCTAATGTTTAAAAGGTTATGAAATCGGTAAAAACTTGGTATTTTCCTCATGTTCCCAAGTTGGTTTGGTTTCGGTATTTCTCCAAGGTTTTGGTTGGTATTTGGTTTGGTATCGGTATTCCGATGTTCCGTAATTGACATCACTAGTACCGACTGGTACTTTCTCTGTGAGGGCACAGAGACATATGGTGTAGTACGTATTCCTGTGGCAAAGAGACAAGCGGTACGATGACTTTCCTGTGAGGAGATACACTTCTGATAATGTGCATCGGTACCCTCCCTTTAGAATGTAGATACACCACAGATTGAAACCACACCACCTTCCCGTGCTGATGAGCAAGGGCAGGTGCTGCTTTTTCCCCTTGCTGAGACTTGCAGACGTTATCTCTCATGCGTGGGACCAGACGGTTCCTCTACTGCCTTTTGGAGACAAATGACACCTGTTTGTGTGGTGACAGACAGATATTCACACGATGGATACCCTCCCAGTGGGCAGTGAAGTACAGATTCACAGATACGGTCTCTCCTGTGTGCGTGTACCCTCCCCAGGGACTGACTGTAACTCTCCCGTAGACGACAGGTGGTGCACTCCTGTTTGGAGACGGGCAATACCCTCCCTTCCCTCAGTGCGGCCAGGCATTACCCTCTCATTATCCTCCCGTGGGAGGGTGGAGGGGCACACGGTTCCTGCCTTTCTCTGAAGGGACCGGACGCCTTCCACAATCCACACCGAGCGGACGTGAGTGGCAGTCCGTATTGACCGGATCGCGAGGTCAAGGTCGTATGGACGATGCTCGCCGTATATAAAGACGCTCCCGCTAAAGAGAACCTTAAACGTTGCCAGGGCATTTTTTACTATGATAGCCAATTATAAACCGCAATCAACAGTCAACACGACGAAAAATCCTTACAGCTATAGAAACAGACAGCAACAAAGCTCTATCAGGTAAGAGTGCCTTGCCCACAGTAAAAACGCATATAGAGATCGGCACAAATTTAGTTCGACATGTTGAAATATTTGTAAGTTTAAATTAAAAACGTTAAAAGACATCCAATCAAATAAAATGAACTCGCACATGAACGCCAGCTCAGCCTGTGGCGCTGCTGCAGGTACCGACCATTCTCCGTGCCACAGGTTGCGGAACCACTCCTTGACCATTCGCACTACACGAGCCGCTATGGTGTCTTCCTGAAACACCACTACGGTCTACGCACCGTGGATTACGTTTGTACGTACCTAACTGGCGGGGCGGAAGGTCGCTAACGCAGCAGTGAAAAGTCCATCGCCTCGTTGAGCAGCTCACGGCTTAGAGCAATCATTGTACATTTTCAAGAAACATTACTCGCAGCCGCAGATGGACTGTTCTTTCAGTTACTGCGTAGAGGTCTCTTCTCGGAATGCGAAGCTAATGCCACGAGTGGGCACGGCAAAATTACGCTTTATTGCTGATCGTTTCATACTCGACCAGTCCTCAGTTAAATCGATTACCTATCTCCCCATCATTTAAAATGTTAGTTACTTCATATTTGATAATGGCTCTCCTCGGTGTAGACTATGGTCTTGTTGCCAGTCATTGACTTCGACTTCCCTGTGCCAAGCTGACTGAACAGCCGTGTGGACCAGGGTGGCATCAGGCGGAGCGAGAGAAATGCACAAGCACTGCTTTGGACAGCAGATCCTTGGCATGTCGAAGCGTCAAAACTGATGCGAACATGAGGACGCTTTACTGCAAGACGCTTTACTCAGTATGACGAAGTGGGATCGGCGAACCCATAACTTCATCTCATGTGCAAGTTACCGTAGTTACCGGAACCGCAACTGATCCATAACGTCGATCAGTCCACGCGCAAGATGCTCCCGCATTATCCACGTTCAGGCTGTCGGCACATTTGCAAAGCGGAACACCAAGGACTGCGTCGTCTTTAATCTGTTCATTTTTTGTTAATGAAATGCGGCTGAGCGCGTAGGAAATCAGACTGAAGCACATTATGCAATGAAACAATCTGATCGTGGCTGTGTGTCGGTTGCACAGTAGCGAAAGCATCTTCAGCATAATAGCATAGCGTAATACAGGATCCGCATAGTTTAACGCCGCCATTGACCGTGGTCAGTACCTATTCCTACGTAATCTTGTTACCTAAGCTTTCCTGCGCTTTATGCATCGCCACTGCATATATAGGGACATACATGTAGACATATACCTACCTTGGTATACTCACCTTGGTATGTCATGGGATGCTATTATGTCACAGCCAACATTTCATGATGACTGCCGAGATTCTCGCATTCGGTGAAGACCATGAATCTGTTTTATTGCCGGGTCGACTCGCAATACCGTTGGCATGAGGTTCACCTTGGAGCGAGTGTATAGCGCTGTGCCGAGGCACTGCACTGGCAGTCCGGATGCGGGACTGCAGAATTGTGGTGACCGAGGACTGGCTAAGAACCGGTTCCAAGGTTATCTATCAACTCGTAGCTGTGTAACGGCTTGGGCCGCGAGTTCCCGGCAGTGGGATGCACCTATTATAGTACGTATACGAGTACGGCTTTCAATTGTTAGTGGAAAACTCCAGCCTAAACTGTGCCACTTTGTGTGATATGGGCAAGCGATAAGTCGTACGGCGTACCCTACACACAGCTTCGGGAACATTGATGTGACGAATGGAAATAACGTGTATTCTGCTTGACTGCGAAACTAATGTATCGTCTCTCTTTTTTCAGGAGGCATTCAGCTATCGTAGCTCGACTTGCCCACAGAAACTGACACAATGGGCCGCAAGAAAATTCAAATATCTCGCATCACCGACGAGCGGAACAGACAGGTCAGTCAGAACAGCCCGCATTCATTCAAGGGAATGAATGACTTGATGTGCTTCTATCCCTTACATATGGTGACGATAAATGCGAACTAACTTTATAACCGATCATTGAATTAAATGCTCTCTACAGATATTCACCGTACGAGTTATTCTGCCGTTATTTCACTTCTTCGCCCGCTCCCGCACCTGCGATTACCCATCATGCTAGTAGGTATTCACCGGGGGAGTTGATCTGCTATCGGCGCCGTTTCCTCCTGGGTGATAACCTTTTTCAATACAATCATAGAATGGCTTGAAAACAAAGAATCCAATGGTACCGAAATAAAAGTTACTAGGCCAAAGATAAGCTTAGGGTAAGACTTAACTTAAAATTGTAGCTGTTTTAGATCACCGTGTAGGAAAATATCGAAAGTTGGCTTAACCCCCACCGGAGTGGGGGTGTTTGAACATCCCTGCGGTTTTTGAAGGTATCTCAAAATCAGCGGCGCGGAGCCCCATTGCTTTTGACACACCTGTTCTCGCATCTGTTCAGCACATGTTGTGAGAATTTCAGATCCATGTCGCTCAAGGTCAGATCACCAGGTCACGTCAAGTGACCTTACCTCAGAAAAGGTTGAAATGCTCGCCATAGCTACGTCGTTAACGATCGTTTTTAAGCTTTCAGCGCTTGATAAGAGTAATAGCATGTATAAAACGTTTATCTCGGAATTTAGATATGTGACCTAATTTTGTCAATGTCTGTGACCTAATTTTGTGGCCAATTTTGCGACCTCTCAATTATAAGTCAATGGAAGAAAATTGAAATGCTCATCTTTTGGATGAACGTCGTTCTAAACACTCTCAAACATTAGTTTATGGGTAAGCATGACGGACTGAATGGGAAAATTGCACCCGTGACACCTCGTTGTGCCTCTGAGGTCATTTCAGGTCATGAAAGGTCTCCAGCAGTTTTTACCATAACTTTTGATAGATACATGCTAGAGCGGTGAAAACACTTCAGACATGTGTTCAGCTCGACGATACGGATCGACTGATATAGGTACAACATGACCTTTTCCGGTCAGGTCATGACATCAGGCCTTGACCTGATGTCAACTTTTCAAAATGACATTGCATTCTACGCGTCTCGACGAGAGACACGCGATGCTGGCAAAAGTAATGTCGTGACTCTCTCGAGTCAAAAGTTATTACAGAAAAAAAGTTTTTTTTTTCGTAAAAAAACGGCTATTATTAGTTTTTGCCCTCTGGAGGCTAAATCGTTGACCTGAGGTCAAATCCGAAGACATGATGGCGAAAGAGCGTTGAAGGAGCTATGGAATGCGCTTTTCCGCAGCGCTGTATCTCTATTGGTTACCGAATTATGCGTCGGGTGCTCGAAAATTGTTGGAATAGGCAAACTTTGGCCTTTGATGACCTCTGGTGACCTGCCTTTTGACCTGACCTAAACAATGACAGAATTGTTTTCATTATTTTTTACGCTCTTTCTAATGCCGCTTACCTCGTGTCGCATGGCCCAGGAGCCGATTTAAACGGGGGGGGGGGGGGGGGGCGTGAAAACACGACGCGACGCGGAAAACTCAGATTGCCCGGTGGGGCAAAGATACATAAAATGTGCAATATCTTTATAATGACCTTGACTTTGAGCTTGAGCACACCATAGGACTCCTTTGAATGTCTTTTTTATGTGTGATATTTCGTTGACAATTAGGTAATTATTTGGGCCATGCTTGAGCGCTGGTCACTGCGAAATGCTGGTGATGACCTCTTACCTTGATCTTTGACCTTACAAATTTACCTGAAGTCAAAATTTTTAGATCCTTCATAATTGTTTTGATGAGACCTTTCCTTTTGCACCTCTTTTGCTGCCGTTTGTAACAAAGCTAGACGGGGGGAACGAAAAGCTCTCCTCACGGACCCTGGTGATCTGACTTAAGACCGGGTCTGGCCTTGATAACGCGGTGCGTAACCACAGCCAGCATTTGTGGTCGCCAATAAATTCCTTCCCATTACCTTCCTAATGATCACTGGAAGGACTGGTATTTTCCAAATTGGTCGACTTCAAGTATAAGCATGCAATGTTATAGGCATGTTCCAAATTTGGTGTACGTAACGTAGCCACTGAAAAGTTCCAGGGATCTGTCATAAAGTTATGTCGTAAATACCACGGGATCTCTCTCGCATAGCCTTGCTTTTTATAATAGGTATACAATAAATATGGCTAAGTCATATTATCGTTATGCATTCGGTGCACCAGCATGCCCCTTTTCATTACCAATATACATATATAATTATATACGTATGTTGAACACGTTTTGCTCTATTTCAGGTAACATTTAACAAACGGAAATTCGGCGTCATGAAGAAGGCTTACGAGCTGAGTGTTCTCTGCGACTGTGAAATAGCGCTCATCATATTCAGTTCGTCCAATAAGTTGTATCAGTACGCCAGCACGGACATGGACAAGGTGTTGCTCAAGTACACCGAGTACAACGAGCCTCACGAATCGCTCACCAACCGAAATGTCATCGAGGTAAGTGACTGTGATCGCGTCTAACTGTGATGCTTCTCTGTCCCCAGGTCACATTCACTAAGCGAAAATTTGGTCTCATGAAAAAGGCCTACGAGTTGAGTGTTCTGTGCGACTGTGAGATTGCGCTAATCATCTTTAACTCATCCAGTAAGCTGTTCCAATATGCCAGTACAGACATGGACAAGGTGCTGCTCAAGTACACCGAGTACAACGAGCCGCACGAGTCTCGCACCAACAAGGACATTCAGGAGGTACGGTGTACTGTTCGCCTGTCTCGGGTCTCGGCCGTCGGCTCAGCATGGAGCCAGCCGCGTGGGGCGCGCACTGGCCGCGGGCGGTGGACTGCGCCCTTCTGCGCAGAGGTGTTGGACAGGCAGCTCGTGCCGCGGCGAGCATGGCGGCGGGTGCCGAGCAGGGTGCTTCGGTGGCTCTGGCTTGTATCTGCAACTGGTGGAGGATGGTGGTCGCTTCCTGGGCTAATAGCTTGTCGGTGCTAGTGACTTGCCTGGTGCTGGTGAAGGGGTGTCGGTGGATGGTTGTACTTGCTCCAGCGGTAGACGATGGTTCGTGCTGCCCTTCGGCTGGTGTTGGGAATCTGGCAGAATGAATTGGCGCTCCCGGTGATGGTATTCTCTTCCAAACCTTCCATTCTGCGCTTTGCGCTGCGGAATCCTCTATAATGTGGTCCTTTGCATGTGGAGAAGGAGGCACCGATATGTGCCAACCTCTAAGCATCTTCAGTTGACGTCTTCCTTTTGGGCATCAATGACCGAATGGCTCTCAATGCACGTCTGGGGCAGAGGTGTACATATATTGTTTTGTTTTTGTTATTACGTCTGTCAGGTCAATGTGCATCGCAGTACCTTTCATTCGATGCGCCAGAGATGAGCAATCGATGGAGCGAGATTACAGAAAACTCATCGGTCGGCATCCCTTTATTTATTACACAAATTCCCGATAATCGACATCCTTGGTATGCTGCGCTTGATGATCCTTTCGCTACCGAGAGCATGTCTTGCATCCGGATGTCCCTAGTCACACTTTCCCTAGGCTTTGGAACGTAAGAATTTGGCGCATGAGCGTAGCTATCAAAATGGAATTTTAAGCGAAACGTAGGTAGATATTTCTACGTGCGCCATGCAGGCATTTCCGTAAGGGCCTCCTTTCGCTGAGAAGTGGAAACTTTCTCGTACGTCTGAAAGGCCCACTATTGTGGTCCCAGAATGGCCATTGGGGTCCATACTAGGACGTCGAAAGCATTCAAAGTTACACCTGACCCATGACCCATGCTCGTTGTGCATGAACGCGAACTCTGAGATATTTCAAGCGGTTCGATGACTGGTGACTTCAAAGCAGGTCGCGCAGCTTCCTGACCCGATGCTGTCACCGGCATTATGTGCTGCAGCTGCATCGTCTCGCATTTGGCTCCTCTGATTGATCAGCTGAGTCGTATGACGTCATCGGGCCGACGGCGTCCGGTCGTCGGCGCCACATATAGACCGGCATTCACCGGAGCGTATCGACCGCCGCGGGGGGGGGGCGACCCCTGACGGCAGGGTGGGTGGGACGGTCCTCTGCGGAGGCAGTCCGTGACTCTCTGCTGTCCTGCCCTCAGCGCAGGCAGCAGCAGAGTGAGCTGTGCTTGGGCATCGGTCCCTCTCTCTTCTTGCCTCTCTCTGGACAGATTTTGGCTCGCCCGTCGTCGGGGCACCTCAGCGTCCAGCGAGACTGGTGACTGAAAGAATGCTGCTTCCAAGAACTGTTGAATCCAGGCTATTGATGACGGCGTTCAAAGCGTTATGCAACGAATAAGTAAAAGATTGCATCGATCACTGTCGCAGACTTGAGGTCTACTGCTTCCTCTTACTCCAGCTTTTCATAAGTAACCGTTCACCGTTTATTAGTCGTAAATCGTCATAACGTTGTTGCCGGGATCCTATGCTATTGCTTGTTATAGGTGTTGCCTCGTTTGTTTACCTGAAGTTTGTTACGAGCTTCATCGCTGATCGCAGACTTCTGCGTCCAATGATCGTCAATTTTGGCCGCGTGGGACCTGGTGGGTGGGCCACTGCAGAGTCCAGGTGCGGAGAATTGTCATAATCTCAGGGGGTGCTTCTCTAGCATCTGGCGAATGGAAGCTTCGAATTCTTGCGTAGAAAAGCATGTGTAGGTACGTTTTCCAAGCAGCATCACTCTCCTCGTGGCTTACGCAAAGCACTTTGCGTCTCAGACGTAAGTTAAGCACCCCTGGAGCACTATTGCACGGTGACTTTTGAATTTCAGGGGGTGCTCGAGCACCCCCAAAACCCCTAACTCTCCACCCCTGGCAGAGTCTCTTCCAAGACACCGCTGGCCTCTGCTTCATCAGAGTGGACGTCGTCATCATTTGCTCGGGTCAATGTGCTACGTGTCCTGTCAGTTTGGATCACGAGAGCCGCTAATATCGACCTACCGGCGAACCGGTCCTAGCCGGCTTCTGAGGCGCGCCGGTGGACACAGTGCAGGTCGGTCATTCATATGGGAAACAGTGGTCTGCCTTTCTGGAGACATAAGTCTGTCCGTTTGTCCCAGTGTCCGTCCAAGTGGAGCCGATAGTGGTTTATTCTGAACTGTCCTAGTTGACTTGAGACACTAGTCCAAAATGTCCCAGTTGAGGTGGGACAGCAGGACTGCATCTTCATCTTCTGGAGACACGAGGGACGAGGGCGCTGATCCCTTGATGGGCAACTCAATGCGTGCCAGTTGGGTGATCAAGCGCCTACCAAAAACGACCGATTAGATATCCAGTAATCGATGTCAATGAAAAAGAGAGCATAGCTAGCTTCGGATCGGAATGTGCATTCGAATCGTCTTAGATTATTCTCAAATAATTCTGTTGACGAATAGCAACACCTACCTACATAGTTAGTTGCACTTCAATATATGGTCGTTATGTAATGTGTTTAAATACCTTATAAGTGATTTCGGAAAAAAGTACGAGCTTCTTCCCTTTTCACGAGGTCTCACACTATTCATCTATTGCGTCGGGTCGAAAGAGCAGCACTGAAGACCTTAGCCTCATTGGCGTACTACAGTCCTGGTGTATTTAATTCATGAAATCCTACCTTCTCCAGTAAATGAGTTATATTTGCTCGCGCCGCTGCCTAAAACCTTGATTGCTATGTCCGTTTCTGGTGGCCCACTGACCGTCTCACTCACCACAGGCGCTAAACAAGAAGGAGCACAAGAATGGCGGCCTCAGTCCTGAGAGCCCGGAGCCGGAGGACTTTCTCGCGCCGCGCTCCGCCGAGCCCAAGTACAGTAAGATCGAGGAGGAGTACCAGGTCCTGATGCAGCGCAGCAGCCAGCTCAACGGCAACAGGGTGAGTCTGCGCCCGCTGCGGGCGAGACGGCGGTACCGGTTACCAATTCTTGGGTGGTGACGAGAGATTGACGTTAATTAAGCCTTTATATTTTATTGATTATCTTATTTGAAAATTTTTCCATATTTTACAATGCATTTTTCATTTTACTTCGTAAGCCTATGCCCGCCGTTAACGTTTGGCTGGACGGACAATGACTGATATTTGCTCGAGAGTTTACCTACCGTTTACCTACCGAACCACCGAACCAAAACAAGGTTAACCCTCGCCCATGTAGGGGGGGGGTTGGTGCAACCCCCCCCCTGAGGTTTTTCGGAAATAGTGCAAAAACGGCGGCGCGCAGCGCCGCCAAATTTTGGGTACCTTATGGGGCAAACCTTGCGCATCTTTTGATAAAAAAAATTTGACCGGGTCATGTCAGGTCACGGAGTTATGACGTCACAAAGGGAACAGCCTCCGGCCGGATTTTCACAAACTGAGTGCCAACGCCCGAGGTTTCCTGCCGGTGGTACGGACATTGGTTGATGGATCGTGATGAAACTTCCCATGCATGTTGGGGCAAGTATTGGCTATCATATGGTATAAGAAAATTGACCGGGTCAGGTCAGGTCACGGAGCTATGACGTCACAAGAGGAACAGCGTCCGGTACTATTTTTGAAAAGCGCCCGAACCACTACTTTGCTAATTCTTGTCACCTCAATGGGAATATGCAGCAATATTAGCTTCTATAGGGAGCAAATGGACCTTCCAAATCCAAAAATACAATCAGATTTCAAAAATTTAAATTTTGATTTTTCGAATTTCTGCCGCCGACTGTGACCTTGCCGACTTCCGGCGCTCCCAACGCGCCATTTTTAGAGCTAGGGAAACGAAATACATACCAAACGATATAGAATTGATCAAGGAACACGATAGTGAAGGTTTCAAGTCGATATCGCCCACCGTTTTGCCGCAATCGCCGCGGAAAGTTGAAAAAAGTCTATTTTCCCGAAAATTTGACCTTTGACCGGTCAAAAGTAGGTCAAATGTTGACCTAGGACCAAAAAATATACCACCAATCGCGAGATCTCGGCGAGAGCAATCCGTTGGTCTTTTCCGCTAAGCTCTACGACGCTCCGTTTTCAAACGCCAAGGGGGGGGTCGCACCAACCCCCCCCCTGCATGGGCGAAGGTGGCAGATCGCCGTTTACGGGCGAGGGTTAACATTGTCAGATTTTACTATAGAACTTCATTTCATTCACTGCAAATAGCCTATCTAAATGCACAAAACTCATCTTGCCATCCCATCCACAGGTCGGTATTCCGTTGGGCGCCTACCAGCTGGGCGGTGGCAGCGGCGGAGGCGGTGGCAGCGGTGGAGGAGGTGGCGGCGGCGGCGGCGGTGGGGGAGGTCCTAACAGCGTGGGGGTCAGCAGTCCTTACGGGTCCGGCGAGGGTGGAGGCGGCCCTGCGCTGATGCAGGCGTCGCCTCAGATGCAGCACTCGCTCAGTCCTCGGCCCGGCTCGTCACAAGGTAGGTGATGCTGCTGAACGTTAGTGGCTTTACCTATCCGTCCACTCTAAGTGGGCCCACAATGGCTGTTTGGTCAAATTCGCTCTCATTGCTTAAAATGTTCAAGATATATGCAATTAAGCTGCTGCCTTTACGCAATGTTTATCATATTTTTCCTTTTTATATTTAATCCTTATAAATGCGTCGTCTCATAAACGTACGGGTCTAGAATTCATCTCTCATCCTTTTCCGCACTCGGTCCCATTGCTGTCTGCCGGAAAACCACCTCTTCAGGCGCATAAGACGGGTCGCACTTCTCCGACATGTCTGACTTTTCCGACAGGTCTGCTCGACATGTCGAACGGATACTGACTTTTTCTGACTTTTCCGACAGGTCTGCTCGACATGTCGAACGGATACTGACTTTTTCTTACTTTTCCGACAGGTCTGCTCGACATGTCGAACGGCTACCCGAACTCGACCTCGCCGCTGCCTGGCTCCACGTCCCCGAGCATGTTCCACAAGGTGTCCCACAACATGAAGCCGCAGCACTCTCCGAACAGTGTCGGCCAGAGCCCGGTGAGAAACTGACGTCAGCCGGACTTAAACTATAGCTGTGTAGGTAGTGTATAATATGAGTTGTACCTTGATAGATATAGTACACAAAGACCTTACTAAGTACGTAAATAATTCCATCATTAGTTTCAGTTCCAATTACCGTCATCCCGCAATGTACGAGCGGATATTGTTAGAAATCAATGATAGAATAACACTGGTTGTAACCGCCGCATCAACTCCGAAAGAGACATTCATTCATTTGTTGCGTATCGGTCCCACTGTCGATATATCCGCTGGCTGGAGCTAAAGCCTAAAAGTGGCCTGTATATAAACGGAATACTCGCTGATTCGTTTATGTGCGATAGTGCCTTTATTTTAACGTCATGGAATAAGCATGTTCCGTTATTTCTGAATCATCGTCTCGTTTCCCTATGCCACTGGCGGCTCATTGACCCGAGTGTGACCGTCTCCCGCTGTGCAGCAGATGCCTCCGCGCGCCGGCGCCGCTGCCACCATGCCGTCCGCCCCGTCCGGCCTGGCGCCCGGTCTGGGCTACCCGGGCGCGTTCGGCGGCCAGGAGTTTGTCAGTCCTGACGGCCAGCTGGCCGGCCTGAACTCGCTGCACCCCTGGAGTACCTCGGTGAACATCAACGTCGGCGGCGGGCCGCACTCCAACATGCCGCATCACAAGTGAGTCTGATACACCCGGCCGTCAGATACACACAACCGTCAGATACACCCGACTGTCAGATACACCCGACTGTCAGATACACCCGACTGCCAGATACACCCGGCCGTAAGGTACACCCTACCGTCAGATACACCCTACCGCCAGATACACCCGGCTGTAAGATACACCATACCGTCAGATACACCCGACTGTCAGATACACCCTACCGTCAGATACACCCGACTGTCAGATACACCGTACCGTCAGATACACCCGGCTTTTAGACGGGCGCCGGCCCGCTCCTCCGACACTATGAACCAAGGATAGCCTGGGCCCGTGCTCAGCCGGAGAGCCCCGACGAGTACCCGATAGGCACATCTAGCCAGATTGGCGACAAGTTTCGCAACGTTTACTTGTCGAAGATTGCACAGATAGCTGGCTGAATATGGGACGGGGTTGCGTACGCTGCTTGCTGATCGGAGCCTGATTGCACTTCCTCGGAAAAATGTGATCTATTTCAGCGTTGCGCTGCGCTAAAATAGCGTCCTGCTTCTGTTTGTGTTCAGGCTGACCTTTGCATCGCTTCATCATGCCATTTATCTACGGTGCAAAGTCCGGCAGGTCCATGCGTGGCCAGGATCACATGGTGTGCTAGCTTTGTATCGGTGGCCACCATTCATAGGTACTTACATACGTTAGCTGTGTATTGGTGGCCCCCATTCATAGAAGTGTTAGCTGTGTATTGGTGTATTATGTCTGTGTGTCAGCTGTGTATTGGTGTATTGTGCCGGTATGTCGGCCGTATATCGGTCGGTATAGTGCCATATAGTTGGTGTGTTAGCTGTTCATATGTAAATGTATTTTCTCGGTGTGTCAGTTGTGTATCGGTGCATTATGTCGGGGTGTTAGCTGTGTGTTGGTGCATTGTCAGTGCGGCAACTGTTAAGGTATTGATGCATTATGTCGGGGTGTCAGCTGTATATTGGTGTATTTTGTGTATTTTCGGTGTACCTATTCCTGTCGACAGCAGTCTATTGTATGCTATCGTTTTGTGAGCTGTGTAGCGTATTGTTAACCACTTTTGCTGCATTTTCTTTTATTAGTATGTATCTTGCATTCATTTTTTTACCACAGTAAATAACTTGATAATGTCTTGCCTCTGTCCCTGACGATAGGGTGGTCGGTGCCGGGAGAGTGGACTAACCTGTGGTTACGTCTCCGTTTCAGCGTGCCCCACGTGTCCGTATCGAGCAGTTCTCCGCCACCGGTCGGCTCCGACCTGTCCCCAGCGCGCATCATCAAATCTGAGCCGGTGTCACCTCCTCGGGACGGGCACACGCCGAACGGGCTGCACCACCTGCGGCCGGGCGGCAGTGGCCACCTCTCGCCGTCCCACCTGCCGCCGTCAGCGCCAGGTAGGTCGGTCACTATCGGCCTCTCTCGACCTCTACCGGCAGCGACAGGGCCCTGGTCGGGGGGGGGGGGGGGGCACGGGAGGAGAGCGTCAGGGGACTGTGATACCTAGGACCTGTGACTGAACCTGGCCGTCCTTTGATGCTTCTCGTTGACTCCAGCCGTCTGTGATTGAATTTGACCGCTGTTCTCCGCTCGGCTGTCGCGAACTGAGGTGTGACCAAGCGTGTCTGCCGTTTCAGGCATGGTTCACCCTGTGCATTTAGCACCAGGGAACCCCAGTCATGGCCACAGCTCACCGGAACCAAGCTTAAGTGACTACGAGCCCGGCCCAATGCATAAACGCCCTCGCATGGCCGACCCGTGGGCCACCTAGCGCGAGAATGGTGAAGCAGCGTTTGCAGCGACCTCCGCCAGAGGCGCGTGTGTCGACTGGCGATACGGGTTTGCTTGCCGTGGCCTCACGGCGACGGTTTGAGCGCAGCTATGCGAGACACGGAAGTGACGAGACATAGAAGAGTATCTATTTTCTCAGGTGTGCGCCGGTCGGGGGCGAGTGAGAAGGGGGCTTTCGAGAGTTTGCTAGACGGAAGACCCCTGTACATAGCGGGGAGCCGGTCGGCGCCGGGTGGCGCCCAGCCGAGCAGATCTCAGCGGCGCCGGCGGCCGGCCCCCAGCGCGCTCCATAACGGGGCCTGCGGCGCTGCCCAGCCGGCCCAGCAGATGTTGTATCCATGTGCTCAATCTCCCGACTGCTAGTTCTCTGCGCTCCGCACTGTACAAATTGTGTTGTTGTTAGACATGCACTCAAGGACGGAAGCTATTTGTTGCTGTGGGTGTAAGCTATGGCGCTGTCTGTTCACCCAGTATAGTTATGCACATGTACATGTTTCCAGGCCGACGTAGCGTCGGCCGACAGACGTGCCCCTCCCCTGGACGGCCGGCGCGCGCGCGCTGACAATCAGTGCTGGCCGCTGGCCGCCGGCCGGCCGGCCGGGCTGCAGCTGCCGTTTTGTGCTCTCCCACTATCCTGTTGGACCGGGACGCTGTCCGCTGTCCCCTGTCCCCTCACGGCCATAGAAGAGGAATCAAAACCGCCGGCTGGTGGCGTCTGCTCGGCCGGCCCCTGGTCGCTCGCTGGTGTCGGTCTTCAGTACAAACGGGCAGGCTGGGCGCGGTCAGCCCGGCCGAGCCGGCGCCGGACGACAGCGCCACCGCGCGTCCACTCCCCGTGCCGAGGCCGACAGAATGTCCCTCTTGCCTCCGGTTGAAGCGTTGCACTTTCCCGTGTGGCGCTATGAGCCTAAAATTGTTACTATTTTTACTATAGGGTATGTATAAAGTTAGTTGTTTATACAAGTCGTTGGCCTTACCCAGTGGTCGGAAGCTTTAACGCTACTTGATAAAATTTCAGCTTGTGACGAAGTTGTTACCACTGTTGTCGGAGAGCTTTGTTTCGTGCGCTTGCGTTGTGTTTAGTTGACCTGGCCGCCTTGTGGGCTGGCCATTAGCAGGTGTGTGCGGCAGGGCAGGCGGTCGGCGGCGGCCTGTGCCGCCCCGCCAGCCGACAGCCTTGTAATGTAGTCGTGCTTGGTTTGTCCCGCCGGCATAGAGCTGGTGTTTGTGCGGCCTGCATGGCCCGCCAAACCCCCTGTCGTACACTAGGGCACACAGAGGCGGCAGTGGCCTTCACTGCTGTTCGACACAGAAACACAGACACTGACAGACACGGCAGCAATTTGTCCCACACTGCTGCCCGACATATACCTACCATAGACGGACACAGCACTGCTGCCCGACATACAACCAGACAGAAAGGGCAGCAGCATCCACTGCTGCCCGACATAAACCACAGATATGGCGATGACGTATTCGCCTGCCGTCACTGAACACACTCACTCTGTCTCTGCTATCAATCACGGACATTTTTGACTGTGTCGGCCGACCGCCGTCCGGGGGGCGCGTTGTGCTATGTTCGGAAGTTTTCTAAAATAAAACAAACACCGATGATGCCGCTTTTATAAGACAATGAAAACGTCCCGGTATTGTCGGATGACTGTCTGTTAGGACGGCTCGTGGCTCACGAGTAAAGCCACTGTGAGTAAAGCGTTTGGGCGACCAACATGGTGCGTCGCCCGTCATGGTGGGCACTCAGGCCACTCAGACACGCTAAACGTCACCCCACCCCACGTGAGCCTGTACCCGAGGAACATTCAAAATACGTCGGGTGGTAATGGTGACTAGCAGGAGTTTTGACTTGTCGAGAAAAAGGGTATGAGCGTACTGAGTAACGAGCCTACCGGGTTGCAACCGGCGACCGGTATTAGTGCCAGCATTCTTCATTAGTGAAGCAGTCTCGTACTGAAAATGAGCATGTACGCCCAGAAACTTGCAAGATCTAGCACCGCACATCACATGCACAGGAAAGCCCGCGTATACAGGCTCTGCGTTCGAGTGCGAGGCCGTTGCAGTGAATTATAGACGGAGCAGTCGTTGGCAGTTGTTTAATGCATTGCTGAGCATTTTCCTTTTACGACGCGCGCGCGACAAAAATGATTTTTGGCTGGCTAGCCAGATTTGAATTGTTTTATTGTTTTATTTGGATTCTTGGATTCAAGCCACGGTCATAGATAATATTCAAGCCGCTATTGCTATAGGCAGGTAGGTAGGTCTCTGCTTTTTTTCTTCGTGCGTTTACGTTGGGATTGTGCAGTGTGCACACTTTGGAATTAACAAAAAGTTGCAGATCCGGAAAAGTGGTTTATCCTTGAGACTGAAACGGCCCTCCAGCAAAACGGTCAGACTCAGGCCCAGCCTCTGCTGAATGCTGCCCACTGTTGCCATTTCAAGAAAGGTACCTAAGGAGTTACCTAACTTTTGGAATAGCTACCAGGGGAACTGGGCCAGGGAAGAGTGACTGTTGACAATGTGACACATCATGGATCATTTGACATTCTTTATCAAACTGCTCATACAGTGGCTGTTAATGGACAATTTGAGTTGCCACTGGCTGATCCATGGTGGGCATTAGGGGCATTTATTTGCTTTCCCAGAGAAAGTAAAATTGGCAACATTTTGTCATTTCCATGCACATTGCACTGAATGATCCAAGGAAGCATAAGAGGTATTTATTTACTTCTCCCACAGAAACTAAAATTGATGAAATTTTTACATTTCCAAGGGAACATTAGATCTGGTCTGGCTCACTCATCCAAGGGTGATAATGATAAATGCACTAACCACTTCATCTCCAAGGGGGCATTAGAGGCATTTATTTGCTCCTCCCCTGGAAACTAAAACTGACAGACTTTTGCCATTTCCAATTCCATGTATGCATACAAGAATACTGAACAGTTTCTTTTAAACTGTGCAGAGTTGCATAACTTTTCAGGAAGTGAAATTTTTAAAGTATTTCGAAACTGGGAAGCCCTTTTTCTTCTTGGGTTTTACTGCACAGTGTACTCCCTACACCCATTACCATATTTCTGGACCCGCCAGTATCCATGTCACGATGAATGGCATTAGTCTGAGATGCTTTTGGTTTCTATCATTAATCACATCATTCAGATTTTAGTCATTATCAGTTTTATTGTTGAATCCAGGCTTACATGCCTGATAAATAGATAAATTGATGGATATTGTAACTTTAGACCCCCGTGACAGGCATTTATAAGGCATCTATATTCTATGTCAATTCAATAATGTCACACAAAACACATAAATGCGTACACGTGAAGTGATGAGACCCACGAGGCTATGGATGACTGTTGAAGCGTGCCGTCCTGACTTTACTCGTTTGTTTTGGTTGTGACAGGTAGCAACAATGCCAGAGCGGGAGTGTTTCGGCGGCCTGTTGACTGGCTACCCGGAGGTGGCAGTGGACAGGTTCGACGGCCGCTGTCTGAATGCCAGCTACTTCCTGCTGAGTCATCTGCACAGCGACCACATGCGCGGTCTGGACTCGGCCGAACTGCGGTCGGTGCTGCAGAGCCAGCCTCAGCCGCGGCTGCTGCTGTCGCGCCAGTCGGCCGCGCTGCTGACCAGCTGGCCGCGCTACGCCGCCCTGGCGCCGCACCTGTGTCCGCTGGAGGTGGGCGTGCCGCGCCAGCTGACCGACCGGCTGGTGGTGACCGCACTGCCGGCCGCCCACTGTCCCGGTTCGGTCATGTTCCTGCTGGAGGGCGGCGCCGGCGGCACTGTCCTCTACACGGGCGACTTCCGGCTGGACAACCACCAGCTGGCAGACATGAAGGCGCTGCACGACGCCGACGGACACCCCAAGCCCATCCAGGCGCTGTACGTGGACACGACGTTCTGCGTGCCGCAGCGCCGCGAACTGCCGACCCGCAGTCGCAGCGCTGAGTCGGTGCTGCGGCTGGTCACAGAGTGGCTGGACCGCGCACCAGACCATCGCGTCAACCTCGACTGTAAGGCGCGCTATGGGTACGAACACATCTTCCGTCGACTACATGAGGCCACTGGCATGCGTGTGCACGTAGATGCAGAGAAAATTCAACTCTATGAGCGGCTGCCAGACATCGCGCGCTGCGTAACATCATGTGCCTCAGAGACGCGACTGCACTCCTGCCGGCCGGGCTCGGCCTGCCTGCGCGACGGTAGCGGAGGACCTCTCCGCTCAATCACCCTCTCTACCATGTTCTTCTTCATGAACCAAGCTGTGGACTGCCTGGAGCATCATCTGGGCGGCGAGCGGTACCGCGTGCTGTATTCGTTTCACGCGTCACTCGGCCAAGTACGAGAGATGGTGTCATACTTGCGACCATCCCGTGTGGTGCCGTGCGTGGTGCCGCCGAACAGCTCTCTAGAGAGCGTGGTGGCACTGCTGGGTGGCGCCAGCGAGCCGCGGCTCGAGCTGCAGAGTGGCCGATTGCCGACAGCGCGGGCTACTCACTGGGAGCGGAGACCGAGCGAAGTCCTGCAGCCGCACCGCCAGCACACCGGCCGGAGACAACCTCCCAAAGAAATCAAACGCATCCGCCCAAAGGTAGAGTCCCCTGCACGGCGTCAGGGTCACCAGAGGTCGCCCCAGCCCGCGGTCGGGGCTCAGGAGGAGCGGGCCGACGCCGCAGACACCCGCCCTGCCTGGAAGTCCCCGTTTGATAGCGACTGACGACGGCTGTTGAACGGACGCCAATGTGATATGGGCGACGGCGGTGGAGTGGAGCCTGGTCCCAGTTTTTAACAATGGGCAGAGTTTGTGATTCTCCGGGCGCCCGTAAATTCAAATTTCAATTTCATCATTCTCATCATTTAAGTTTGTGATTCATTTGTTATTGTACATTGGCTGTGATGTTCTTGTGAAATGCCGTTATTGTGTCGTCCTGGGGCGGGCAATCGTCAAATACTCGTGCCTTATGTTTTGAGACGCCGAATGCAAGAAAATATCGACATCCTGGCCCTGTTCATGAACCCTGCGGCCGCTGCGGCCGGCCGCAGGCTCTAAGCTCCGCCCATTTTTGAAACGTCATCACTCACTCGGCCGCAATCAGCGTTCCATGAACACGTCTGCTGCCGAAATAGTTTCCGATAATTGCGCGCTTGAGACGATTACTAATCAATAGTTTCCACGCGCTTCTTTTATCTGTGTATTCCATTCCTGTTATGAAAAGGGCGTTTCTCAAGGCCGTCTGGTGTTTCTGTATTTTTGTAAGTGGTCACATAAATGATTTGGCATTCTTTTCATTGAATGGTAGCACAAATAACTTAAGTCTAAAATTAAATCTCATATTAAAGCATTTATCTAATTTTTAGGTATCATGGCATGCAACACCGGACGGAATGAATTTGTTTACAACATCGTCTCCATGGCAACACAGCCTACACTTTGACTTCAGTGCGCCAAGTTCAGTGCAATCACTTTCTTGCGGCTCGGCGGTCGCTGGATGGCGGCCGCAGAGATCGCAGCGGCCGCAGCAAGGTGACGTCATACATTCGTCATACTACATGAGCCCCGCCCCTTTTCGTGACGTAACAACCCGGCTGGCCGCAGCGGCCGCAGCGACCGCCGGGGTTCATGAACAGGGCCCCTGTTTAGCATCTCACTGTATTTCTAATAACCTCGCTATGAAAGGTTTCCATAAATGTGTATGCATGTACCTACGTAATGTTTAAAATAAAGTTTCCAGCGGATATTTAGAGTGTAACTAGTTGTCACATGTCACCGTTGTCACCATTCGGTGTTACCTTTGTCACCATTCGGTGACACAAGATCGGGTCGCGCTCCACATCGCGTTGTACAACTATAGCGTTCGTGTGCAACTGTTGGACGCGTAGGTGGTATCTACCGGTGTACTATTCCTCACTACTTCGATGTTGTGTCCCATCCTCCAGTTATATGCGCCATCAGTGTAGCATAGCGTGGTTTTTTCCTTTATCATTGACAAAACACAATGATGGTGTAAGGCATTGTAAGGTGAATGCATTTGCTCTTATTTTTTGCCCCTTATTTACAGCGAAATGCGGTAAATTAGGCACATCAATGGAAACGACGACATCTGCTCAGAAGCGCACGCGTGCAGAATGCATTGCAGTTTACTCTGCCATTGGAAGGCCGTTACCAAGAAAATATCCAATCGATTTCCATGTGGAGTGGGTTCACTGTCTCGGAAGACACGACGCAATGCGATTTTCGAATTTCAATCGGGAAAGCACCCTGTCGATTATTGACAGCATTTTTTTCATCAAACATCAGCCTATGTCATGTTAGGTATAGGTTCAAGACTAGCAAATAACCACTAAGGAAAGACTTTCCAGCAAGAACTAAGCCCTAGTCAATTGCCGTCCTGGCTCGGACTTATTTTAATTTTCCTTCCCGACTGTGCCCTGTCCCACCAACCAGCTTGCACCGAGTTCCACTTCCCCTCCGTACCCAGCCCCGTTCGGCCTCTCATCTTCTACCGTATCCCATCTCCCCACTCGACATACCCCGCCCTTTTCCATCCATTGTCCTTTACCGTATCCCATCTTCCCTCCCGACCCGATCCCTCACATTCCGTCTCCCGTTCCTTACTGATCGCGCCCCATCCTCGTTCCGCTTCTGCCGTCCCTTCTCGAGTCTAACCACAACAGCTATATTCGGTGCTCCTTCTCTCGTAAATCTGTATTAAAAAACAATGCACAATGTTGTCGTTTGGTACGCCAGCAGCGTGGTACACTGCCACGAATACACTGATGATCAGTGTCACAACAGCACAGGAAAAACAGCTCAAAATACGCCGCTCTCGGCGTTCCCGTCAGGCCTGTTCACCAACAGCCGGCGCCTGATTCAAACTTCCTCGGCTGCTACCAACTCTGCCGTCGGCTGCCAACAACTCGCCACCTTTGCCGCATGACACTGCCGTTGACAGCATGTGTCGTACGCTGCTGTTCCCATCGGCTGCCACGGTCGCATCATGCCACCATCGCCAACTCTAACTGCCACCTTGAGCCACTCTCGCAAATCTCACGGTCACCGAATGCCACTCTTACGAACCGTCACTGTCGCCTGCCACCGCTCACCGATTGACGCGATCGCCGAATGCCACTCTCACCGATGGTCACGGTCGCCAAATGCCGCTTTCAGCGATTGTCACTGTCACCTCCAACCACTTTCGCGAACTGTCACTTTCGGCAAATGCCGCTCTCGGCGATTGTCACGGTCACAAATGTCACTTTCACCGATTGTCACTGTTGCCGGCTATAACTGCGACCCTCACCGTTTGTGATTCTAGCCGTCTCGACGCTGCGAGTCTCATGGCTTAAACTTTATGAGCGGGATGTTTTTGCTGCTCAGGCAGCGATCGCATACCCATTCAGCATAAACTTCCGCGATCAAAAGGTGGTACGCCTGCTCGATCAAACCCGTGCACATCCTGGAAAATGACAAGAGTAACGTTACATTAGCTGTTGCTGAAAATGTGAACACGAGACGCCACGCTCGTAGTGCTGTAGCATATTGACGTGCACCACGCTAAACGTAATTAAATGTGTTAAGCCACCGAACGTTAATTTTCCGACGAAGACTAAAAACGAGACTAAAAACGGTCCTTAACCGTGTACCGTATTTCAGCGCAATCGGCTCAGCCGTTCTCGAGATCTGGAATCGACCCCTGCATGTGCGCACGTGCAGCAGCATCCCAACTGTGGCACATGGATATGCATTGCCTAGTGGGTGCCTACCTACATGCCAACTACGAGAAACGTCCCCGGTTCAGTCACATAATGCCATTCATAATGCCATAATGCCATTCATTTTTCAAACATTTGGACAGCCAAGGGATTTTGCCATGCCCCTAGGTCAGGACAGCGGACGTCGAGTATAAAGGGAAATTCATGTCACAGCTTCACACCTGCGGTTGAATTCAGTTTCCTTTTGCGATTATTTCCGGTGATTGTTCCTATGCAATGAATGCTTGCGGCATTTCAAGGTGATACCAACAAGGGTCAGACGCCAAGTCTTTCTATACCTCCCAAATAATCAGTCAATGGAAGCTAATGAAATGCAAGGAAGTCGCTTTAACTACTCAAAAATATGATACTGTAGGCACTAGGCAGTCACGTATTGATATTTGGAATGCCTAACCGTTAATTCGCTGGTTTCGCGAGAATTAAGGTAAAAGACGTGGCCTACGTCCTGTACACAGATGCCAGCACCCGCACAGGGTGAGAGAAGATGGACCTTTTATCTTAACGCACGAAAAGACAAAACGATAAAAATAATTCGCACAGGAGAAGGTAAGGTGTGACAACAGCTGTAGACAATCGATCAAGCCCGCATATTGTCTCTTTGAGCATCCCTTCATGACCCTCCTGTTCGGACCTGAGCTCAGCTGTCATCCCCGATATGTCTTACCTGTGAAACCAGAAGTTGCAGCCGGATTCACAGAGGATCGCTTGGTCGTTTTCGTGTACCTCTTTGTGACACATGCCACAGGGGTAGATGGGTGGCGCGTTGGGGTTTTGTGGGTTGAACACCATCGGTTGGTCGGCCGGGTACACCTGGAGACGGAACAGGGAACGGTCAGCTCGACAGTCAGCGGCCGCGTCCGATACGTTTCTGTCCAGACCTACTCTACCTAACTATTATTGATATCAATTTCAATTCGCAGAGTTGCTACCCAGCCATCAACAATAAAACGTCCTAAAAGCTAACCATGAATAGCCATTGCTGGTCGACATTAGGACCAATTATCGATATTAGTTTCGTGATATATTTACTACACAGTAAACGAGCTTCAAAGTCTGAACATAAGTGCTGTAGAGACTGATATGGCAATGAGGCATCAAACATAAGAAAAACAAACAACAGAGGATAAGCATCGGTCATCCAGAAACGAGCCAATCATGCCGGCAAAGTGCAGCTAATAGCTATGCATAATATTGCAGACATAACGGCTTAGTGTGAGCTGACTCACCTTTCTGGACGAGTTCGGAGGCATGCCGCCGGGGCCGGGGCCGGAACCAGGCGGCATCCCCGGCCCCATGCCGCCCATGTTCATGTCGTGCATGCCGCCGCCCATCGAAGTCATCGGGTTCATGTTGTTCGGCATTGAGTTCATCATGTTCTGATTGCCCGGCATGCTGTTGGGCGCCGACATCCGCGGCACCATTGGCGGCATGCCGTTTCCGACGGGCCCCATGCCGGGCCCCATGCCGTTCCCGCCAGGCATACCCGGGACCATGTTGGGTCCCGGTCCCATGCCATGGCCCATCGGTCCGTTCATCGAGTTCGGTCCCATCGGTCCCATCGGACCGCCCGGCCCCATCGGGCCACCATGCCCCACCGGGCCGCCGGGACCCATGGGGCCGCCAGGACCGGGGCCCATGGTGCCCTGCATTCCTGACGGCATACCGCGAGGCATCATGCCCATGTGGCCCATGTGACCCATGTTGGGCATCTGCATCGGCGCAGAGTTGGACGTAGCATCGTCGAACGGATTGCTCGCGAACACGGTGTCGCCATAGCCTGAAACAGAAACAAAGTAGTTCAGTTTAGATTTCACAATTTAAAACACCCTTTGTCTGAGCAATGATCAGCAAAAGCATCAATAAACACTTTTGTGGGTGTTATTGACAGACAACACATTGCCACCTAGCTAGGCACGTTATTTATATGAATTGAATCATTTTGAATCATCTAAGTAAGAGCGGGGATGACAACGTTATCCTCCCGAAAAAAATATACAGCTGGAGAAAAGTTTTGATTGTCAATGAACATAACATGATTTGGATGCTTTTGTAATTCTGAAATACTCATTGCAATTCCTGCTATCCTGGTGTCAACACATTTCATGTTTCTTTTGTATTTGATTTTAAACATAAAAAGTCGAATTTCTCAACAATGATTGCTATTCATACAAACAAAACTAGGTATCACTCAAATTTCATGCAACAATATGTTCCCAGATATCCCCGGCCAAAAGCATCTCATCAGCACACAAAACTTCAAATGGAAAGACTTTCATGGGAATATGCATTCGTGTTCACATTATCACACTTTGGCTGGCACACCTGTCAACTCAAATTAATAGGTCTCATCCTGGTCAAGGATACTCACATGAAAGCGGCGGTGGTACCAGATCTGGCACTGGAGAAGACTGGGGCATCGATGTGGCTGCTGCTGTGGTAGATGTGCGACGCCGCTTTTTGGCATTGCCCGGGGACTCTGGAGTATTGCGACCCATTTTCGGCCAGTGAGTCACAACAATAAGCAAGTAGTTAAAGGCTTAGCAGCACAGAGTTTGAATTAAGCCCTGAGGTCCTGTGAAACAGAGATGCAAGAATGTCAGATACAAAGAACCACTCAATATACCCTGACAAAGAACAGCCTGCCAGGTAGAACCCAACTCTTACCAGTCACATCTGAGATGTATCATTTTCAAGTCTCATGCTTTGCATAATCAGCGTATGATGTCACACTTATATTGCTTTGTTGGTAATTGGCATTATGGAATCGAAGAGAATGCAGCTGCTTTTAGACTTAGACATTATACATTTGGTAATCTGTGACCAAGGCCACACAGCAAAGTGTGAACAGAGTTAACAAGTTGCACTAGCTAGGGTGAAAAATGTGCACCAGCCCACACTAACTGGAACTGGATATCTGCAGGAGTCTGAACCAAACAAGACCTATATTTTTTTACCACAAAATGTGCATATGAACACTTGATGTGAAAACCACAATATAAGGTCCATCTCCATTACTCATTGGACAAACTCGTTCTGTCTCCCACACATCATTTACTTGGACAATAAGGCAACTACACAGCAGTTCTCTACAGCACCATGCTAGTGACCACACCGTTGCTTGCAAAATCTGCATGAAACCACTGTAACACGGGACCACACTGAAAGTTGGCTGAGTGCCTCCACACCCACAAGCTCTTGGCCGGTTTGCCATGCCTTACAAGCTGGGACAAAGGCACCTGGAGTGGACTGTGTGGCACCTCAACCTTGACACTGTCTAATTGCAGTTAACAGCATGTTGAGGATTTTTATGATGAGGATTCTGGCAGTTTAGTTTAGGTGCACATTAAGTTCACTTCACGTACCAAGATAAAAATGGAAAATGAATGAAACAGAATGACTTGGAAATTGGAACCAATTAGAAATGAAGCAAGAGTAAATAATTAGCAAAGGAGATGACTTTATCTACAATGGTGTGCACATATTGTGCAGTGAATGAAATGAACCCAATCGCTTGCACATTAATAACCTTGGGTGACTGCCTAAGCTGCTTTGATTATCACTCCGGAGAAGAACTAGGAGAATATAGCTCTTGTTTCCCAAGTACTCTTTTTATCATCATTTCAATATCGCACAGCATACTACCAGCTTTCATGTATAGGGAAGATCATTTCTGGAATATCTTGGCATTTCATTAAACAACCACAAAACACATGACTTTGACTACATAGATGCCAAGAAATACCAAAATAGTGCCTGGACAGTGGACTGTGGATATCACTGTCACTAAAGCTGTGTCACTAAATTGTTATCATGCAACAGCTACAAAAACTGGCCCAACAAGCACTAGAGAGAACTCCAGTACCAAGCAAATCAATAAAACATGTTTGTGGACATGTCCCGTGCTTGGTCAGACAGATCAACTGGAGGGCTGCTCATGGGCACCACAAACTGCTGAGTGACATGTGAGCGGTGTGTGCAGCTGCAGCAGGCGTGGCCGTGGGGGTAGACTAGAGAATGGGTAGTCAGTATCGGTGTTACTTACTTAGAACAAGTATGAAGTTGAAGTAACACCTACTATGAACGTCAAACCCCTTGAGACCCCACTTTTTTGCGATAATTTTTAAATGCGTCAACTTTCGCTGACAATATTCTGGCAATGTATGTTTCAGAACCTGCCGAAACTTTTATTACTAAGGTATTTTGACGCCAAACGATTATGGAAGGTACTTCTCATTCACTCGTAATGCTAAGGTCAATTCAGGCCCGGGCAGAGGCTTGCGCTCGGCCACACTCGAGCCCCGCCACCAGCGCCATCTGCTCTAAATGCCATCTACCAGCGCCCGCTACCGCTACCAGCTACCGCCCACCATCAAGCCTGAATGGAGCGAGAGACGCGAGTGACCGGTCGCCGGGCAAGGAGCGCCGGAGGGGTAGGGCGGAGCTTCACGCTGACGTCATTACGTGGCTCCGCCCCATGAGCGCGTAGCCTCTACCCAAACAGCAGATTTGTTCCGTGAAATTTAACATAACGAGTGAATGAGAAGTACCTTTCATAATCGTTTGGCGTCAAAATACCTTAGTAATAAAAGTTTCGGCAGGTTCTGAAACACACATTGCCAGAATATTGTCAACGAGAGTTGACGCATTAAAAAATTATCGCAAAAAAGTGGGGTCTCAAGGGGTTTGACGTCCATAGTAGGTACCTAGTGTTAACCTCAAGGTACCCACTAAAAACGTTTGAAGGGGGTATGCCGTATGATGTAGGTGTAAGGCTGCATTATGTAAGGTTTAATCGTGGGTTAATCAAGCTTTGCATGTAAATGAGTTTAAAGGGACCCTCCCACCTTCAAAAAAGTTAATGAATTGGCATGAAAGTGATGTTGCTCGGTTCAGAAAGAGCAAAAACGAATATCTACCAAATTTAATCGAAAAATATTCACCGGTTTTCAAGATATTAGACTTTTACTTTTGTTTACTTTTTGGGATCTCCGCTGTTCCTAGCGACTTTATTTGAAAGTGCGGCATTTGTTGCGCGCAAAGCAGCATATACCACCGCGTGCTACAAAACGTTTTAGTCAAACATTTAACGGACGTTCGAAAGCCTGATGACGTTATCAGATTCCCGTAATGGTTAAGAGATAGGGACCACGCTGGTCCCACCCTGCAAGTAAAGGGAAGAAATTTCTTGAACACCATAAAGCTGCGGGGGTTGCGACCAAGATAAATGGTGGTTTCTGAGCCTGGCCGCAAACTTGGCTATCTCAACTCAAAACTAATGTTAAGGTGGGAGGGTCCCTTTAAATGAGAGCCGACATTCCCATTATGATACTGGTGTGACATTTGCGGCGCGGAGAGACAGGCAAGACATAGGCGTTTCAATTCAACTTCAGCGCACTACTACTTTATTAAATACCATGTCATCTCTTGGTAATTCCTAATACTTAAAATGCACAAACCTACACATACTCACAAGCAAAAATAAACATCACAACCTCCCAAATCACCGCCGCCCAAGCACTGTCGGTGGACGACGGTCAGTAAACAAAATCAGCTGACCAAGGCTCACTAAAATAAATTGTTTTTTTGATATCCCCGATAAAACCTGCAAACAACGCAAGCGCACCAAAAAGATACATTGCATATTTGGTTTTAAATAGCACTGATGTCCACTCTTATATTACATTATTATGTTTTTGTCCAATGCAACTGCAAGTCAACTGCGCTCGGTAAGTAGGGAATCCAAACAGGTGAGTTGAACAGAGTTGTACTGCAACGGACAACCACTTTACACTTAGAGCCGATCGAGGCGAAATCGCCATCAGACGATTCTTAAATCAGTCGCAACTTGTCAGCGCCCATCCTGCGTTTATACTAGGTTACCATTTCATTGATGGGCGAAATTTCGCATTCGACGATTCTACTAGTGGTGTTTAATCGGTTGTGTAGTTGCTCATGGTAATTAAATAACTGCATTAGGTGAAAACCTTGATGTTTTGAGTTTTATGGGGTTATTTGAGATTATTTCATAAAAAATTATTGCTTATTCAGATGCCAAATTTTTTCAGTAATTGACTCCCTCAAATGTTTACATAGCTGATTTATGGGACGGCTGCAAGGAAAGCAGTGGAATAGGGTTGGTGTGGCTTCGGCAAATATGGTAGTAAGATAGTATCATTTTATTTAAACTAGAAATACTGCCAGAAAATGTCACCTGGTTGTTTGTGTTATCCTATATTTAAGGCTTACTTCGTGCATTCATTTGAAAATTTTGTAAATATATTTTTTTTCATCAGAATCATGAAATGTTAGCACACAAAATATCAAAAATGAAATATATTTTGATAACCATGCAGTCTACTAGATTTTAGAAATCAAACTCCCGCCTTGTTTCCGCCTAAAGTATTCCCGCTTCCCGCCAAATTCGCGCGCTGCCAGATCTACACGCGCTCGTCGTGTCGGTCAACAACAAAAGATTTTATACTCTGGTGCGCATTTGGGGTAATTAGCCCTATTTTTCGTGTTTTTTTTTGTTATTTTGGATATTTCCTTTGGTGAGCCACGTCTGATCGTGTCTTTTTTCTATAAGAGTTATGGATGTCGCGGACAACTTTGTCGGTCAAAGCCAAGTGAAAGATGAAGTCGGGGACAGGTGCCAAAAACTTTTTCAAGATTTCCTCGAAGAGTAAGTACCTGCTCATATGCATTTTATATTCTTTTGCCTGCTTTTACCATGCATTTGCCATACAAAATAATGCCCATCTGTCACTTTCATTGATAGGTGATGTTACCATGTTACAATTGAAGCACTGTGAGGTAATTTTGGTAGGTACGTATAACCACAGTGCATATCAATAAGTAGGTAGGTATGCTGATAATGATAACTTAGACTATGTCCTAGCTAAACAATAACATCTTCAAACATATAAAGTAGGTAGGTACGTTGGTTATAATCTCAATCTATGCGTGCAGATGGAAGGACCATAGCGGCGAGATCAAGTACCTGGAGGCTGCAAAGGAATTGGTGAAACCTGAACGTAATACACTCCAAGTTAGCTTTGAGGATATTCAACGCTTCAATCAGAGCCTGGCAACCACTATCCAAGAGGAGTTTTATCGGTAAGTTTTAAAAGATGTCAAATGAATAACAACATTTTGAAATTGGTTGATGTGACCTTGTCTCGTATTGGTGTTTTCCCAGCTGCTAATTAGGGATGTATAAGTTGGACCCCCTGCCGTTCTGCCCCTAATTGAGCTAGAGCTTTGTGGAAAAATGAGCCTATTGCCTGTGACAAAAACAAACTGATGATACCAAATTTTAAGGTCCTAGGTCATTGGCTGACATTCCAGGTCAGGTCAATGACCCAAAAGTATGGAAAATCTGGACCTGCTGTATGAATGTAAGAACTGCTTATGGTTTTTGCCCTGATTACAAATTTCATGTTAGTTTTAATCAGAGATGCTGTATTCATGCATTTGGGGTGGGTGACTGAGGTCAAGTCAGGTCAAATAGTAGGTGTCTGGCCGGCTACTTATAGGTGTCGACTGTCAACCACCAATGTCAGCTTTGTTGCATGTTATGAAGGCACTTAAACTGTTTTATATGTTTGAGAGTGTGCTTAATTCAAAATCAGCTCCAAAAGCTAGCCTAGAAACTAAAAACACAAAAAAACTGAATCAAGGTCATCTACCTAGGTAAATGGCCTTGACCTGCCCACCATAATCCATCAGACAAACATCATATTATCACATGGTGGAATTATGGTGGAATTATACAACCACAAAAAGACAAAACATGCAGATAATGTGCACCAACATTCGCTGAATCGTGATTCCGACGTCCTGACATGGTCGAGAGAAACAGCTCTACAACCCAAAGTTCACTTGGGTCATTGAATTTTCAGTGTAGGTGTACAGTTGCTCAACTGGATGGTGCTGAAAGTTTCATGGCGATCAGCCGTTTTTTACGCGATTTATTCACGAAAATCCGAGAGGTTCCTACCGCCCCCCCCCCCCATGTGAGTGCGAGGATTCTCCCGGAACTAACGGTTTTCTACATAAGCCCTAGCCAAGGGGGAGGCGGGTATGACCCCCCCCCCCCTAGCCGTTTCGCCTCCAATTGAGCTAGAGCATCGCGGGAAGACGAGAATGTGCGCCGTTACAGACGTAGCGGTTGGTACCCGATTTTAGGTCTGAGGTCAACCGAATATGCTCGATTGTAAGGTCTTCCTCTTCATGTTAGGTCTTCAGGTCGACACCGTCGACCTGGTCTTCAGGTCGACCAAACTTGCTCTGCCAGCATCTGGTGGCGGGATTCTCTTATGTCTCTCGACTGAAATACTGCCCCTGTCAGATTGTCTGGATCCGTTTCAGACCACTCAACATCATTATAGCTCATTGAAGTGTTTGGCCCATTGTTGCAGAAAAATCAGCTGTTAGAGTGGTGCGACTATTTTCTTTTTCTTAATATGTAGCCAGCCACAACCAGTATCGCATACAGTATCCCCCCCCCCCCCCCCCCCCCCGTAGAATAAGAGAATCGGCCGTGGATGAATCTGTGACAATGACCCAACAGCAGCACTTGTGTGAGTTTGAAAAGCCCATTGGCTGTGCAGATAATCACATACCCTGGATAATCACTACGTTTCCATCACACGTCTAAATTGATTTAGAGAAATTTCACTTGCGTTCTTCTCGGATACTATTCACCTTATGCAAAAAACCAGCACATATTTGGTTTTAGCATGGTTTTAGCTAGCACCTTATCCTATATTTACATTTTTAAACGCTGCCTATATTTTATGATGGAGCAAATCCATTTTGCAAGATCGGCTTTACTTGTGTCATGGAACCGTGAAACAATGAACCGTGAACAATGAAACCAGGGCATCGTTTCATAAAGCGAGTCGGTAACTTACGGCGGTTTTTGGTCTTGTATTGCAAGTGCATGTGAAGCGATGACGTTAGTTTGAATTGTTATATTTATTTATCTTGCAAGCGAGAACAGAAGGGAGAAGGGGAAATAAATTTAACGCTTCACATGCTTTTGCAATACAAGACCAAAAACCGCCGTAAGTTACGGACTGGCTTTATGAAACGAGGCCCAGCTGTTCGTTCTCATGGTTTTAGTGTTTCACATTCCTTTTCAGTGTTCACCCTTTCCTGTGCCGAGCTGTGCGCATCTTCGCAAAAGACCGTGGCGGCGTCTCTGTGGAGAAGGAGTACTACGTCTCGCTGGTGGAGTACCCCAGCGCGGTGCGCGTGCGTCAGCTGACCACCGACCGCGTGGGTCAGCTGCTGCGCATCACGGGCCAGGTGGTGCGCAGTCACCCGGTGCACCCGGAGCTGGTGACGGGCACCTTCACCTGCCTCGAGTGTCAGACCGTCATTACCGATGTGGAACAGCAGTTCAAGGTGAGGCGGATTGATCTGTCGTACTTTGGTGACATGCATCGATATTTGTTGGCTGTTTTTTTTTTTCTGATGCCATGAAGCGGCACTTTCGCACAGTGTTAACCCGCGCCGGGCCGGGGGGGGGGGGGTGTTTGAACACCCCCCCTTGCGGTTTTTGGCACACCTGTTCGTGCATCTTTTCCGCACAAGTTGTGAAAATTTCAGACCCAGGTCACCTTAGGTCAGGTCACCAGGTCACGCCAAGTGACCTCACCTCAGAAAAAATAAGAATGCTCGTCATAGCTACACCGACTGAACGATTGCCTTGAAACTTTCAGCGATTGATAAGAGCAACACTATCTATAAAATGTTTATCTCGGAATTTTGATATCGGTGACCTAAGGTCAGGTCAATTTTGCGGCCTCTCCATTATAAGTCAATGGGAGAAAATTGAAAAGCGTCTGTTTTGCACAAACGTTATTCTAGACACTCTCAAACATCGAGATGTAGGTAAAATAGACACACTGAACCAGAAAATGGCAACTGTGACCCCTCGTTATGTCCCCGAGGTCATCTCAGGTCACGAACAGAATCTAACAGTTTTTCGATGATAACTTCTGATAGAGGCGTGCTAGAGCGCTGAAAACGCATTAGATGTGTTCGGCTCGACGTTGCGGATCGACTGATATGCAACATGACCTTTTCCGGTCAGGTCATGACCTTGACCTGAGGTCAAATTTTCAAGTTGACCTTTGAAGGTCAAATTACACTATGCAACAGTCATTTTGTTCCTGAGTAACGACCGATTTTTTTGGACTCATTGGGTCCCATTATAACCGAAATGGGCATTTGTTTTGATCTGAAAATGTTTTTCCGGTTTTCAGAGACGATTTTCGATTTTTGGCCCCGAAATTCGGTTTTTGGCCCACTGTGTCCGGTGTAATTGAGTAATCGACTCGCGGTAACTTTCATCGCCCTTCCTATGCCACAAGCTTTCGAATGATATCCGGTTTTGCATATTTGCGTGTAAAAATAACGTCATAAATCTATGTTAAAGTAAGAAAATATTGAAACTTTGTAAAAATTTGACATTTTTTTCGATTTCATTTCAAAATAGAGAAAAAACTAAAGGCCCTATCCAAATTCTGAGCCCAGTTCCTTGAAGAGCATTCAATTTCCGTTCGGAAGGTACTATTTTAGTGCATTTTATCGGTTTACTGTGACGTCCAGATTGAGTCACTTGAAAAACGGGCCCCCAGCCATTTCCATGACAATATGTGTTCAGTGCATGAAGAATCATTCTAGCAAATGGAGGTACAGATCAAGATTCTGAGCGACAGGAGGACTGCTCAAAAGTAAGTTCCTGCGTGTGACCCGAGGTCACAAGGGGTCAACAACATGACCTCAGTTGACCCCTCGTTGATCCTATGGCGTTAACATACGTTATCAGGTTAATGCTATGTGATATGACATAGGATATGTGTTTAGGTTAACTCAATCTGGACGCCACAGGAATCCGATAAAATGCACTAAAAAGGTACCTTCCGAACGGAAATGGAATACTCTTCAAGGAACTGGGCTCAGAATTTGGATAGGGCCTTTAGTTTTTCCTCTATTTTGAAATGAAATCGAAAAAGTCAAATTTTTACAAAATTTCAACATTTTCTTACTTTAACATAGATTTATGCCGTTATTTTTGCACGCAAATATGCAAAACCAGATATCATTCGAAAGCTTGTGGCATAGGAAAGGCGATGAAAGTTACCACGAGTCGATTACTCAATTACATCGGACACGGTGGGCCAAAAACCGATTTTCGGGGCCAAAAATCGAAAATCGTCTCTGAAAACCGGAAAAACATTTTCAGATCAAAACTAATGCCCATTTCGGTTATAATAGGACCCAATGAATAAGAAAAATTCGGTCGCTTTCCAGGAACAGAAAATGTTTCATTTTTTGTTGCATAGTGTTACAGTTCATTTGACGCGTCTCGACGAGAGGAACACGATGCTGGCAAAAGTGATGTCATAGCTCTTTCGAGTCAAAAGTTATTGCCGAAAAAACGTTTTTCGTAAAAACGGCTATTTTTGGAGTTTTTGCCCTCTGGAGGTTAAACCGTTGACCTGAGGTCAAATCTGAGAACATTAGTCAGAAAGGTCTGTAAAAGGGCTATCGAATGCGCTTTTTTGCGGCGCTGTAGCTCTATTGGTTCCCGAGATAGCCGTTGGCAGTTTCCAAAATGTTGAAATAGTCAACATTTTACCTTTGGTGACCTCTGGTGACCTGACCTTTGACCTGACCCAAAAAATGACCGAAGTGTTTTCGTCCTTATTTTTGACGTTCTTTCGATTGCCGCTTACCGCGTGTCGCTACGTGGCCCAGGAGCCGAGTTAGAAGGGGGGTGGGGGTGTTCAGACACCTCCCAGCGGCCCGGCGCGGAATCTCAGAGCACCGGCCCGGCGCGGGTTAAAGGGACCCTCCCACCTTCAAAAAAGTTAATGGATTGGCACGAAAGTGATGTCGCTCGGTTCAGAAAGAGCGAAAACGAATATCTACCAAATTTCATCGAAAAATATTCACCGGTTTTCAAGATATTAGACTTTTACTTTTGTTTACTTTTTGGGATCTCCGCTGTTCCTAGCGACTTTATTTGAAAGTGCGGCATTTGTTGCGCGCAAAGCAGCATATACCACCGCGTGCTACCAAACGTTTTAGTAAAAGATTTAAAAATCGTTAGATTTCCGCTGACGTCACAAATTCTAAGGGGGCATACCAATGCACTAGCCCCTTAGAATCCGAAAACTGCAAGTTTGAAATTCCATATCTCCGAATTAAAGCATTTGTCGATGTTGTGAGTGCCCAAACCGGTATTTGCAGGCCATGGCCACCAATTTGGCTATCTCAACTCAAAACTAATGTTAAGGTGGGAGTGTCCCTTTAACATTAGACGGGTTTACATAGGGTTTGTTGCAAGCTTATATCTCCGTCCGTGATGTTGCAAAAGATGCCAATGGTGCTGAACAATTTACAAAATGATCCCCTCTAAATATTTGAAGACCACTGCATCGAAATTATCGCCAAATTAACGAGCTAGAGCCTCGTCAAATATGCTATGTAAACCGGGTTATTGTTCCTATTCCCGGGAGGTTCTCAATATCAGGCAGTAGGGATATGGTATGCTTTACTTATCGCTGATGATGCCAGGCTCTTCGCGCGTTGTTCATGTGAAGGTGTCAGCACGTTCCGGGAGGGGGGATATGATGCATTAAAACACAATTGGTTACTGCGGCAAAGCAAGAGCATGGTCAAAACACGACTTCATTTTGTTTCGTATCGCCAATCTGCAACGGCAGATGCTAGGTTGACGGAAAAGAGATTTGCGTTTGTTATGTTTTGATCCTGAATCACTAATTTTGTGTCGTCAGTTTTCGTGTCCTACGATGTGCCGTAATCCCGAGTGCAACAACCGGACGCGCTTTTCGCTGGACTTGGAGAAGTCGCGGTTCGTCGACTACCAGAAGCTGCGAATTCAGGAGACTCAGGCCGAGCTGCCGCGCGGCTCCATACCCAGGAGGTGAGGCTCGACGGCAGCCCAGGTGACCGGGCTCATTGACTCGTCGGGGAATCCATTCACAAGATGGTTTTAAGAATGGTTCTCATTTGACGTGACAATCCAGAGTCCAGACCATGTTCTGATTTTGAGCTTGTAAATTTATGGTTGCAAATGCGCAAATGATAAAGCTAAATTTATCACTGGCTGGAAATAGCAAGCAATTATAAAAACGTGTGTCTGGTAGGGCTGGACACTGCTTTATTGACGTCCAACATTTAGCCTATATGACCCAAAACACCTACATACCCAGAGGAATGAATGAATGCTCGTTCGACCATTGTTAGACATTAGTTGAGTACCTACCGTCGCTCCTCTCTGTCGCCGGCAGCGTTGACGTCATCGTGCGTGCCGAGGCGGTGGAGTCGGCTCAGGCTGGTGACCGCTGTGACCTGATCGGCACCCTGATCGTGGTGCCGGACGTGGCCTCCCTGGCCACACCGGGCGCCCGTGCCGAGACCTCCGCCAAAGTCAGAGGTCAGTGCTGCGTCACGCCTCACGAGATTATCGGAGTCAGTCATTGATTCCGTGGTATCTGCGAGAGAACGTGTGGAATAGGTACTCGGTTATGCGTTTTTGACGTAGAAAAAACGGAGTCATTTTCGCAACAAACGGATTGTCCTCGGGTCATGGCCTTGACTAGTGGTTGAATTTTGACAGCGATCTAGTCTAATTACAGCTTGTAAGTTTATTGTATGCCATTAGATCAGTCCTTAGAGATGATGATATTAAAATAAGTTAGCCTTTTTTCGAGCTTCCACAAACACAACAACAAAATAATACTATTTCCAGCGTATATTTCAGGAACGATTAGTTCTCGACGATCAGTTATATCAGCCATGCCCACGTGTTTACATAGCGGATAATCCCTGACTGACTCGCTCGCCCCCTCTCCGCTCCGCAGCGGACGAGTCGGAGGGTGTGCGCGGCCTGAAGGCGCTCGGTGTGCGCGAGCTCAACTACCGTACCGCCTTCCTGGCGTGCACGGTACAGCCGGCGTCCGGCAGCGGCTCCGGCGGCGAGCTGAAGGCCGATCAGCTGACCGCCGACGCCATCAAACACCAGATGACCGAGGCGGAGTGGAGCCGGGTGTACGAGATGAGCCGCGACCGCAACCTCTACCAGAACATCACCTCCAGCCTCTTCCCCACCATCCACGGCAACGACGAGATCAAACGCGGTGGGTAATGCCATTTTTTTTTAGATCTTTTTACTAACAGCAACTACCAGCCTAATTGTGCTGTTGTAAGGGATATCTTACTGTTATTTAGCAAAATGACTAGTGCATTCGACGCGCTCTAATGTAGCCCCGATAACCAAACAAACAAAGCTATCATCCGGCAAATGTTGACTAACACCGCGATATCCGTTTCCAGGTATCCTACTGATGCTGTTCGGCGGCGTTGGAAAGGCGACTGGCGATCACACCACGCTCCGTGGAGACATCAACATCTGCATAGTGGGAGACCCCAGCACGGCCAAGTCTCAGTTCCTCAAACAGGTGCGTGCTACTAAATTGCACGTCCATGTAACAATTGTCGAAACACCTGACTTCGAAATACCACCTGTGTCACCCTTATTCTTGTTTATTGAATCATTAAATCATAGTCAGCTCCCTCTGAAACCATGTCAATTTCATTATTTTGTGTTTATTTGACTCTGGAAACGACCCTCTCTATTCTGCAGGTGACTGATTTCTCTGCGCGAGCTGTGTACACGTCCGGCAAGGCGTCCTCGGCGGCTGGTCTAACTGCCGCCGTGGTTAAGGACGAGGAGTCACACGAGTTTGTCATCGAGGCCGGCGCGCTGATGCTGGCCGACAACGGCGTCTGCTGTATCGACGAGTTCGACAAGATGGACGTCAAGGACCAGGTGGCCATCCACGAGGCCATGGAACAGCAGACCATCTCCATCACAAAGGTCCGTCAGGTGTAGCGGCTCCGGGCTCTGTTGGCAGGAAATGGTAGTCGAGTTTGGGGTGTCTAGGAATGATGTTAATGTGACAGCTGAACGCAGTCATGTCAGTTGTCACCGCTAATCAGTGACACATTTAGTTTCATGTTCACCCATGCCTACCTACCTGTGCACAGAGCTTTGGAAAGAGTGCTGTTCTCTTTCTGCCCAGATATTACATCTCAAACGCCCGGCTGTATTTATGTATTCCCTATAGACAAGCGGACGTTCTGGTTACTGAATTTATGTAGTATGCTGACCGCCCGAGTTCGTGCCTCCTCAGGCGGGAGTGAAGGCCACCCTGAACGCACGCACCTCCATCCTGGCTGCGGCCAACCCGATCGGTGGCCGCTACGACCGCACCAAGTCGCTGCGTCAGAACATCACCCTCTCGCCGCCCATCATGTCTCGGTTCGACCTGTTCTTCATCCTGGTGGACGAATGCAACGAGGTGGGTGTCTCAGCCCCTCAGTTTGTAATGTTTTTTAATTAGTTCGATAGTTTGTTTTCAATGGTTTGAGTAGTGGAAGCTTGTATTATGACGTCAACGTCATTATGTACATACACGTGCACATTATGCACATGCATAATTGCACATTATGCACATGCATAATGTGTGGTAATTAGGTATTTATATTTGTTTATTTGATGAGCCGTGCAGTGGGTTATTTGGCATTTTGGCGTGCAAATTCGGAATGATTATACCTGAGCCGTTGGAAGCTGATGATTGATCTCGGTTACAGGTGACGGACTACGCGATCGCGCGGCGGATCGTCGACCTGCACAGTCGCAACGTGGAGTCGATCGAGAGGGTCTACTCGAGACAGGAGGTGGCCCGCTACATCACGTTCGCCCGCACCTTCAAGCCCAAACTCACCAAGGTAATCAGCCGCCACTCCGGCTGCCAGCAAACTGCCAGGTACTGTTATGTTATGTTTGTTTTGATAATCAAGTTTCTGGGCTCATACCGCCTATTGAATGGTCATTGGTCACGCGCCGTCCTAAAGCCCTGATGAATCGCTTCTGCGGCGATTCTGGCTGCGACATAATCTGGTCGAAAAATCGCAAGATGGTGCGGAAAAGGTTTAACTCATAGATATTTACCGATATCGTTTCACTCAATTGATAATTCTGTCGCGGCTCTAGTTGTCTCGGTCGTTTGCAGTTTGCACCCGTCCCTTCACATCACAGCGCTATGTGATGCCAGATTGTAACGCTGTTCTCCATTTCGCCGACAGGAGGCCTGCGAGTTTCTGGTGGAGAACTACCAGCACCTACGGCAGAGGGACGCCTCCGGCTCCGCCCGCTCTGCCTGGCGCATCACCGTACGACAGCTCGAGTCCATGATCCGACTCAGCGAGGCCATGGCCAGGCTCCACTGCTCAGACATGGTAAATATGCAGGGAAAACGGTGTACTGTGAGCTGACTACTGCACGTAGTTAACACTGGCATACATCTTTCAAGCTAGAGTAGCCAAGATGAAGATCTTGTCTTTTTCTGGTCTAGTTGAGATATTTCACTTGACGCATGCGTTTATTTATTTGTTTATTTGTTTATTTATTTATTTATTTATTTATTTATTTATTTATTTATTTATTTATTTATTTATTTATTTATTTTTGGTATGCAGCTTTCCTTTGTAGGTGCCTGACCGTTGCTGTTTTGTTGCCCTCAGGTTCAGCCGAAGCACGTGAAGGAGGCGTACCGGCTGTTGAACAAGTCCATCATCCGCGTGGAGCAGCCGGACGTGCACCTCGACGAGGAGGATGAGGATGAAGAGATGGCGGAGCAACCGGATGGGGCAGAGGCGGCTCCCGTCGCCGACGAGCAGCCGACCGTCAACGGAAACGGTAAGGACAGATGCAGATGTATCCCTCTGCACTTCAGAGCTGTCAGAAATACGAGCTGAGTAGGACAGAGGCGGAATCCAAGAGGCGTGGACGACCTGACTACTGTCCGTGCACCTGAAAACCTGAATTGACAAACATAAGCGGCATCGGGTGGGATAAGGGCGTGGTAGAGAAATATGACTGCGCGGCCTGCGTGACTTCGTTTGATTTTGTTGTTTTCTCGCCTAACTCATTACCCTAGTCTTCACCCTTTGCCTCGCTATTCCTATCCCAAGTCTTCTCAGTACCGCTGTGACCGCTCGGCTACCCCTGCCTGGCTGAGGGTCCTGGTGTTACATAAAGGGCTTGGAATCATTCAACCAGGCGACAGATGGCAATCGCCGGTGGAGACACCCGATTTCGGAATTTTCAAAAGACACATTACGCATTTCGAGTTGAAGTTCACCGGTCAGGTCAAATGACGGCGTATCTCTCCTCTCACAGGTCACTCGTCTCCATCCAGCGACCCGCAGAACGACCAGGAAAATATCCGGCCCACCGAACAGAAGAAGAAACTGCGGCTCACCTACGATGAGTACAAAACCATGTCAAATCTCATCGTGTACTTCATGCGCAAGAAAGAGGCAGAATTCGAAGGTACGGTTCTTCCTTTGTGGTGATCTTTCAATGCTTTCAGTGAATTATTCACTCTGGCCCGGCGAGGGGCACTTGCCACTCAGCTTTTTTTCAACTTTATCATTGTCATTTATGCATATTCTATGTGTTAAAAAAGAGGGGATAAATTTTGTACGTTGTAGCCGTGTACGAAAAGTGGTCCGCATGGTTTGCTTTTGTTTATGTAGTGTCCGGCCCGGCCGGACACTACATAAACAAAAGCAAACCATGCGGACCACTTTTCGTACACGGGACCGGCCCCCCCCCCCCCCCCCCCCCCCCCCGAAGAAATAGCAACCTTGGTGTTTTTTTTTTAGATTTTTCATGCATTTTCCATAATTTTATTTTTGTTTTAATGTTATGGTACCATTGGGACATAACTGACCAAATGTGACTGATACCGCGATCCGCCCCGTTTGCAGAGGTTTCCGGCGAGGACGTCGGTGTGCGCCGCAGCGACGTCGTCGACTGGTACCTGCTTCAGAAGGAGGCGGAACTGGAGACGGAGGCGCAGCTCCTCGAGATGAAGGAGCTCGTAGAGAAGGTTCTGGACCGGCTCATCTACAAGGTGAGGAGAGTGAGCGCTGGGAGTCTGCGTCCGTATCAGGCTGATGATTTGTTTCCTTGGAAGTCAGGGCCTTTGTTTTGTACTGGCTAGCTTTTTTGTAAAATCGCCCATCAACGTCACGACATCGATTTTTGTGTAATCACTGTGTGAAAATCTTTCTCATTTCTGAGAGGATAGAGAAATTACGGGATTTTTTTACGGAGCGAGCGAAGCGAGCGTAGTCTTTCCTTAGATTAACGGAAATTTCTGAGTATGAGCGGCCGGCCGTGGTCACGCTTTTGCGAGGCTTATATCTCAGCAACCACTTGACCGATTTACACGCGGTAATTTTTGTAGGGTAGCTTCATTCCTTCTACCAAGTATTGGACTATTCCCGTTGCATGTGGGTGACCCCTTATGCACGTGCCACGTGCAAAACGAAGAGGTGTCAGTTTTGTAATTGTTGCAATATCTCGGTAACTACTTGGCCGATTGCGCTGAAAGTTGTCATGTAGGTAGGCGCCCACTAGGCACTGCATATACATGTGCCAGAGTTGGGGTGCTGCTGCACGTGCGCACGTGCAGGGGTCGTTTCCAGATCTCGGGAACGGCTGGACCGATTGCGCTCAAATTTGGTACACGGTTAGGGACCGGTTAGTAGGGTGCCGTGCACAAGTCAGTTGGGACCCATCTTGCACGTGCGCACGTGCAGGGTGCCGCTTCCAGATCTCGAGAACGGCTGGGCCGATTGTGCCCAAATTTGGCACATCGCTAGAGACCAGTTAGTAGGGTGCCGTGCACAAGTCAGTTGGAGGTACCCCCTCGCAATTTCGCACGTGCAAGGCCCACCCTCTCGCTCGCTCCGTTAGTCGCCCCAAAAGGCGTTATACTGGTTTTATTTGCTTTTGAGCTGATAATACAACAGTTATTACATCGGATTTAATTACAACATGAATCCGGTTAAAGTGATGTTCCTCTGTCACCATACCTATCGAAGTGGTTACAGTTAATAAGCAATCACTATCTAATCGTATCAGCCTTAGTTTTTATTTCACAACTCATTGATTGGGCATACAGATGCCTTACGAACATCAGCGTCCCAAGCAGTATGTCCGGCATCACGTATCCCTTCTGTGCTGACGCCGTCTGTGTTTCCCGATCCGCAGGACCAGATCGTGATCCCGCTCACCCACACGGGCCTGAAGGGCGCCGGTCACGACGAGGACAACCCTCTGCTGGTGGTGCATCCCAACTACGTGGTCGACGAGTAGCCCGGCGCGCCGTCCGCGTGCTGCGTGAGTGGCTGACGGTTACCCGAGTCTCTGCTCGGCCGCAGTCACGCTGTGTGCTGACCTGGACCCGGGCACGAGTCCGATCGATGATCTACAAACCTGATGTGACTCCCATTTACTCGCAGTCCTATCGAGAATATTCTGCACAAGTGGGATTGTGGGCCTGATAATCTCACCTTCGAATTGCCAATGAAAAGTGAAGATCTCTTTGTGAAGAGTTCTTCGCGGCCTTCCAGCCGCGGTAAGGTGCCTTTTGCTGCTGTTAGTTCGCTGCTACCAGTCTTCGAGACAGAGTGGATGTTATTCTCACCGCTTTGCTCTTTGACTGCCAGTCAATAGCGATTGGCTGTCCCGCAAGTGATGTTAACAAGATACCTTGTTAAGCGTGTGCCAGGAGTCGTCTGAGCGGGCCTTTAGTGGGCGGTGCCGCGGGGCGATGTAGCGATTTACGCGTGTGTAGTTGGCTACTGCGGTCAGCTGCCAACCATTGGGTGCCTTTGCGCTGCCTTGTGAACGTACAAACAGCAGAACGGTGATGCACCGGTTGTAGAAGGTGAATGAATCACTCGTGAGCGGCGGCTGCGGCGTTTGAAATAGTGTTCGTGGCAGTGGACACCGTGCCGCGTCTACATGGGGACTTCCATTTGTATTTCCGTATCAAGCTACATTCCGGCACTTTTGTAAGAATTTGAATACATGCAGTCGTTTTTTGCTCGTCTGTTTCCCATAACGGCTTGCCAACGACAGAGTCTGAACAACAGTTTTTTTTTCATCTCTGCCCCATGCTAGGTTGAGATACTGCTCCCTGTTCCCCGAACTTGATTGATCAGCTGTCTAGTTGAAATAGGACGATTGTGGAAATCTGACATAGAGCACATTGTATACGGCAATTTTAGTGACAACTTATTTTACGGATATTTTCGAATGGCGGGTCCCGATTTGAGTGCCCTTCGTCGTTTTCATAATGTTTTTCCCTGCAGCCATCATCTTGTAACCAAGATTCTTACAGAAAGTTGTAACCATCCTAGAATTCAGCAACTACCGGATGGACAGGAAAGAAAGTTGCGCCATTTTACTCGCCGCGTGTGATTTCTTTCGACATCAGTGACCTTCAACGATCAACGACAAATGTTTTGTTCTGCTAACAACTGAACTATTCATGGACTGCATTCTGAAATAGCCAATACAGGGCAAATAAAAACGAAAATGACACGATTTGACTCGTCGCACGCGATTCTAGCAGACTTATCGCTGCCTTATCCAACTTTAGGTGGAAACATTTCTTAACTTTAGGTCGACCCGTAGTTTTAAAGCTCAGTGACGGTCACCATATTGGCATGCACAGACCGTAAGGTCAGTTCGCTTAGGCGTCTGATGATAATCAAAGTGTCTGATGGCATCGCAAATTGTAAATCGAATGATGTCGTTTTCAGCCAGCACATGGAATGGCAGTGAAATAGTGTTGCCCCGTTATCAATGGTTGCATTGTTTTTATTTTGTTGATAATAGATTGAAACGAGCGCGCCGTAGTTGCAAAAATCTGTTTGCATTCGATGGACTGTTCAAGGTTGGTTCAAGATAACCTGCTGCCAACACAGCTGACCAATCAGCATGAAAACAGAGAATTAAGAAGCGACAAACGACGTCATAAGCAGCAAACAAGAGCCAATCATTGGCTGCTTGTGAATCTATGTCGTCATTTTATTTGACCGTGAGTCCGTCAGTAGGAGCCTAGGAACACACTTCTTTCGGCCAAAGTGGTAGGTGGGCGATGTCAACTTTTGATGTTAGTACGTTTTAATTTTTAGTATTTCTTTTTGGTTTATGTGTGTTTAGTATTTTTACGCGCCCTAATCCAACAAGAACAAGAAGTGTTTAGTATTTTATGGTATTTTGTTGTCATATAACATTTGTTTCGCTTTCAAAGAATGTATCACAAGTATTTTCTTCTCATTTAGTGCCTGACTGTTGCTTGTCTCAGGTTAGGTAGCCGGTAGGTATGCATCTTTTTGTACATGCTTTTTCTGAGAGAAAAAATAGTAGTTAGCGTATCTTTATGGTGATGTCCAAAAATGGTTATTTTCTGTTTCAGGTAATGTGAAAATGGCACTCCGGGCTGCACCACCACCTCCAAAACTAGCTCCGAAGCCTGGAAGTGTAAAGGTTTATAGAGCAATTTACAAGTACACTGCCCAAAGTGTAAGTTGATTTTCATTGTAAATGATAGCAATTAGCAACTCAATAATGATGGGGTCTCAGGGTAATGGCACCTGAGTTCAGTGGCTGTTTTTGTTGTAGCCTCTGCTTGAGCCGAGGTATTCCGTTCTCCTCTTGAGCTGCTGCAGTCTGCACACAATCAGTATAAGGTGTATTCTGGGCATAAAGTGTATCAACATTAACAAGCCTGAGCTGGTTGGGCGCTACCGCAACGCAAGACTGTTAAGCCAAGTGTGAATACACCCGTTCATCCATTTGTATGCTGGGCTTTACCAATTCTGAGGACAGCCTGAGACAGCCACAACAGTTTGTTTTTTCCCGGTGCTCTGATAGTTTTCGAGCACATCTTGGTCTTCCATTGATGATTTATGATCAGCAGATTGGCTAATCCACCACTGAGCACTGAGCAGCTGAGGGAGAATTGCCAGCAAGTTTATATGATATATGGCATACCTAATACATTGCCAGTATGCTGACAAAAACAGCTTCCAAAATCCAAGCACACTTTTGCAGGGCATATTTTAAGGATTTTTCACTGCGTCCCAAAGGTGGCATAGGGCACACGCTTTGATCGGAAAGGGCACATTGCAAGCGAAATAGTATATAATGCAAGTGAGATAATGTACAGATACATTGTGTACTGTGCTGGTGGAGGGGCACTGCAAGCGGGATATTGGGAGCGGGCTGTGATTGCTTTTGGCCAATCTCGAAATTCGCCCAGTCGTAGTGCGTTCTTTATCCGCATTCAAAGGGCGGACCGGTGATTTAATGACATTTACATTGTTGTTAGTCACTCGTTTTCCTGAACGGCGTTGGGCGTGTTTGTCCTCCCTTGACGCACCAAATTGTACCTATGCTTAGAGAATAAAAATGAATACCTATGCACATGATTAAAATGTGATACATACGTCTCTTCATGCGTTTTTCACCCTTATCAATCGATTCAAAATAGAGGTTGACGTGTGAAACATTGCCAATTTGCATTGAAGGTACTATGTGTTTGAAATAATTAGATGACGTAAGGTCAAACAGTACCTACCTAAGTTGTGACAAGAAATCATCGGATTTTAAAGCTACATAAAAAATCCATCATAGATTAATGCTTTGGATGAACGGATTCTTTGGATGCTTCGGATTTCGCTTCCTTACTGCCTATCATGTAATATAACCCAAACTTTTCCCAATGGAAGTTCCTTTGTTTAATTATTATGCCCAGAAATGTGTCGATTTTGTGCCATTTCTGGGCGCTTTGGTGGGGGGGGGGGGGAGCATGGCCCCGTGGTCCCCTCTATATCCTCCTATGGCCAGACGGCCATGACGGCCCTGATCTTACCGTATGCCATCAAATGTCAAACTTCGCAATGATGCAATTTTTTTCGGAAAACGTGCCGGTATCTCAAAAACTATGATAGCTAGGAGGGCGCAATCGATAGGAGAAAAGCAATCGATATATCTTGTTCAGCTCTTTCGTCAATATTTTGTCAGAATTGAGTTCAGATCAACGGTTAAGGCTCCATAGCCAAAAACGGGTAAAATTACAATTTTTGTCAATATAGGTTTCATGAAAAGCCTTTGAACTAAAAAAAGGTAGAGAATTTTCGTTTGCACGATCGTTCTTCTCTCATTTTTACCTCGAAATGTCAAGGTCAGAACTTGATCTCACATTAAGGTCATTTCGTGACCAAGATAGATCATGTCGCATATCAGTCGATGCGTTTCGATGAGGTACCTCAAAACAATGATACAATCCACTGTGCATGCAAAAGCCCGGTAGGGCCGGATTTTGGGCCAGGCTCCGGGCCTGCGGGCTCCAACTTGACATCTCTTAACAGGACTTTAGGGAAGGGCAGGACACAGAGTCTGAGCCCAAAGGACAGGGCAGGCACAGGCCATGAAGCTAAGATAAGACGGGGATACTTGAGGGCTGGGTAGGGTGCAGGGTCCGACGGCAAGACAAGGCGCGGGTCTGAGGCTATCATTACACAAGGCCGGAGAGTAGTGCAAGACACAGGGCCTTAGAACACCTGATGACCAACACACCTGAGGGCAGGGCAACACGCAGGATCTTAGAGCAGGGCAAGAAATAGTACCTAAAGGTAGAGCAAGACATAAGACACAGGTATGGCACAAGGCCCCAAACACCGCCCACGTCTTGTCATACCTTCGGGCCCCGAAGGTATGACAAGACGTGGGCGGTGTTTCACGGACGCTGCTATCAAATTCCGCGAGCTGACGTCATACTTGTGGTAGTGTTTGAGCAATGGGCCTGTTGATGTCTCCATGGAAACCCAATTTGACACGTGTAATAGCAGCGTGCTGCTATCACCGATGAAACAGGGCCAGAGTATGGAGCCTGAGGGCAGGGCAAGGCTCAGGGCATGAAGGCAGAACAAAGCACAGGTTCTGAGGACAGGTAAGGGCACGGGGCATGAGGACGGGAAACGGCACGGGACCTGAGGGCGGGAGACACCACAGGGCCTGATGACAGGGCAGGGCACAGCGCCTGAGAGCGGGCATGGAACACGAGACCTTAGGGCAATGCAGAATACAGGGCTTGAGGGCAGAGTAGGACACAGGGTCTGATGGCATGGGACGGCACAAGGCCTGACGACAGGGCAGAGCACAGCAACTTAGGGCGAGGCAGGGCACGGGCCTGAGGGCGATACAACGCATAAGGCAGAATAGGGCACAGGGTCTAAGGGCAGGGCAATGCACATGAGGCCTGGAAGCAGAACATGACAGGACAGGGCCTGAGGTAGGGCAAGGCATTAGGCTCGAGGATGGGCGCGGCGCCGGGGCATGAGGACATGGGAAGGCACAAGGCCTGATGGCAGGGCAGGGCACAGTACCTGAAGACAAGGCAGCGGCACGGGGTCTGATGGCAGGACGTGTCACAAGGCTTGAGGTCAGAGAAGGGCAGGGGCCCCAAACTAGGGTAGGGCAGGGCACGGGGCCAAAAGACGGGAAGGCAGCGCATCAAATTTCCAGGCAGAATATATAAAGTATCGTGTTTGAGGGCAGGGCAGAGCGGGGCACAGGGCCTGAATGCGGAGCAGGGCACAGGACCTGAAGAAAGGGCAAGGCAAGGTACAAGACCTAAGGACAGGGCACTGGGCAGGGCACATATCCTAGGGGTATAGAAGGGAAGAACATAATAAGGTGTATGACCAAGGGTAGGGCAGGGCACAAGGACTGGAGAGGGCATGTATGTGCTTAGGTACATAGTAAATCAGGGCACAAAGCAATCGGAAAGCCAACATCTTTTACACAGTAAAAGACCGAGGCATGTTACTAATTTTTGCTCGCACTTTTCGGCTGAAACCGTGGCATTTCAGTCACAGTGTGGGACGCAGTGGTCCAAATTTCGCGAGGGCTACGTCCCAAAGGCAAGGGGCTGCGTCCCAAAATGGGACGCAGTCAGTATGTTAAAATATGCCCTGCACTTTTGCATTGGGAAACACCTAGCCTATGAAGTGAAACCTATTTTCACATGTAGGTAAATGTATTTTCATTTAACAGCAGAGCTCTCAGATAAACAAAGCATGTGGGTCAGGTAGCAAAGTATCAGACATGGGAATATATGCAGTTATTATCCGGAAAGGATTGAGGCCTTTGGAGTCAAGCATCTTTTGATGATAGGAGTAAAAAGTAGCATGGAGTTTTTCATTGTTAATGGATTAGATGTTTGGGTTGGAAGGAGAAATTCACATTAGTTGGAGTGTATATTTTTTTTTTTTTTGCTACATCAAACTTCTCTCAAGGATAGGACAAAATTCTCATTTGCCTATTTTGCCTTATTATCAAGCTGCAACCCAACACTGCAAGTCTTTACAATCTGCACAGCACACCAGCAATTCTCCTCTGGGTGACACATGTGCACCGGGTGCTAGCCCTACCAGAGTGACAAAACTGTGCCAGCCAGACTCTGAATGAGACCTAGAACAGTCACTGATGATCGATGTGACTCTCTCACCTCTGCTGTCCATTCTTGGAAGCTGGAAGACACTCATTGGCGGTGATCAGACTTTATTTATAAATTTAGCTAGAATGTTTGAATGAATGGATTGACAGAGGCAGAGCCTACGCTAAGCAGAGCTTGTTGCGTAGACTCCGACTCCTACCGTCCGATCGCGCAATTCCGGATAACGGGAGAATTTAGATGCCAAAGTTAAAATTCAAAGCCGGAGTCCGGACACGGTCTGTCCCACTCAACTGACTTCAACTAGATGCGGCTGCTCCCACCAACTGCAGACCATCCCCATCAGGAGTCTCAAATATCAAGTGCCGAAGCGACTCGAACCCGGGCTCTCACTATACTGGGAGTCCGGGAGACTTATGCCTTCCTTTCCCACTGAAAGGGCACCACATGAGGCCTGTTTATGTGTGGCGGTCAGTGATTGATGGTGAGTGACTGACTGCTGCCTGGCCTGTAATTTTCAGGAAGATGAGCTGTCATTCGAGGCAGGAGACTTGCTGTACGTGAAGGAGCCTTCCGCCGACCAGGTGTGGTGGACAGCGAGCTGTGGCACAAAAACCGGCCTGGTGCCATACAATTATGGTACGTATACTGTTAACCGCCCATTGTACACCTCTTCGGGTGACAAATGAGCGAGCGAGAGTGAGCTGTGAGGCTGTGAGGAAGTGCGGAGAGGCACATCGAAATGACTTGCGCGCACCATCTTGCTACTGGTGCCTTATGGTATGCCAAATTTAGGTGTCATCAGATCAGTCATTCCCAAGATGTTGAAGAAACAAGACTTTACGTGGGCTCGTGCTAACTGGTTGCTAACTGACTTTTGCATGGCACACTCACGTCTAACCACTGGTCGCCAAGGGTCAAGGGGGTACCTAAGCTGAGTCGCCATCGGCCTAGCCTTTCTCGAGATGTGGATTCCACCCCTATACGTGCGTACGTGCCGTATTGCCCCGACGGTGACTCGAGGGAATGGATCGCCCGGGTTGGGTGCCTACCCATGTCAAGTTCAAGTGCAATCGATCCAGCGATTTTTGATCGAAACAAACTTGGCACCACTTTATTTTCCACGTGGCATGTGTGGAAGGGATGACTCACGTGGGAAAGGGTATTCTTTTTTTGTGGCGAAAAACGGCAAAATATCGAGAAAAAAATATCATTAGGCCTGAAAGGCATAGTGCGGTGACGAATTGATTTCGATATGACGCTGCAGTAGCACAGCTGTTTCACTGAAGCGCATAGCAGAGTACTGGTTAGTTAAGGAAAAAAGCAGGAGAGCTCGGTGGTATGGTGTGGGCTATCGGCTCTGTGCGTAACTATGACGTTGTATCCGGCAGTGGAGGAGCGCTCCGAACCGTTGGAGAGTCCGCTGCACGAGGCGGCCAAGCGGGGCCACCTGAGCTTCCTGCAGGACTGTCTGCGCCACCGGGTATCGGTGAACGGTCTGGACAAGGCTGGTAACACGGCGCTGCACTGGGCGGCGCGCGGCGGCCACCTAGAGTGCGCCGAGGCGCTGCTGGCCGTCCCCACCGTCTGCGTCAACGTACAGGTCAGTGTTGTGCAGCAGACGCGGGTCGTGGTATTTCTTAGAGCTCAAGTTGCTGCTACATGAATGTATCGCTATGCGTCATTTGTCCGCGCCTATCAAGCTGATATCTGTTTTCCTGTGACGTTGGCAGAACAAACTGGGCGACACGGCGCTCCACCTGGCCGCCTGGCGTGGTCAGGCCGAAATGGTGTCACTGCTGCTGCGCCACGGGGCCGACCAGAGCGTCTGTAACGGCCAGCAGCAGCGGCCGGCCGACCTGGCGCAGTCGGCCAGCTGCGCGGCGCTGCTCCGACCCAGGTCCTGCACCGACGACGACTACGGAGTCGAGTCCGACTCGGACTGACGCACAGTGTGACCTTTATCTCGCAATTGTGGACCAAATGAGCTTATCGTTTATCTTATGCGGTTCGTGCTAGCTGTGCACAAGCATGGCGTTGATGCGACGGATATTTAGTATAGGTTCTGTGAAGGCTCTGCTTTGAGGCCGTGGTACTAGCGTGACAAGAACTGTACTGCACATTACATAATCATATATTCCATCTTGTCGTGATACGAAAGTCGCCTCCTGCTTGCTTCGTGAGTCTTCAAATAGGCATTCGCCATTTAACAACGAAAGTCACGATAACTAGTCGTCGACTGAGAAAAAACACAGGGTTACTTCCAACTCTTGCTGTTCGGGAGAGTAAAGACATCCGTTATTCGCACATCCGTTATTCAGCGGCAACACCTTCGTCAACACATCATTGAGGTGCAAATTGATTTTTGTAGCGAATTTGAGTTTCACCTGTTCAGAATTATTCATGTTATCTACAATTTTGTGCTGATTTTGTCCTAGCCAGAGTACCGGATCTCTTTTATATCCACCTTTGTTTGACATAACGCTGGGCTTTTCCCAGAAGAAAAGAAGACGTCGCTTGATGCCACTATCAGTCAAATAATTTTGCAGCAATCTGTTTTTTTTTTCAATCTTTTATAATCCTATGAACGCTGATGTGACAACATTGGTAAATTGGGTTTATACTTATTGTTCACAGCGGTTTTTTCGTGTGGCTGGTAGAACTCGGGGCGACTTCTAGCCGCATCCGGTGATTTGTCAAACTGGTCCCAAGCCAAGATTCTTGATTTGGCAAAAGAAATGACATGTATTGTTGCGTTATCCGGTATGGTTTTGGCGGTCCAAGAGTTTTGTTTTCCAAATTTTAAATGATTATGCGCCCTCAGATTATCGGATGATAAATATGTATGTGCCTACGAATCATTCCAATTCTTCCAAATGTCACCGTGCTACGCATTTTGCTAGTGATCCCAAGTAACGTTCAATGTGAACATTATGCCGAGCTCTGGATGCATTGTGCCTACTGCTCCAATGATACGATAGATGCAACTGGCTAATAAATGATCGATGTACCTGCGCTTTATTTTATTTTGTCCACAAACGCAGTGGCACTAAAATAAAATGACCAAGATGCCTAGATACACGTCCCTTTGCCGTTCCCTTTCAAGGAGAGTGCCGCCCTCCAGAAACGCCCTCCAATCCTGACTTTTTTTGCGATAGCTCAGAACGTGCTCGCGCCTCGCTAGCTATGGGAGAGGTAAATATTGGCACAAGCTGGTCTTCGCCAAACAAAAAGAATGAATTCGGAAGCTCCTGATCATGACAAACGATCGTACGATAGGCCCGCACGGCGCACAACTCTGACCATTTTCGGCGAATTTATTCACCTAAACCGAACCCTAGACTCTGACCATAGAGATTACCGGTTGACCTGAGACTTGAAATCGGGTAGCGGTCGCTGTGTCTGATCCATATGGCGTATACGATTGTTACTTTCCTCGAGGCTCTAGCTCAATATAAGGGATGGAACGGCGAGGTTAGAGCGACTGCACTTCATTCTGACACCTCCACGTGCGGCCGGCCGGCAGCGGGGGAGGGGTACCTACCTATGTAAAAAAAAACATTTGGTTCTGCGCAAGGTCCTGCGATTGATTGCATATTGATATTGCATTGATATTTGATATTGATAACTGATATTGATATTGCATAATGATTGCATTGAAGTATGCCTGTTTTATTTTTCTTTTTTATCGGAACACAAAGCCGTCTGATCTGTCTGATGTCTGCACTCGGGAGCCGCCTGTCTGCCGCTGCCCGCTACACTCCTGCGATTTGGAGAACGCCATTTTCTTTTTCTTACGACTTACATGGACTTACGGCGAATCGATGCATTCTTGCTCGGATCAATTCGAGTCCTTGCTGGGAAAGTTTTGGGACTTGTTGAAATATCTGAAGAGTTTCTTAGCAATTAGCGTTTTCCCTACTCATCGCGTTGCTGAGCACTACGGTGCGTCGAATGATGAAGCTTTGTTGGAATCGTTCCAGTAATTTCGGAGCGTAACCTCGTCTACACCATGGTCCATATCTGCACCACGTTTGCATAGTCTGCACGTCAAGGGGGCTGGTGGTTTTGGACCGATTCGATCTTATTGGTTCAATGAGGGTGGACCAATTGACAGAAACGAAAAACCATACTTGTCAAAATTACCAACTTTATATCGAACCGTGAAGTAATGATGAAAATCGGTGTCCGATGTCCCCGATTGTCACGTTTGCTTTTTAGCATCCCAATGCTGTCTGCGCTTTAGACACAACAATATGAAAACCTTGAATTGTTTGTCATTTCTGGGTGTGATTAAAAAACGTGCCATGCAGCTAGGGGCAATCGGGGCAATAATGCGCCAGAAACGTGAATTAGGGGATTATACCTATTGAATTTATGTAAATATTGAAGGTTATTACCTACATTGAGCGCGGCTGTCCATTTTAAATGTTTGAAATTTCCAGTGGTTCAGGGTAAAATGTTCCAGCTAACTCGGTATAAATATTACAAGTGAAGCCAATTGAGCCAGGGTAACTTAACTTAAAGGGGGAAGGGGAATTTCCCCCTTCAAAAAAATCCACTCCCCTTTCAATTTGTGTCTGAATGGCTAGGAAGGGAAGAGGAATATACGCTATTCAGATTCTATACTATCTATAGTCATCTTTAATCAGATTCTAGTCATTAATCCGTAAAATTACAGAACGAGTGATTCACTTATCAGGCATAAGTTTTGCACATTCTTACACTATTTGACATCCTGAATCCAGATATGATACTTACATGTGGTGGAAATATGCAAAACACCAAAAAATTCCAACCGTCACACCCCATTCACATCGCACAAGCCAGACATGTGCACACCCAGCGCTAATGAAATGATAAACGCCGCCATTTTAAGAATATTTGCTGCCATTTCCAGTAAAACAGTTAGGCAACGTATGTTATGGAAGTGACATCAAAATAAAAACGGAAAAATCGTGGTATATGGGAAAGAGAACACCATTTTCAATCAATTTCAAAACGATCAGGGGGGAAACGGCAATGGGGAAGGTCCAACGGACCCCCCTTATATGTTCGCGGCTGGAAAAACACCAATACAGGCTAGGGTTAAATCTTCATCAGAGACTCCTCTTTTACTAGCCAATATGAGAGGGCATTCCAACTGTAGTTTACTAGATGTGAGTAAAGGAGCTTGTCCTTGCATCTGTTGTAAGACCATAGCTAGTTTTTATCTGCTTGCTATGCCAGCTGATTTTGTTGTCAACCTCCAAATCCCTGTTTGGAGGAGTTCCTGCAGACATCAGTAGAAGTTACCCAAAAGTGAAACCCCCTCTCCTGAGCTGAGTGCATTGTAATGTCTTCAGCAATGGAATCATGAATTGGTCGGATGCATTCTTTCCTGCCTTTGCTGCTCCCACATTTAGTCGAAATCTGAAGGTGAATCTGGCATAGAGTTTGAGGGTTATTGGTCAAAATAACTGGGGAAGAGTTTATGAATTGTTTTGTCATAGCATGATCAGCAAATCATAGCCATGTTTTGCTTTACAGGTGAATTGCCTTCAACAACACGCTCAAATGTCAAGCTGCAGCTGTCAGGTATGATCATATTTAATGTCTGCAGCTCTCAGTAAGTTACTGAGTGGGTACTTCACCAGAAACAGCTTAACACCAAACAGCTTGAGGCCTCCTGTGGCCCGTGAATAGACCTTAACCAAGCTTAGAGAGATCTGTGGAATACTTTGACTGATTTGTAGTGAAGATTCATCTGTTGTTATCCAGCTTTTATGCACTCATCTACAGCTTGTGATGCTAAATGCAATGTAGAGATTGTAGGATGCAAAGTTGATTCTGTAATGCTGTAGCATCCTGGCCATGTGCCGGCAGATTAACCAGTATGAGTCGTAGGCAGCTAAGCTGCAGTGTCCTGGTTGTGTGCCGTCAGGTTGACCAGGATGAGTGAGACACCCAGTCGAGCGGGAAGTGCCGACACGGATGAGTTTGTGATACTCAGTGAGACCTCCGAGAGCGGGCCGCGTCTCAGCGTTCCCGGTCCGGGCGGGCTGCCGCAGCTGCAGAGGACCCTGCTCGAGTGTCTGGGTGACGGTATGGAGTCGGCCGGCGGCGACACGCTGGCCGGTGGCGACGGACCGGCGTCGGCGGCCTCTCAGGACACGGCGCCGCCGTCAGAGGGGACGGCCAGCCCTCCCTGCTCGCCGGCCGGCCCTGACCGGGCGGAACCCGCCGACACGACAAAACCGGCGCCAGGTAACGGCTGTTGCTCCAATATCGCTCTCGCTGTCGTTCTCGGTATCATTCTCGCTCTCCTCTCTGTCTCTCGGTCTCCTCTCCCCCTTTCTCCTTCTCTTTCTTTTTTTCTCTCTCTCTTTCTCTCTGTCTCTGTCTCTATCTCTATCTCTATCTCTGTCCATATCGGTCTGTCTATCTCTGCGTCTCTGTCTTTGTCTCACTCTCGCTCTGGCTCTCTTTACAATATGCCAGTTTGAATTCTGAACCCAATTTGCAATGGCACTAGGAAGAAGACTAGTCAGTTCTCTGCCATCACAGGGTAGCATAGAAACATATAGCTGTGTTCGTCCCGTTGCAGGCTCGCCGGGCAGTGTTGGTGCTACCGAAGGCAGCGCCGGTGAGGACGTGCTGGAGGATCACTGTACGTTCCACCGCGTACAGTACCTGGGAGCGGCCAGCATCAACGCTCCGCGCAGCGAGACCGAGATTCAGCGCAACATGGCCATTCTGAATGCGGAGGAGGCCAGTCGGCAGGCCATCGCCGTGTCTGTGGCCGTGCCGACCACGCCGCAGGGCAGCGTCATGTGAGTCAACGCCGCCGCTGCGGGCGCTGAACGGCTGTCTACGACGGATACCTAGGGCTCCCGGCTCACTGGCAGAAGTGTGATAATATTTGGTGTAGTTGTTAGCTTAGTGCCATCAGAAGAGTGTGCATATTGTTAAGGAAAAATTCATGTTTGACTGGGACCTGATATCCCTGAAAAGGATAACATTTTAAGCTGTTGAGTTGCCTTTATCTTCGTACACCGGGTCCGTTACAGACTGAGGGCGACGTCTGGAATTGGGATAAACTTTGATGATGCTTTCGTTTTTTTAATGGAAGTGTTTGAACGCCGCTTGTCGCTTCTCGCTCTATCTGTCATGAGCGAGTTGCGAGTATAGCGTAGGGTCCGTGCTGCTCATACTGACCATTTCCCGGTCTGTGACTGCAGCCTGTACGACGAGTCTGCCCAGACGGAGATAGTGTCGTTCCCGGTCTACCGGATCCTGTTCTGCGCCGTCGGCCCGGCCGGCTCCCAGGAGGAGCACTGTTTCGGCTTCACCTGCAGTCGCGGAGAGGCGCAGGAGTCGGCCATCTTCCAGTGTCACGTCTTCAAGTGCTCCGCCCCGCGTGCTGTGAGTCGACCGGCCGGGCGGGGAGGAAAGGGCCCCAGCGAGCGTGGCTCCTTACGAGGCGTTTGTCCAAGCTGTGCTCTACTTGAACACTTATGTCGGGGTTTTACACTTGCAAGCGGAGGCCGAGCGCTTTAACATGCAAATATACACTATGCTTGTATCTAGGATCCTTGGCCACGTATCGCTAAAGGTGGTTTGTTCTGCATTATTCTGTAATTCCCCGCTGACTCACGTCTGACGACTATTCCATGCCTTCCCGCAGTCCGGTCGGGTGCTGAGCTGCTTCGCTCGGGCGTTCCGTAAGCAGCCGTCGGGAGTGGCGGGTGGCGAGGACACGGCTCGGCGCCAGCTCAGCTACGACTTCGAGCTGGCCGTGGAGATACAGGAGGAGGATGGGAAGGTAGGTAGTCCTGACTGCCAGCTGTTAGGTGACTCCTAAGGAATTCTCGATGGACGAGAAACTCTAGGCCTTTACCTGGCAACGCCTGTTTGGCGATTATTTTGAAAATCTATCCGTTTGAAGCGGGTGAACGGGCCGAACATGGACGGAAGTCTCAATTTTCTGTCTTATGTACATGGTACATTATTCAGTGATAGTTCAATAATAGAAGAGTGACTGTGTTTCACTCATGGCGATTGGTGGTGTGGAAAGACCCACAATTATTGTATTTGTAATTCACTTTCAGTTGCATATCTGACGTGTGGCTGTTATTCCCGTTGTTCAGGGCACATACTCGGCGGTGCCCCGCGACAAGGGCGGCTTCAAGCTGCGCTGCCACACGCAGCGGAAGGTGACTGTGTCGGTACGGCAGACCAGCGAGGACCTCCCGCCGCTCAACATCGAGCGCTGCTTCGGCCTGCTGGTGGCGCCCGGGAAGAACGTCCGCCACGGCGAGATGACGCTACTGGAAATGGTGAGAAAGTCAGGGCCGGAGGTGGGATTACACTGTACAGGACAGGATCTGAAAAGGGATGTGTTGCAGTTGCTTGGCTGATGAAAGGGCCCATTGAAGTTGCTAATCGATAAGGTTTTGGGAAACAATGTTGTTACACCTGGTACAATGTTGCTACATCTAATACACATAGTCACCTGTTTTATCAAACAACCTTAATTGATTTAAAAAAAAAAACATGTTGAAGATTTTTGGACAGAAAGCTCGCATTCTTCACATCACTCATGTTCTCGCATTCTTGACATCACTCATGTTCTCCGGCGCACAATATACAGTGCGCTGAGCCTTGCTCTGTGCTCCTCAGCTGTCGATGGGTTCTGTTGTCGGGGAGCGGTGCTCGTACGCCGTGGTGGGCCTCTGGGACGCCGGCGATCCGAACCTGGGCCTGCTCAACCAGGAGACGCCCAAGGACCTGCCCCTGATGATGTCCATCGGTATCGACCTCGTCATCGGTGAGAACGCAAAACATGGACGCGAAAACGTGGGCGATGTCGGTGAATTGACGATTGACACAACCTTCAATTAGACACGAAATATTCCCGTGATGCATCAACGTAACTGTAGATACTCGTGGCAACAGTGCTGCTGGAGCTACAAATTTAGGTATTCATGTAAAGACGGTTCACCTTTGAAAGTTTTATTTTTTACACGCCGCCAAGATCAGCAAGGTACCACCTCACCTGTGCGTTGCTACGTGCAGTATGTCTGATTTTATTCAAGCGAGCAAACAATTACTCAAATGCCCGAAGCTGTTTTTTTTTCAATATGCAGAAGAGTGGATCTGCTGACGAGTGCTGACCAACACTTCTGACCGGCGCGGCGTCTGCCTGCGTTCGCAGAGGGGATTCACGAGCCGGTGCGGTTCGTACTCGAGTCCCGGGTCCGAGTGTACCCACAGTCGGAGCGGTTCTGGTACTTCTCGGCCAAGAAACTGCTGCACCGATTCACTCTCAGTGTGGTCAATGTGAGTGATGAGCTGAGCTCGGTGACCGGCCTCGCTGACTGGCGGCGCGGCTGGACACGTGATCGTAAGAGAGTCCGTAGTCTGATAGCTGTTGACGTAGTAGAAATTATGTCGTGCTGAAACAGCTGAAATGACTCACATGACTGAGCTTAAAAAAAAAACTGTCGTCCGGTCCCAGGAAGTGCACTTGTATTCAGCTTTGCGCATCTACTTTGCGCTTCTCTTCCCGTACATTGATCATGCTCATTAGGGTGTTTCACTTTTCACTTTTTTTCTCAGATTGTCTCTCCTCGATCGGATTCCCATTATTTCATGTTTTTAATAAAATTTGGTGGCAATTATTCGATTTTAAACTCGATTCTAAACGTCGCGATAATTCGCCAAAGTTTTCAATTTTTGTGCCGTTCGGCGTTGAAGTCACCCATGTTAGAGCAATTGCAAGTAGGGCACTAACACCAAGAAAATACGGCCGTGCAAGAGGTGGTATTAACCGGTATTTTATGACACTGTGAAGGTTGAATACGAGTATGGTACCTGCGCTTCCATTAAAGTGTCGTCGCATATTCTGGTGCTCAAATTAACATCCACAGACATAACTCATTATTCAGGACACGACAACTTAACAGTAAGCAAAACACTGGTACGTCAGTGACGGCAAAACATGTATTTCGGTACCGGGCCTCAACACCGTTTCTCATCGAACCCAGTCACAGGTTAGCCAGGGCTGCCTTTGTCATGTGTGGCACTGCACGCCTGTGCCTCTCCACAGCCTGCAGAAGCCACTGGAATTGGTCCTGCCCCTTCACATGCTGAGCGAATGTTTTCAGAAGAGCGATGCCCCTCTCCGCGGTGTCGTTCACGACTTTCACTGTTTTCACGAATTCCTTGCATAGGATGTACGCCTCGTGACCTTCCCACTCCCCAGGAGGCTTCGTCATCCACTCGTGGTCGACTCCCATCAGGTCAAACATCAGCCACGACGACGTGGTCACCAATTCTGACAGGCTGGTGGACTCATCCAGTGCGACCGATGGTGTCTGATCAGGCGCCGCGGAGCACGAGTTTGCGAGCAGGTTGACACATATGGCCTCCTTCTCCTCTTCTGTGACACGGCTGCTAAAGAGGCTGAATACTACAACTGATGGCTGCAGATACCACAAATGGCGCCGCATCACAGCGAGAGCAGCGTTCGCCACTGGTTGGTCCAACTGCCTATACCGCACCAGGCTACGGTACAGGTTGAGGTCGTTAGCGGGGGCGTCCTCTGCAACAGGGGCCCGCAGCCACGCGACGACATAGAAGAGGAGCAGGAACTGAGCCATCCGCTGCACCTTCTCCTGCATTGGCTCATCGTACTCCAGCTGGTCCGCGAACAAGAACATCTTGATGCTGTACAGTGTACAGCATCAAGTGTACACTGGACCACTCCAGCTGGTCCGCGAACAAGAACATCTTGATGCTGTACAGTGTACAGCATCAAGTGTACAGCATCAAGATGTTCTTGTTCGCGGACCAGCTGGAGTACGTTGAGCCAATGCAGGAGAAGGTGCAGCGGATGGCTCAGTTCCTGCTCCTCTTCTATGTCGTCGCGTGGCTGCGGGCCCCTGTTGCAGAGGACGCCCCCGCTAACGACCTCAACCTGTACCGTAGCCTGGTGCGGTATAGGCAGTTGGACCAACCAGTGGCGAACGCTGCTCTCGCTGTGATGCGGCGCCATTTGTGGTATCTGCAGCCATCAGTTGTAGTATTCAGCCTCTTTAGCAGCCGTGTCACAGAAGAGGAGAAGGAGGCCATATGTGTCAACCTGCTCGCAAACTCGTGCTCCGCGGCGCCTGATCAGACACCATCGGTCGCACTGGATGAGTCCACCAGCCTGTCAGAATTGGTGACCACGTCGTCGTGGCTGATGTTTGACCTGATGGGAGTCGACCACGAGTGGATGACGAAGCCTCCTGGGGAGTGGGAAGGTCACGAGGCGTACATCCTATGCAAGGAATTCGTGAAAACAGTGAAAGTCGTGAACGACACCGCGGAGAGGGGCATAGCTCTTCTGAAAACATTCGCTCAGCATGTGAAGGGGCAGGACCAATTCCAGTGGCTTCTGCAGGCTGTGGAGAGGCACAGGCGTGCAGTGCCACACATGACAAAGGCAGCACTGGCTACCCTGTGACTGGGTTCGATGAGAAACGGTGTTGAGGCCCGGTACCGAAATACATGTTTTGCCGTCACTGACGTACCAGTGTTTTGCTTACTGTTAAGTTGTCGTGTCCTGAATAATGAGTTATGTCTGTGTATGTTAATCTGAGCACCAGAATATGCGACGACACTTTAATGGAAGCGCAGGTACCATATTCAACCTTCACAGTGTCATAAAATACCGGTTAATACCACCTCTTGCACGGCCGTATTTTCTTGGTGCTAGTGCCCTACTTGCAATTGCTCTAACATGGGTGACTTCAACGCCGAACGGCACAAAAATTGAAAACTTTGGCGAATTATCGCGACGTTTAGAATCGAGTTTAAAATCGAATAATTGCCACCAAATTTTATTAAAGAGATGAAATAATGGGAATCCGATCGAGGAGAGACAATCTGAGAAAAAAAGTGAAAAGTGAAACACCCTAATGCTCATTCTTCAGTTTACATTTACGACTGACTGCCGATTTGCGTGCGCTCCTCGTTCCCAGACGGGTCAGCAGCTGGAGTTTGTGAAGCTGGAGAACCAGGGTGAGGTGGAGTCGCCCAGGAGTCTGCTGCCGAACCTCAGCCTCACGGGCCTGCCGGGCATGCCGGGACGGTCGCCCAGCGTCACCAGCCCCGGATCGCCCATCCCGGAGGATAGCGGTGAGTGCCTTATCAGAACTCACATCAAGGTTTGAAGCTTTTGTCACCACTACGTTATTTATCATATTTATTTTCGTTTATTGAGGCTGTAATGGCCCTATGAGGGTAGATGCTTCCTTTCCCCGTTTCACAAGTTGCAACTGGTGGTGTCCTTAGATTTGTAGATGGCACAACTGTCCACGTCTTGGAAGTCCATGTCGCGAAGTTTCGATATCGATAATAACGATATTTATGTAATAGTAGTAAGGCGAACGATAGTATGGCACTGACGAACGAGTGAGTGCATACCAACATTGAGCTCAGTTGGCCGGCCTAGCCGTTCTCGAGATGAAATAGCAACCTGTTCTGGTGTGCAGTTGACCAGAAAAGTGCCAACTGAATGAATGAATAAAAATGCTTCACCCGACGGATGTTTCTCTCTGGGCGCAAAATGACCTTAGTAGTCGGCGCGCCCTTAAGCCCCAATTAACAAACAAACGGATGTTTCTGTCTCCAAGCCAAGTTTCGGCGCAATTCGTCTGGTAATTGCGGAGGTATTGTAAGCGGAACGATTTTGGCAGCCGTTATTGGCACGGGTGCGTGCTTTGGTGGTCACCCATAGTACGCATCAAAAGTATTTGAATTCATGATTGAATAGGTGACCAGGTGCAGCTATCAGATGCCGTAGACTCGTGCTTGTCAATCAGTTCGAGCGGTTGCCCAGATACAAGACTGCGGAAAGTGACCGGGGCTGGGTTCGGCCATTCATGCTGCGCTGATTGAGACTCGAAATCGCATGCGTGTTATCAAATCATTCAATTACGTTGCTATTCAAATCCATTAAATTACGTTTGTATCAATCGTACGTGCCTCAGAGGTGCGTGCGACCGTTGGCACAGAGTCTATGCGAACGACTGATGTGAGCGGAAACTAATATAATGTATTTTTATCATAGGCTTTCGCATGCGATTTCCTAACTGCCGAAAGTCGGTTTTAGCCTAAAATCACTGTTTTACTACCTAATTGCTCGTTTGTCGTTATATGCCATTGCGTTTCTATCTATCATTACATTATCCCTCGCCGGCACAGGCCATTTTGAGTCCTTCGACGGCACAAGGGGGGGGGGGTGGTACGACCCCCCCCCCTCGCGTTTGGCCCCTGATCGAGCTAGAGCTTCGCGGAAAAAAAACGAGCGTGTTGCCCGTCACGAGACGAAGCCGATGATACCCAATTTTAAGGTCCTAGGTCATCGGGTGACCTTCCAGGTCAGGTCAATGACCCGAAAACCGGGAAAATCGGGACCTGTTAGAAAGTCGTAAAGTGTGGCTGCTATGTGGTTTTCCGGGGTGCTGATCACGAATATCGTGTTAGTTTTGATCAGAGATGATGTCTTTAAGTATTTAGACCAGGTCGGGTCAGGTCAGGTCAGGTCAACCGGTAGGGGTTGTGACGGGTATTCGTAATACGTGTCAACCGCCTCGGACAGCTTCGTAACATGTTACGAAGGCACCAAAACTACTTCGTAAATGTTCAAATGGTTGCTAAATTCGAATTCAGCTCCAAAAACTAGCCTAGAAACATGTAAAACTCGAAAAAGTGAACCGAGGTCACCCAAGGTCACCAAAGGTCAATGACCTGACCTGACCCTCAGGTGACCTTGACACCCACCCTAATGCATGGGAGCAACATCAAATCACATGTTTGAACGTTTGAAACCACGAAAAGCTTGCAAACGCGCGGCTAATGCGAGCCGACATGCGCCGAACCGCGATTTCGGCCAAACATGGTCACAGAAAAGAGGTCACAGGTCAAAGGTCATTGGGGTCAGGGTCATGAAATTTTCAGGGTAGGTGTAAAATTGATCAATGCGAGGGTACTGAAAGTTTCGTCGCGACCGGCCGTTTTTTACGCGAGTTATTCGCGAAAAACCTTAGGGGGGGTTGCATCAACCCCCCCCCCCCCCTGTGCCGGCGAGGGTTATAGTAAATGAATGACAATGTTTTATAAATGAAGGAAGTCTTCATTCGCTTGGCTGTGGCAAGATACAGGAAGAATAAATGCCTCCTAGCGTGTATGCACAATGCATATAATTACATAATTGCACTGTAACTTCTTCTTTGGCGTTACATCGATCTGTCTTACACCGATATAGACACGTAGGTACTGCACTTTTTAATAAAAAAGATAAATAACTTGCTTCATTTTTCTGGAATTTAATCAACACTAAGATGCCTTTGAAAAAACAAGTGCCAGATTTCATATCGGGGTTAACGTCTGTTGTATAGCTGTTTTGCGTTTTTGATGCACCTCACAAGTGCTGATTGAAATCAGGATTGCCTTATTGAAATCACGTCGTTCGACTGGTGTCGTGTCAACAAGCAGGGCGGTGCCGTTTGAAGTTGGCGGCGTTCGCGTTATTGGTCGACGATCGTTGTTTGGGCTCTTATCGTGTGATCCAACACACTTTGAAGTAGATTGTACAGGCAATTACCCCCAAAGGATTGTTGACAGCAGCGAGCTGGTCTGAAGCGTCGCGCGATAGCGCAATGAACCGAGAGAAGATGTCATTGTTGACGGGCTCAGCTCGAAACCGGCGGCTGGGATGGATCGAAACTTGCGGCTCCGCAATCCTTGGGTAGGACATTGTCAGCGTATAGGGATTTGACAAATTGCAAAGTAATGTTCTATTTATTATAGAATGTTATATCATCGTTTGACGCGGTGGTTTTCTCCAAAGCCAATTCTGTCGAGGGTAATGGAATGTTTCATGTTGATTTCTTGAGTTTTTTTTTCGAGCTTTTTCACGAGAGAATGATACCAGGGTCCTTGATACCCAATACCAATCGGGACAGGCCGAGTTCGAAAGTGCATGACCCATGAGCTGATGTAGCGCTCAACTTCCAACAGGATCCCTAACCAAGGATATTTGGGCGTTGGATTGGAATTTTCTTTTAGCTGGAATGCAGACGGCTTGTCGGTTACCGAGTCTGCCGATCAACGAATATCCGCTAGCAAACTTGGATTCTGATTGGTGGGTGCCTGGTCATCGTCCGTCGAAAGTGATACTCAGCGAAGTTAATAAAAATGAAATAAGAAAGATATATTTTTATGAATCCTCCTAGAGGTATGTTCTATTTGTGACAGCCATAAATCTGAACGATTTTAGGAAAGTGGAACAAACGTTTGAGGAATTTTCTTGTACTAAAGGAAGACTCGAAACCAAGAGTTTTGCCAACTTGTTTTCCCTACAAGATCCCGAATGAGTAAAAACTTGTGCCCATGATGTACGTAAACCTTGCATCCGTACAAGTACAGTAATCGGTAATGAGTAATCGTTGGGATCGAGACCTTATTCGATTGTCACTCGATGGATGCGTGATATGGAAACGGTCAGCACCCCAGCCAGTGAGACGATACACGACTACAGCGGGCTGACTGAGACAGTACAGCAGTCCACACAGACTGACCGCAGACAGTAACTGCGCCCACCACCGTCCGCCCAATGCACCCTCGATCCGAGTGTTTGGTGTCTGTGCCGCAGATAACGACGACCCACTGCCGTCCGGCACCGGCGAGGTCAGCAAAGACTGCGGCGAGGGCGAGCTGGCCAGCTGGGGAGACGTGCTGGCCAAGTGGCGCTTCAACCTCACCCAGCGACCACGCGGACTCAGCAGTGCGTATATCACGTCACTTTTTTGTGAAATACTTTTTAGTTTTGTTACCTTTGTTTCGTTCAGTCTTCTGGTCACGCTGCTTACTAACATGTCGGGAGTCTTGAATTGCTCTTAGAGTGCGAAACCCTTGCTGGATGCCACTGCTTTTACTCTAGAATTTGGACGAAAAAGGTTCACGTAAGTCCACGAGTTTTTTATTTATTGCACGATATCCAGCATAAGATGTATTTTTTTTTTAACGGTAAAATATGCCACCTGTAATTTCTGTGCTGCCGGCGGTGACTGACGTAAGACCCTCCCGCTGGCAGCGCTGGTGAAGCGCGGCGTACCGGAGGCCCTGCGCGGCGAGGTGTGGCAGCTGCTGGCCCGCTGTCACGAGGACCCCGACATGCTCGACACGTACAGGATGCTCATCAACAAGGTAGGTCATCCACCGGTTGGGTCATCCACCCGGGCTTCTTGTCTGTGCCGACAGGAAAGCGTCTGGGAGGCGATGATACAAGACTGTCTATGTACCGGGTTCCTTGTCTGTTTAACAGCCTCGTTGTCTGTGCTCACAGGACAGCTGCAGCTGGGGAACGGTTATCACGCGGGCTCCTTGTCGTTGCCCACAGAACAACAGCTGGTAAAGGTTATTACACGGGCTCCTTGTCGTTGCCCACAGAACAACAGCTGGTAAATGTTATTACACGGGTTCCTTGTCGCTGCTTACAGGACAGCAGCTGGGAGGCCGTGATACAGAAGGACATCAACCGCACATTCACTGGGCACGATTACTTCCGCGAGGCCGGCGGCGTGGGCCAGGACGCGCTGTTTAAAATGTCCAAGGCGTATGCTGTGTACGACGCCGAGGTCGGCTACTGCCAGGGCCTGAGCTTCCTAGAGGCGGCGCTGCTGCTTCACGTGAGTCTGTCTGGATTTCATTCCTGCTCGATTCTTTATTTGATCTCTCATGGTGTGCCTGTGTGAGTTAGCTCAGTGTCTTTTGAACGCGTACAAGTGGAAAAATAATAATGCTGCCGTTTCCATGCCAGTGTCACGTGCTTGCTATGTTTGCAATGCCGCCCATTCTTTGATGATGTTTGTTGTGTAATACTATGCCTCTCATCATGTTATGAGTTTTTTTTGCGACTACTGCCCCTCACCACGTGGTGCCCACTGTTACACAGATGCCGGAAGAGCAGGCGTTCTGTGTGCTGGTCCGCATCATGTTCCAGTACGGTCTGCGCGAACTGTTCAAGGACGGGTTCGCCATTCTGCATCTGCGCTTCTACCAGCTAGACCGGCTGATGGAGGCGAGTACCTATCGGCGGGGCGCGTCTGGACGGGCACAAAATTGTGTAGGTTTATTGCTATCGCGTCGTGATCAGCTATTGATTCTCGAGCACCGACGCTATGCGTTTTCTCTAGATAAAAGGTTTTGAAATCGCCGAAGTTTTATTCTGAGTTTTATTCAGCTCTGATAACTGATAAAATCGTTTCATGGTATAAAGTAGAAGTACGACGTATTTGTCGACGCGTGAAATTGTGCACGAGATGTGGAAAAGTTAGGTATTATTTTCTGGGTCAATGTGGAGAGATGTGGGGGATTTTTGCCACGAATGGAGTTTGGAAAATGATGTGTTAACGAATATAACGATTACGAACGATATTTTATCACACATGGAAAGGATAAAAATGGACCATCGATAACTTAGAGCCTACGATTTGTTGCAGGAGCACATCCCCGAGCTTTGGGCGCACTTCAGCGAGCTGGGGATCGAGTCGCACATGTTCGCCTCGCAGTGGTTCCTGACGCTGTACACGGCCAAGTTTCCGCTCTACGTGGTGTTCCACGTGCTCGACGTGTTCCTTCTGAAGGACATGGATTGGGTGTTCCAGGTGGCCATCGCCCTGCTGCTGGTAGGTGGCTAGTGTGACACCAGCGGGAGAGACTGAGTCAGACCTGTAATTCTCATGAATGAACGATTTAAAGTGGGGAATGTGAAGCCAGTAAGCTCTCCGTGGATGAGAATGGTAGTGTTATTACACAGGGATGCAGGCTGCTGCTGTTTGAGCCGTTTTACCGTAGGAGTTTTTATCCGTGAGACTTTGGGTTGAATATCGGACCAACGTGCGCCTTCCATTTGCTAGGAATAGATAGGTGCATTAAGATTGACGCATATTTTGATGCACGGCAGTATTCTGAAAGGCTCGATTAAAAATTGACAATTTTTCCGCAGCTGTCAAAGAAGGAGCTGCTGGCGCTCGACTTTGAGGGCACTCTGAAGTACTTTCGCGTGTCGCTGCCAAAGCGCTACCGGCACGAGGAGAACGCCCGGCAGCTGGTGAAGACGGCAGTGGCCACTAAAGTGAAGAGACTGCGCAAGTACGAGAAGGAGTACCTCGCTGCCAAAGGTAGGAGGCGTTGTGGTCTGGGACTTGTGTAAAATCGCTCGCGCCGTTATAGATTTCGCTTTCCTGTTGACTGCAAGTCTCTCCGCTATATGGTCAGGACGTGCCAACCGCTTCAGCATTTTGATTATTTTAGATAACTTACCACGCCGCAGCGGGGAAAGTTTGTTATAACTTAATAAGCCGCTTTCGTTGAACTGTGCGGCTTTGCCTAAATCCGCTCCAAGTCCGCTTTCCTGACGCTGGTTGAGCCGCGCCCTCCGCACCTGTGTGTGTGCAGAGCAGGAGAGGCTGCGAGAGGACCCGGCCGACCGGCTGCAGCGCGAGAACCGGCAGATGCTGGCCGCCAACCTGCGGCTCGAGCACGAGAACGACGACCTGGCGCTCGAGCTGGTCACCGGCAAAATCCAGCTGCAGCGAAAACTGGACGTGGTGAGCACGCGACTCGTCCACTAAATCATATTTGATGTCCGAAACGGCGAATCTAACACTTCAAGCTAGGCAAGTTAGGCAAGCACTTCATTTTCTACGCGGAAAGATTTTTCAGCTACAGATGTATTTAAGTCGAATCCTGCTGGTGTCATTGTTGGACCCCAGCCGGCTGAAAAGCAATGTGAGCTGCACCCGCTGCATTCACTTGTGTTTCTGGGCGATTTAGTCAGACTAGGACTGGGAGCAGCAGGCGACGTTCGAAAGTTTGTTCAAAAGGTCATATTGAAAATGCCTCCTTTCTGTGTGAGGTCACAATAGCAAAATCAGCTACGACAAGCTGTACCACGATGAACCGATACCGAACACAAACTCATAACGTCACCGTTTGTCCGTATCTCTCAGGCGGAGGAGCAGTGTGAGCGTCTCTCGAAGGACCTGGCCACCTCTCAGACGCGTCTGGCCGACACCGAGGAGGAGAAACGGCGGCTCCTCGAGGAGTCGTGTCAGGTAGGCACTCGTGGAAAACCTCGCTGGAGTAGCTTTCTGATATAAACATTCTGAAAGTAAGTCCAGTTTGTACGTTTCTATTTGTAAATGCGATGAATGCAATGGAATGGCTAGCACGTAGAGGAGTTTTTCTCATGGGTTACACGTTATTATTGCCGCATTCAAACTGTCTAATGTCTTTGCAATAGATCACACCACTTCTTTCGGTACCCGTGGTTATTATTGGAACTTAACCGGAACACCGAGAAATTGGCAATGAATAACTGCATCTCCCATAAAGAAAGAAAAAAACTGGCCAATAATAGCGCTGCCTCAGTTGAGAGCGTTCTTCATAAAAGGCTCGTCAATATTTTATGGATGTATTTGGCAGCATTTTTTATTTAATACATATAAAATGCTAGTTTTATGCCTTTCTCGAAACCGTGTAGCGTCAGCCTGTATCGGTACGCAGCAAAGTGACAAACAACCGTCACCAGGTGAAGGAGCTCCTGAAGCGAGAACTGCGTAAGGGCGAGACAGAGCTACAGAGGAATGTCGCCATTATCGCCGACTATAAACAGGTGGGATATTCTGCTGACAGGTTTTACCCGTTATAACTGGTGGCTACTTGCATTGTCATTTCTGTGTTATGTTTACTCCTATACCTGCCTCCGCCTGTTGTTTCAGCTCTGGTGAAAGCTAGAAGCCCGATATGTGTAGGCGAATAGCTGAGCAAATAGATTATGAAAGCTATGTGTTAATTTAGTGATCTTATCCCTTTGAGCAGGCCGGGACCGTAGCGGTAGTGCTGCTATCGATATGTTACAGGGAGTTTGAGAAATCCGTGAGTTTACAAACTCCCTAGGGAGTTTACAAACTCTGACCCGTCAGTGAGTTTGCAAACTCACTAGGGAGTTTACAAAGTCACTAGGAAGTTTGCAAACTCACTCACCGGTCAGGGAGTTTGGGAACTTTCAGAGCGATTGGGACAAATAAAACCAAGTGTGTAAGATGAGGGTGGCAGACGTGCCGTCCGTGATGTTAAAACAAAGGCGGCTAGTGGTACGGCCTATATAACCGTCGCACGCGCTTAGAGATCCTTTTTTACCGGAAAAAATACTCGTGGCTATGTAAAGGGGAGGTTCGGAGCAACGTGCTCCTCCGTTCCGTCGTTTCCATCCTCAGGAATCAGGATACTGAAATCCTTCTCGTCCACGCCGAAACCCCCACTCCGGGCTGGACAGGCACCTTTATCTCATGCGGGCTGCTCCCTTGGAGCGGCACCGCTGCTCCCGAGGGAGCGCACCCCGTAGCCGGTTGCAGAGAGTGCTTGGGGGCTGGTCGGCCTGTCCATTCGGACGGGCTGAGCCCCGGCGACTCTCTAGGGTGTCTGCTCAGACCAATGTCTCCCACTAATTCCTATCATCCTTCCGGCTCTGAAATGGTCTTGTCAGACCGAAAGGGCCTAACCCAACAAAACAACAAACAAGCAACGTGCTCCAGTCGCAGCTGGCTGCCAGCAGCGCCGGCTCTCGATGACACGTCTATGGCGGAGTGGGAATGGGCGTGAATTGGTGCGTGTATAAAGCGGCGGTACATGCTTGGATAGATAACTGAACAGTTAAAATCAAAAGAAGGTATTTATGGTGTGCTGTAAGGTTTTTGTAAGCGTGCGAGGCCCTACAACTAGCCGCCTTTGTTTTAACATCACGGACGGCACGTATGCCACGCACATGCTGCACACTTGTTTTTATTTGACCCAATCGCTCTGGAATTTCTCAAACTCCCTGACCGGTCAGTGAGTTTGCATTTGCAAACTCCCTAGTGAATTTGTAAACTCCCTAGTGCAAACTCACGGATTTCTCAAACTCCCTGTAACAGATACACGAGGTCTTTGAGGGATACTGTACGTACGGGGTACTGCAGTTGTAACAGCTGCCATTGACACGATGTTTGTCCGTGTTCAGATCTGTAAGCAGCTGAGCGAGCGGCTGGAGCGGGAGCAGCTGGCGGCCAGCTCAGAGATTCAGCTGCTAAAGGTGAGCGCCAGCCCTTCTCGTGTTATATAGACACTTTCTTAGATAACGTCCTCTCACGATCATCAGCGAGTGTGGCTGAGTAAACCAAACTGTAACGCTAAATCGCCAATTTTCGTTATAAGCCCTATAACGGCTCGATGAATCTGCTAAACATCTGTTCGATTTCTTGTCTCACAATAACAACTCGGACACATAAATTTTGACTGCATTGACAATGCCGCTTATGGCGGATAAATGATTTTCTTATGCATTCAAAAAAACATCGTTGCACCGTTTTTTTTTTTCTAAGCTTCACCCATTTAATGGGAAAATAGACAAGCTGCACCGCGGCTGAGACCCGCACATAATCTGTACTTATGTACCGGCTAATCGGCGTGTGGCTGTTAATTCGGCAGGATATTGTGAAGTCGTGCGAGGCCTGCAGTCAGCGACTGAGCAGCGAGTCGCTCCGTCCGGTCCAGCACCCGCTGTCCGATCTGTGTGAGGAACAGGACCCCGTGCGTGCCCGCGACGCCCGCATCCGTGAGCTGGAGCTGGAGCTGGCCACCACCAAACTCGCACAAGTCGAGGTCGAGTGTAAAAACCAGGTGAGGGGAAGTTCATTTGCAGACGGTAGTCGGTTACAGACAATCGGCCCTATCCATGATATTCATCGATCGATCATGGTATGAACTAATCGGCTCAGTCAGAAGTGCAGCTGACGGTAATATGTTTTCCCCGATATTTCCACTATTTGATCCTGCCTTTACTGGCTGTCGTGACGACTGAAGATTTTCACGCCAGGCAATGCGTGATGAGCTGATTATGATTCGTAGAAGTGAAGAAGTGACGAGTAGTGAACCAGCTGTTATAGGAAGGTCACTTCTAAATGACGCCCTTGATTCAATGATTTTACCTACTAGGTCGTTCAATAAGTAAGGTAAAATGTACCATAGTTCATTTATATGAGGAATTCAAGCAAAATCCAATATGCCATCTGAATCTTTGAATAATTTTCTACACAGCCTTCGAAACTGTTTTTGGGAGTTTGGCTCACTGTCCGAACACGGTCGGTGTGAAAACATTGATGCAGCAGAGTTCCGTTCTAAAAATCCCCGGTTTGTCACGCGAGCCAAAATACACCTCAAAATGAGTGAGTTGACCCTGATGACGCTATAGCCATTAGCAATGCTTGCTGGTGAACAGCTGGTACGATTTCAACAAGAACACAGCGGTGTAAGAGACAAAGTTCTAGAGCAGGTAGACTTGTGCTCGCAGGGTCTCTGGACTTGGCACAATCTGTAAAGTCGGGGAGCTGTTTATGGAGACCCGAAGCATCTGTGTGACTGTTTTCATTAACAGGGTGAAGTGTTATGTCGGAACAGTTCTAGGCATCATCAGATATGCTTGATATTTACAAGGTCATCACGAGGTTAAAGGGACTATCCCACCTTTAACATGGGGTTTGAGTTGAGATAGCCAAGTTTGCGGCGAGGTTCAGAAACCACTATCTATCTAGGTTGCAACCCCCGCGGCCTCTTGGTGTTGAAGAAATTCGTTCCCTTCATTTGAAAATGGGCCTTGTACAAGGCCCTATCTTCAACATGGAGCGACCGTTAGTGTGACGTCACCTCGTTTAGTCATTCTGATTTAAATGGGTTTGTTCGTTGAAAAATCGCTTAAAACTTGGTCTGAACTTTGTTGTGGTGCCTACAGAGTAAAAAGAATCAGCTTTATGACAGTAATGTGGCCTGGGGAAGGAGGTAATTTTGGGCTGTGACGTCACATATTTGAAAGTTTGTGTTTGGAATATGGGAAGCCTAAGATGTTTAGTGAAAAATAAATGCCAGAACCGTGTTCCTCGTCATCCAATCTATAAAGTCGGGCACAATTTAACTGGTTTTAACAACATTTTAGAAGGTGGGATAGTCCCTTTAATAAAGCCAAGGAGCTCACTGAACAACAGAAGGACGCCCAGCGAGACATCAGTGTGGGATCGGCTTTGCTTTAGCAGTACAGGAAAGCTGAAGTACAGCCGTGATCTGGCGCCGTCCCACTTGAACCTGTTTGGATCACCGGAATCTTAACTGACCAGGCAATCGATAAAATAATCAAGACATGGCTTTGGAATAGCAATAAGGAGTTTTCCCAGCAGGATTTCAACGCCGGGTGGAGTGCTGGGATAAGCGCGTGCGCCTGAACGGTGATTGGATGTAGGTGCCAGTTCCGAAGGCTTGGGAGGCTGTCCGAAGAGACCTGCTAACAAATGCTTATAGCCAATTTGTAGACGACATTTCAATGAACATATGCTGCTAGTTTTGTGTCGTTGCATCAAATGTGGACTGAAATACGTGTGATTTTACCTTACTTATTGAACGACCTAGTATAACAGGGATATAGAAATTGGCCAATAGTTTATGATTGAGATGAATGGCCTTTGCAGACATTTTCGAGGATACACGAGAGCTATCACTGCTTCCATGAGTCGAAGGAATTATAGTGTAACGTGAGAAGTTAGTTAATTGGTTAATTGTGAAACAATTGTTGCCGTCGAAAATCATTATCGATTATCGATATTTTTATTTTACGTAAAGAAGACATTTATGCTCTGAGTGCCATGACTGAATTGGTATTGGAATGAGTTTGCCTATGTCTCGGGGTGATACTGCCTAAAGCCGAACACTTGGGCTTGTGGCTTGTAGTCTGTAGGCCTGATATGAAATCAAAAGGAAATTTAGGTAAGTGCTGGGTATGAAGCTTCTCAATTGACAGCCCATCAACTTTTCCACGTCAGTTCTAAAGCTTTGCAACACGTGGAATCATAGCGACTTTTTGATACCTTTTTCAGTAAACCAACAACCAACAGTGTCACAAGTTTGTTGTTTGATGTTTCCGTTCTGTGCAAAATCTGATTGTCTGGTGGGGTCACAGAGAGCTGAAGTGTGTAAGTTATCTCTATAGATGGGTCAATCCTAAATTACTCATACATGGTCTATGCATGAGCTCCTATAAAATTGCTCATGTTGGTATTTTATGCCGTTGCGTGCTTATCTGAGCCGACACTGACATCGAGTCTGAGGGCTGTTGCCTTACCGTTGACTGTGTTTGGCCTTTTCTCAGGATCTGACACACCAAATGGGCGCCGCGCTTGCTGAGCTGCAGGCTTCCAAGAGCACATGGTTCCACAAGACACTCTCCTCTATAAAGGAAGCGGCCAAGAAGGAGAGTGGCTAGGCCCCCGGGGCCACCACCCACGAACAATACGCGCGCGCTGGGCTGGGCCGAGAGCGGCTCGGTCAGCCGGTGATCCTTACTGCAGATCACCGGCTGACGAGCCCAGTCCTCTCGGAGCGGCCACCAAGTGTCCAGAGCTTTGGCGAATGTGCAAACAGGGAGGGCTCTTACATTCCCATCACTAACCCTGTATAACTACTTACGTTGCTTTGAGGCTTGTCTGTGATGGTCATCCGTAGCTGATATTGTGTGTAGCGTGTACCGAATGTTCCGTTCATGGCTTGGTTATTGTGTCAAATATGTATTATCTCGCGATGTTGCTGTGCGCAGAATATGAATCAGTGCATATATTCGAGACATATAAGTGCGATAAGTCAGAAGTCACAATATATTACATTGTGAAATTCTTCCCATGTATGGTTGATGGTGGATATGTTTTGCTGATCACGCACAAACCTTAATCACACAGGACGGATTGATGATGATGAGGGGGAGACCCTGATGTATAGTTTTTTTTTTCAAAGTAGATCATGATGGCCTTTCAGCTGTGCCACAGCTGACAGTGGTACTGCTGTTATCTTTGGCTGTGCTTATCGCTATGTAGGGTATCAGTGTTTATTTTTCTTGTACCTGTTCATCATCGCTTTTCTCTTTTTGAGACGTGTCGAGTGCATGTCATTTGATCTTAAAAAGCCGACTCGAAAATTTTGTTCAAAATTATTCTGCCTCACGGTATCCCAGAAAATGTTAATTACATGCTATTTGATGGATTAAAACAAAACAATTCATTCACGCGATCGCCCTGATTTCAGGTGACCCTTATGACACCTCCGATACACAAGTTGTAAGGAGTAGTGAGCTTACTACTTCCTGACATTTTTGTCTCCCTCGGGAAGTTCCCCTTGCACTAAGAGCTCAGAGCGGTGCGAACTTTCGGCATCTTTTGACCGTGCAGAGGTTAACTTATGACGTCGTAGGTCTAAGGTCAGTGACCTGACCTTAGACCGTCAGGTCAACTTTGGTAGGTGTTGAAAAATCTGGCTTGAATAAAGTCAGGCGTTCCAATTTTAAGCTCTTTCGCTAATGTGTCCTGAGTAATCGCAAAAACCCGTGTCGGACGGCACCAGTATTCCCATATCGACCGAGGAGTGTTAATCTGGCACTCCATCGAAGACATCTAGGCACATATTGTATGCATGCACCTCAAAAAGCTTCCGATAAAGTGCTTACAAGTGAATCAGCTTTGCGCACTTTTGTCTCATGCATACTTGAAATATCAATTGTGCATACGTTTTCTATAAACACATTTAGTAAAAATGTACCGAAGCAAAAATGTGTTGGGTTGACACCTGACAGTTCCTATTTACCCGGGTGCAGCTTGGGTGCGTAAAGAACGTTGTAGCCAGTTCCTCAATTTTATGGGTCGAAATACAGTTACAACCGACGTCGGGAGGGAGCAGCACTATTACGCCACCCCTTTTTATGTAAACAAAAAATCGGAGCTTAGCTCTACCGTTTCAGCAAAGCACACCTGAATAATTGCCGTACATTTTGTGAAAACTCGCACTCAGGTAGGGAAGAGTGGGGTAATTTGGCCGGTGGTGTAAATTGGCCGCCCCCACCTGTACGATGTCTAATAAAAGTGAGTGAAATAACTCTAGTCTCGATTCATTTGTCATGGGTAGAAATAACTGGAGGACAAATGTCAAAACTTTACCCCTCGTAGTGTTATTCAAAATTAATAAAACGTTAATTTCATTACAAAATGGTAAATATTACTTCTGTTTACAAAGTTGTATAACATGTAGTATTTGGGCTAAAAACGAATTCAGACATTATAGCGCCATTCTTGGGGGTGTTCAGCGGTTCCAAGAGCAATTTTATCTAATTCCGTATAGCCGTGATGACTTTATAGACAAAAAATTCAGAATGACAATATGAGGTAATTTGGCCGGGACTAGCGGGGCAACTTGGCCGGTGCGCTCATGGTCTATATGCTGGGACGGCCGAGTTTTCATCGTCAATTGTACCATAAATGACATGATTCATGACCAACTTTGACTACTTTGATGCCTTACTTCCGATTGGTCAACTGTAAGAGCATGTGACGTCATCAAATGTTACCAAACTTTTTTTTTTGCAAATAAATCCTTACACAAAATGGTACAGCCGCACAAATGGTCTCATTCTGTTCAGCTCGCCAAGGCGCATCGAATGATATGCATGATGACCTTGAAATCACGTGACCTTGAGGTCAAGCGACCATATGCAACGTGACCTGAGGTCAACCTTTGACCTTGACTTCTCAAGGTCAACACATATATCTTTCGATGCGGACTGACGAGAGAATTACGATGGTACTCGAAGTTTTGGCCTAGCTTGATTACTTCAAAAGTTATTCGTAAAAAAACTGTCTTCGCACCTAGAGCCGCTAATTTGGCTATTTTGACCCCTGTGACCCCTGAGTCAACCTCCAAAATGCGGCAAATGCATCATAGGACACACGTCATTGCTGAATCTGAAGCAGACTCGCAATATAACAGAAAATCCCGACCGCAAACTAACACCGGCCAAATTGCCCCACACCCCCGGCCAAATAACCCTGCTAGTGGGGCAATTTGGCCGCCTTGCAGACCTTTGTAATACGTCACAATTTCAATATAAGTAATTACTCTATCATTTCAAGTTCACTGTCCAGTAAAGTAAAATGAATACGACACCTGCCAGCGTTGAGAAAATGCAGAAATGTGTCGTCAATTTTAAGTTATATCGTTTTCTAAAAAAAAGCGGCCAAATTACCCCACTCTCCCCTACTTTTTCGTTATTCAAAAAGTCCCTACTAACGCCACTTACTGCTTGTCTCTCGATGACACAGGAGTACGGTTAGAAGGAACTCTTTACCCCTCAGCCCTCCCGCCATCCCGCCCTGTCTCGGGGTGTTGCAATCAGGCCACCGCCTGCTAGCTATAGTGAAATAAGCGAACTGCTTTAACGGCATACACTTTTTAAGCTGTATTTCGATTAATCTTTTGTGACATCAAATATGAGTCACTTTTCATATTCAACAAGTCAGTGAATGCCAGGTCATCATTAGTGGCATCGGCATCGAGTTAGGTATCAGACAAGTCCACCTGAGCCAAAGGTGGAGTTCTCAAATCAAAATCCACATCTGTCCATCGTTCTTGAAACGTTCGAGACGCACGAAACCATTTCGTCTGATGCCAGCTCACCGCTTGGAGGATCGAACATCTTTCTGGCTGATGGTGCGCCTTCATCCGTTGATGGTTGGGCCGTTTGACTGCCGCGGTCAGCCCCGCTACCTGCGGCCGAAGCGTAGCTTGCGAACCCTTTCTGGTCTGCCGTCATGATCGATTTCATGTTCTCCGAGCTCGCTGCGAAACGGAGGCAGTCGCCTGAGCAGGGTGAACGCCTTCTTGGAGAGGACGTGGTGCGACAGGTCCAGGCGCCAGCTGGCCGGCTCCTTGGGCTGCCCGCTGGTGGATGGTTCCACTCGCCGCCCGGATGACCGCTCCGGCTTCCAGTTGAGCGACTGATCTTGTCGCCGGGCCGCTCTATGGGTCATCTGTCTACCGTCCGACTGTGCCGTCTTCCACCGGGACAGGAGCTGACCCGGTGACTTGGAGACGTCCCCAAGAGTGAGCTGCCATGGACCTGCCTCTTCCAGGGTGCCATCGCGGCTTGTTTTCCAGAGACCGAGCTCTTCTGGCGTGCTCTCAGGATTGGTCTGCCAGGGGCTCGACTCGTTTGACGCGTCCCTAGTCTGCCACGGGGCTAACTCTTCTGACGCGCCCCTAGTCTTCCACGGGGTCGACTCTTCTGGGGTGTCCCCGTGGTTGGTTTTCCACAGACCAGACTCTTCCGCGATGTCCTCATGCTTGGTTTTCCACAGACCGGGCTCCTCTGAAGCGCCCCCGTGGGTTTTCCACAGACCGGGCTCCCCCGAAGCGCCCCCGTGGTTGGTTTTCCACAGACCGGGCTCCTCTGAAGCGCCCCCGTGGTTGGTTTTCCACAGACCGGGCTCCTCTGAAGCGCCCCCGTGGTTGGTTTTCCACAGACCGGGCTGTTCTGAAGCGCCCCCGTGGTTGGTTTTCCACAGACCGGGCTGTTCTGAAGTGTCCCCGCTGGTCGTCTGCCACGGGATCGGCAGTGGTCGCTCGTCGCTGTGACGTAGCAGTCCGGCAGACACGAGTCGCAGTACACCAACGGCGGCCACACATCTGAAAACAGCAACATGGCGCAGTCAATACAAAATATACCATCGGTGTAAAATGTATGCCCGCATAGTTCTCTCACCAGTTACCACCGTAGGTCACCACAGTCTCTACACTTCCTCCTGTCCGAGCGCCCGTCCGTATTGTTACCGAATTGGGTCGCCGCCGAGTCTCGTCACATTTTAGCTACACCTTTTGTTTGTGAAAGGTCAACTCGGGTTTTGACATTTAACCAAGGTCAGGTCAAAGCCGACAGCCGCTTAGGTCGCCATGTCGGTCGAGATCTTTGAGCATATCATTCAATGATCAGCTCATTTTGGCTCTTGAGTAAATTGTGCTTTTCCTGACTCGCTAACTCATTTTGATCGGTAGTTGGTTGGTGTTGACGAAAAAGTGATGACCGCAAGCGACCTTGGTGGCACTATACATACCGCCAAGTGGCGTAAGGTCCAACTCCACGATGCAAAGCCTAAACATAGGTCAGAGGTCAGGCCAAAGACCCTGAGATCGGGTTTTAGATTTTCTTCTCGCAAATAACTTGAACAAAAATGGTCCTAGGGCTAGGACAGTGGTAGGTACCAATGCATTTGTCTTGTCAAGACGTGTATAATGGCATATTTTGTGTTTCGAGACGGGTACGTTTTATGTTGAACTTACTTGACCTCAAATGACCTGTAGATGACGTTGACATATGACGAGTTGTTTATGATATAGTATTCGTAGCCGCTGATCACAAATATGACATTATTTTGTTGGGCCACGTAGCGACAGGCGGTAGGTGGCGTTCGAAAGAACGTAAAAATAATGGCGAAATTACTTGAATCATTTCTTAGGTCAGGTCAAAGGCCAGGTTTTCAGAGGTTTAACGGTCAACTTTAACCTATTTCGACAATTTTCGACAAACCGACGTATAACTCGGAAACGAAAGACTCACGGCGCCTCAGAGAAGTGCATTTGATATGTATCTGTTAACGTTCTTTCTAATTCCCTCAGATTTGTTCTTAGGCCAACAGTTTAGACTTAAGCCTGCAGGGGGCAAAAACTGCCAAAATAGGCAAAATTTGCGGAAACGGTTTCCTGTAATAACTTTTGACTCAGACATTGCACCAGTTTTTTTATCGGCATCATGTTCCCTTCGTCAAGACGCGTCGAATGGACTATATTTTGACCTTGAAAGGTCAGGTTAAAAGTTGACCTCAGTTTAAGCCTACGGCAATGACCTGAACGGAGAAGGTCGTGTTGCATATCAGTCAATCCGTATCGTCGAGCTGAATAGTGAATGCATCCGAGATGTTTTTATCACTTTAGCATGCCTCTATTCAAAAGTCATTGGCAAAAAACTGTTGCATAACTTTCGTGACCTGAGATGACCTCAGCTGAGTTTACGTCGCTGACTTTTGCGATCGATATCCACTGAACGGCCGATTACAACACGCTGACGAAGTTTGGGTATAAGCTTGATAATTGATTCCTTTCTATAACAAATACTAATAAACATAGGTGAGCTGTGAAGAATGTGACGCCTATACATATGTCGGGCGTGTCGCTCGAGCCAGTGTATTCCACCGAGCTATCCCCGGGCGACAATTGCAGGAATGTTGGAATTGGAACCTCCGGGCTATCGGCCGGCCATGTCGCGCCGCGCCTTTTCGTACATACCAGGCCGCCTCGTCCTGGAACCGCCTGCCGTCGGCCGTCGCTAGTTCCCGAGCTCGGAGCTGAGTTTTTACGTTTACCGGACATGTGCGTTTTATCGATTCATCCATGTGTGTATCTTAGGTTGGTACTGTGTGTGTGTTTTTTTTTCTTCGGATGATGTCTCATTTATGTATCTATAGACTCGGGGTAACAATTAACCCACCGAGTGAAATAGCCCGTAAATAAACAGCGCGGAACACCGAACAACCTAAATGGAACGGAACGGAACTGTGGGCACAATATCTTATACACACTTGCAGTGCCACACTGCGACAGTCACTCACCTGAAAAAGTGGACCGCCATGGCTCTGAAAGCGGAGAGGGAGACTGCGCGGGGCTCGCTTCCCGGCCGGCGGTAACCGCCAGACAGAACGGCAGGAGGCTGCGGCGCCCCACAGGTGAGCCCGAGCCGGCTGCGCCGCTGCGCACCTCGCAGTCGGTGCAACTTCGAAAAACTGACGCGCTTACCGATACACAGCTGTATGAGCATCAATGGAACCATTAGCATGTACTTGGTAAATGGTATGTTTAATCAGGGCTGCGGAGTTGGAGTCGGCAGACGGCAGGGCTGTCGACTCCGCAGCCCCGATTCGAATGTTTTTTCTCATTCGTCCCCATTGCCATCGACTTTCGGCTTAGTGGCTCTCGAGTTATTACAAGGTGTTATCAACTGGCTACAATAATAGGTAGCGGTCGAGTTGTGTTGTCCCGGTCGGTAAAACCGGCTAAAGATCGGTGCGTCCAAGGCCCTAAATGCATTTGACGAGCGACACCTACGGGGTCGTGCGGCAAAAACTTTCTCTGTCCGCGGGCGGGGTGCGGCTAATTGTGGGCTACGCTTTTGCGAAACCGCCAAGTTTGGCAGCCCAACTCGACCAAAGCGAAATACGCCTAGAACCATCCTGGTAACCTGTCAGACAGACTCAGAACGACTCAGGCAGACTCAGGCAGACTCAAACAGACTCAAACCGACTCAGGCAGACTCGACCGATTCCGATCGGCTCAGACCGACTCAAATCGATTCCGATCGACTCAGACAGACTCAGAACGACTCAGACAGACTCAGGCAGACTCAAACAGACTCAAACCGACTCAGGCAGACTCGACCGATTCCGATCGGCTCAGACCGACTCAAATCGATTCCGATCGACTCAGACAGGCTCAGAACGACTCAGACAGTCTGTGAGTCTGTCTGAGTCGATCGGAATCGACTTGAGTCGGTTGATTGGGTCTGAGTCAGTTTGAGAGTCGTTCTGAGTCTGTCTGAGTCGGTCTGAGTCGATCTGAATCGGTTTGAGTCGGTCGAGTCAGTTTGAGTCTGCCTGAGTCGGTTTGAGTCTGCCTGAGTCCGCCTGAGTCTGTCTGAGTCGATCGGAATCGATTTGAGTCGGTTGAGTCGGTCTGAGTCAGTTTAAGTCCTTCTGAGTCTACCTGAGTCGGTCTGAGTCGATCTGAATCGGTTTAAGTCGGTCGAGTCAGTTTGAGTCTGTCTGAGTCTGTCTGAGTCGTTCCGAGTCTGTCGGAGTCGATTGGAATCGACTTGAGTCGGTTGAGTCTGTCTGAGTCAGTTTGAGTCGGTCTGAGTCGATCTGAATCGGTTTCAGTCGGTCGAGTCAGTCTGAGTCTGCCTGAGTCGGTTTGAGTCTATCTGAGTCTGTCTGAGTCATTCTGAGTCTGTCTGAGTCGATCGGAATCGATTTGAGTTGGTTGAGTCAGTCTGAGTCAGTTTGAGTCGTTCTGAGTCTATCTGAATCGGATTGAGTCGGTCGAGTCAGTTTGAGTCTGCCTGAGTCGGTTTTAGTCTGCCTGAGTCGTTCTGAGTCTGTCTTAGTCGATCGGAATCGATTTGAGTTGGTTGAGTCGGTCTGAGTCAGTTTGAGTCGTTCTGAGTCTATCTGAGTCGATCTGAATCGGTTTGAGTTGGTCGAGTCAGTTCGAGTCTGCTGAGTCGGTTTGAGTCTGCCTGAGTCTGCCTGAGTCGTTCTGAGTCTGCCTGAGTCGATCGGAATCGATTTGAGTCGGTTGAGTCGGTCTGAGTCAGGTTGAGTGGTTCTGAGTCTATCTGAGTCGGTCTGAGTCTGTAGGTACGTTATCATCTCCTACCCAGTGACGTCACAGCATGCGTCGGCTTGGCACGGCGGCCACAGGTGGGTGCGGCTACTTGCGGTATCTCGCTTTGGTCGAGTTGGGCTGCAAACTTGGCGGTTTCGCAAAAGCGTAGCCCACAATTAGCCGCACCCCCGCGGGCGCCACTGCAGCGACACCTGCCGTGTGGCTCCAACACTATTGGCTCAGTCTGTGCGCCCACGCCGTGCCGCGAACACTGATCCTACGCATTGTTCAGCGTTCCGATTGTAGTTGGACCACATCTGGTGAGTTCTCCCCACGTGGTGGGTGCATTACGCCGAGATGGCCTGGCTGGGCCGTGGTGTCGTATTTTTATGTTCGCCCAGTGGGCTCGCGGCACTGGCAGCCGGCTCTCAGTTAGGAACTGCCAGACCAAAGTACCAGTCGCTGGCTGTTTTATATTTTTTTTTCTATCATTGCCTCTAGGGCCCTTGCCGCAGGTTCCTGCACCACCGACAACTGTGGTGTCCCCTACGGCCGCAGGGGCGCGCCGCGGCCCGCGATCGCGTCGTCGGCCATAGCGCGTTTGCGCCGGCGACCGTATACGCAGTTACGCTCGTGCCGCAATTCAGGGAGTTACGTCTTATGCTGCCACCAGACTGCTAGCCTCGTATCTTGTTGTATTCATCGCCCTGTCCACGCGCATGACCTAATGTCTCTGTGCACCCAAGGCCAAGCCACCCTGACGCCATCTTGGCGGGTCCGAGCAGCAATCGTGTGACCTCTACCCAGCGATCGCGTGATCGTGACGTCAGCGGTAGGTGTGGACACCTCCAGCGCTGGTGGCGCCGCGGCGGCAGCGACAGCAACTGCTGGTAGCCACGTGGCCGCCAGCGGCGCAGGCGCGGGCGTGTCATTACGTAACCGTCATCCGCGCCGTGAGGCGGCCCGGGTGATTCACCCGCCGTGTCGTCAGCTGACCGTGACCGTGGCCTAGCGGCCTTTGGCCCGGCGACCGGACCGCAGGTCCGCAGCTGATTGGGGGTCGTCTTGCACCGGGTCTGCAGCGGGCCATCTGGGCTGGAGTCAGGTCACTGCTGGCTGTATGCCACTCTGTGGGAAGCAGCGTTAGTCGGTCACAATTTGGCCAGACGTGTACGCAATCGTGTATGCCTGAGAGGCAGCGTTAGTCGGTCACAGATTGGCCTGACGTGTACGCAACCGTATATGCCTGGGAGGCAGCGTTAGTCGGTCACAGATTGGCCTGACGTGTACGCAACGGTGTATGGGCTGGAGTCAGCTCACTGCTGGCCGTATGCCACTCTGTGGGACGCAGCGTTAGTCGGTCACAATTTGGCCAGACGTGTACGCAATCGTGGATGCCTGAGAGGCAGCGTTAGTCGGTCACAGATTGGCCTGACGTGTACGCAACCGTATATGCCTGAGAGGCAGCGTTAGTCGGTCACAGATTGGCCTGACGTGTACGCAACGGTGTATGCCTGAGCTGCAGCGCTAGTCGGTCACAGATTGGCTGGACGTATACGCAACCGTGTATGCTATATCGGTTTCGTCCGCGTCCCACTCTGGGAGCGTCCAGGGCTTACGTAATTTTGTTTTTCTCATTGCAGGCATGCTCGTCGTAGGGGACAGCTATGCTGTCCACCTCCCCCGCCGCTGTTCGCCCCACCTTGCCGTGGCGGCGGCCGGTGTTCGCGGAGGCTGCGTCAATGACGACGGCTTCAGGCGCTGGGCCATCCGGGCCGCAGTTCGTGCCCGTCCTCGCGTGGTCACGCTCGTGGCGGGCGGAAATGACCTCGCCAGAAGGGACTGCCGCGTTCAGCGGTGGCTCGCCAACCTCCAGGAACTGACGCTCGGGCTCCTGGCAGCCGGAGTCGTTCGCGTCTATGTGCTGCCCATCCCTCCGCGCACAGGCTTTCCATCCAGCGGCGTGTCGGCGCGAATTTTCCGGCGGCGGCGCTGGGTGGCCAACAAACTGTTGCGCCGCCTTTTCCGCCAACCGCCGGTGCTCCTGCTCCACTTTGTGCCGCCACCTGACTTTCTGGCGTCGGATGGGGTTCATCCGTCCGCGGCCGGGTGGCGCACCCTGGAGAGCGTGCTACAGGAGGCTATGGACGCCTCCTCCGGGATTTAGCGTGTACCGGGTCGCTCCCGTGCTGTGTCGTGTGTGTCCCCCCCCCCCCTCCTAACCGGCTGGCCGTTTAAATACACATTCCCGCTAACATCGTCGTCTATTTTCATGCGTTCGGAGCTGCTATGCCACGGGCCAAGTCGTCGGCGGGCCGTGCCCCGGCACGCCCCCTGCCAGCGCCACGGACGGACGCGCCGCGACGCGCCACTACGAGACGCTCCGCGGCGGCCGCGGCCGCGTCTGGCGCTGGTGCCACGAGCCGCCGCACGCCCGCTGCTGCGGCGAGGCGACAGGCCGCAGTGATGGCCACCACTCCGCCCAATCCAGGGCGGGGCCATGCTGCTACAACGTCGGCCGCCGCCGCCTCGCCCCCTGACGCCGCGGTCATCGACCCCGCCGCTCTTCAAACAATGGTGGGCGACATGGTCCGGGCCGCCGTCGCCGCCGCTCTACCTGCCAGCGAGCCATCACCGCCGGCGACGGTCGCCGTGCAGCGCGGTCCGGCACAGCGTCTCCAGGATGGGCCAGCTGCCCATCTGACGTCCGCCGACCACGCCTACACGCCGGCTGCCGAACTGCAAGCCGGGCCAATGGCGCTCCCGGCGGTTCTCTCCGGCGCCCCTCCGACCGCCGCCGGCCCTGCTCCACCTGCGCACCTGCCAGCGGCGCAGTTGCCCGTCGCCGGCCGTCCGCCGGCACCGGTGGAAAATGCCGCAGGTGACGACCTAGCGGCCCGCGCTGCCGTATCCCCCGCGGTGGCGGCCCTCATCGTGTCCCATCAATTCATTGACCTAAACACTCTCCTCAACGACTCTATCCCCCCGGCAGAACCAGGGCTGTTTTGCCTTATCGACGGCCGTCTCCGTCCCTCGGTACAGCGCCGCCCAATCCCGCATTTCGGCGCCTGGGCCACCGCGTTTCTTCGATACGCGGCCGTGTACTTGGCTGCCCACCCCGCTGACGCCTCCGGTCTGTTGCGCCACATGCAACAAGTGTCCTCGCTGCAGGCGCCCGGCCTTGGATTCGCGTGGCGCGATTTCGATGAGGCCTTTCGGCGCGCACGGGGCCTCTGCCCGGAAGCTCACCCATGGGGCTCCACGGCGGCCACGTCTCCCATTTGGCTCACCGCAATCGCTCGCGGAATCGCCGGTTCTCGGGCCGGGTCTGCAGCCGGTGTAAGCGGCGAGGGTCGGGGCGGCTCTAGCCGGCCGGCCGCCGCGTCTGGCTCTTTTCGCGCGCTCTGCCTCGGCTACAATCGCGCCGCCGGGTGCCGCCGGTCCCCGTGCCTGTTCCGGCACGAGTGCCGCCTCTGCCGTGGCCCCCATAGCGTGCTCGCCTGCCCTCGCCGCGCCGCCCCGGCCCTCCCCGGCACCCGCCGCCCCGGCCGCGAATGACTCCCTCACTCCGCCGGTATCAGTCCCGCCCGACCACCTCGCGCTGCTCCTGACAGGTTACGACCCCGCCCTGGCCGCGCAGCTAGTGCACGGTTTTCGCTACGGCTTCCCGCTCGGCAGCGCCGAGGTCCCCTCTGGTGACTCGGGCGGCAACCTTCCATCCTGCTCTCTGGCGCCGGAAGTCGTGGACGCATATGTCGCGGCTGAGACGCGCGCGGGTCGGATAGCCGGTCCTTTCTGTCCCGCGCCGCCATGGATCGTCCGTTTTTCTCCCATTGGTCTAATCCCCAAAAAGTCTCCGGGCTCGTTTCGGGTCATTCACCACCTGTCATTTCCCACCGGCGCTTCCGTCAACGATTTCATTCCCCGGGAGCGCACATATGTTCAATACGGGTCGGTGGACGAGGCTCTTCGCCTGATTGGGTCCTTCCAACGCCCCTACCTCGCCAAAACCGATATTGAGAGTGCATTCCGCATCGTGCCCGTCCGCCCGGCGGACGCCGCCATGCTCGGTTTCCATTGGCGGGACTGCGCATACGTGGACCTTTGCCTTCCTATGGGCTGTGCCAGCTCTTCCCAAATCTTCCAGTCCGTCAGTGATGCGCTCGTCTGGATCGCGCAGAACAAATTCGGGGCGGGTCCCATTGTTTCTGTTTTGGACGACTTCCTCTTCATCGGCGAGTCGCGCGCAGCGTGTCAGCGCTCGCTCGGCGGCTTTCAGGCCATGTGCCGTGACTTGGCGATCCCGCTGCGTCGCGACAAGACCGTGGCGCCGTGCCGGTCCCTCACCTTCCTCGGGGTGGTATTGGACCTTGAGCGCGGCGAGCTGCGGCTGCCAGCTGACAAGCTGGCACGTGCCAGGGCAGGCCTCACGAGCCTGCTGGCCCGCCGGAAAGCGCCCCTCCGCATGGTCCGTGAATGCACGGGGCTCCTCAGCTTTGCGTGCACCGCAGTGCCACTCGGTCGCCCGTTCCTACGGCGCATGTTCGACTTGTGTCGCGGCGTGTCGCGCCCTCACCACCGCGTCACGATCACCCGGGCGGCCAGACAGGATATGCGCGCCTGGCTGCTGTTTCTAGACCGTTTCCCAGGCCGCGCGATTCTCGCTCACCGGCGCTGGTTGTTGGAGCCGGGTCTTATCCTGGAGACGGACGCCTCCAGCTCGGTCGGGCTCGGTGCCATCTGCGGCGAGGACTGGCTCCTGGGGCCGTGGCCCGCGTCCCTCCGCGAGGCCCCTATCAGCGTTTTGGAACTAGTGGCTGTCGCTGTAGCCGTGCACGTGTGGCGAGATCGGTTCGCGCATCGCTGCGTCCTTGTGCGCTCAGATAACTCCGCTGTGGTGGCCTGTATAACCTCTCAGTCATGCATGACGGGTGTACAAACGTACGAATACACAGACCCATATTCATCAGTCATGCATTTGCAAGCGCAGCGGAACGGAGAAATGCATTTGACGAGCGACACCTACGGGGTCGTGCGGCAAAAACTTTCTCTGTCCGCGGGCGCCACTGCAGCGACACCTGCCGTGTGGCTCCAACACTATTGGCTCAGTCTGTGCGCCCACGCCGTGCCGCGAACACTGATCCTACACATTGTTCAGCGTTCTTGTCTTTCCGATTGTCCACCGCCACCCCGCCGCCGCCTGTGGTACTGTGTTTCCATGCATTGCTGGCTGTGTAAGCGTAATCTGCACCCAAAGTGCATGACGGGTGTACAAACGTACGAATACACAGACCCATATTCATCAGTCATGCATTTGCAAGCGCAGCGGAACGGAGAAATACAGGTGCGTGCGTCATTTGTTTACGAAGTCTCGCACGGTTTCGGCGTGTCTTATAAACGGTTCGTGAACTGATAGCACCAAGGCCCTAAAACATTGATAGCACTGGAATAATGTGGTTCGTGGAGTTTTACCCCGCGTTCGATGTCTCTTGGACGACGAAGATTCTACGTCGTCCGGCCAATCACGTTCCATAACCGCAGCCGAGCCCCCGCTGGCCTTCAACGAGATTGGCCGCATAGGCGGCGGAACGATTTGAGACAAGGGGGGGCACCATGGCTCAAGGAGCCAAACCTAGGGTACCCCCAAATCCTGTTTTCTCATCGGATTTAGGCCACTTATTTTTCGTCACAGCCCTGACACGATGATTTTTTTAATTTTATTTTTTACTAAACGAAAATGGCAGTTCACCCCCGTATGCAGGGGTGCAATTTTATATCTCTTTGTGGGGGCATATGCACCCACAATCCTGAATTATGTATGCCCACACAATGATGAAAATGCACCCACAAGTCTTTTACAAGGCTGCAAGCATCCTTTCGAGAGTACGGTGCCCTTCGCATGCTCTAACGGCGTCCTCCTGACCGTCTCGCGTTCATGGATAATATAGCGTTTTTAATCACTCGGCGCCCTTCTGGGAGAATGGCGCACTTTTGACAGCACCGCGCCATTCTCATGGTCTAACGGCGCCCTCCTGACCGTCTCGCGTCCTTAGGTCTCTGTTCACCGTGCATCCCTCGACTGTTCGGCGCCCTTCTGGCCTCTCAGCGCCCCTGAACCACATATAGCGTTTTCAATCACTCGGCACCCTTTTACGAGAATGGCGCCCTTTTCATGATCTCAATGCGCCCTCGTAACCATCTGGCGTCCCCACGTCCCCACCAACGTAGCACTACTGACTGTGCGGCGCCCTTCTGGCCTCTTAGCGCCCCTGGACCACATAGCGTTTTCAATCACTCGGCGCCCTCCCAAGAGAATGGCGCCCTTTTCATCGTCTCACGGCGCCCTCGTAAGTCGTAACCGTCTGGTGCCTCCACATTTGGTGCCCCTCCTAGTGGATGGCGCCCTCTACAGCTTTTTACGTCCTTCCGGTCAGTTTCCACTTTTAAGCGTGTATTTGCTTAGTCAGACACGTCACTTGAAGCGCCATTCGGCTAGCAATGTTATCAAATTCGGTGTTAATTTAGGCTCCCACATAAAGAATATCTATCGCGCCCCAAAACGGCCTGGCGCCGGGCGCCCCTACAGCTGGGCACCCACAATCATTTTAGGAAAATTACACCCCTGCCCGTATGTGTGGTTAACTTTAAGCTGATCCCCAAGTACCTATGTGTGTGTACCTATGTACCAAATTACCAAGAAGCCATCGCATGGTACTAATCAGTGGCGAATCCCAGGGTGGAGGTCACATGGGTCATGACTTAGGGCCTGGGGTCACCACATGCCTGCCAGGAGCACCACAGGCCTGACAGCCGACAGGGGCACCACAGGCCCGCCAGGGGTACCATAGGCCTAGCAGGGGCACCACGGGCCTGTCAGTGGCACCACAGGCCTGTCAGGAGCACCATCGGCCTAGCAAAAGCACTACAGGTCTTCCAGGGGCACCACAGACCTGCCAGGGGCACCAGAGGCCTGCCAGGGGCACTATCGGATTCGCAGGGGAACCACCGGCCTCGCAAGGGCACCATGGGCCTGTCAAGGGCACCACAAGCCTGTCGTTGGCAATTTAGGATTGTCAGAGGCACCACAAACCTGTCAAGGGCACCTGCGTTCTAACAGGGGCACCACAAACCTGCCAAGGCCCAGGGACACCACAGGCTTAGCAAGGACACCACAGGCCTGTCAGGGCCCATGGGCACCTAAGTCAAGTCAGGGCCCACCGTAGGCTTGTCAGGGGGCAGGGTAGGTAGGTACCACATTCTTTCCAGGGGCATCAGCGGCCTAGCAGGTGCAGGGGCACCAGTCATCACATGACTAACCAAAAATAAAGAAAATAAAAAAACCTGAAAATAGGGCACCACCAAAATTAAGTGGCCGAAATCCGTTGAGGTTTTAATTTTGGGCATAGGTAGGGGCACCACTTCGATTCATGGCCCTCCCCTTGGAGTTTTCCCCGAATCTGCCCCTAGTACTAATACATCAAATTTAAGGGGGGGCACCTTGCTATTGGTGCCCCCCTTGCAGAATTCAAGGGGGGGCACGGTGCCCCGGTGCCCCCCCCCCCGTTCCGCCGCCTATGATTGGCCGGACGGCATAGAATCTTCGCCGTCCGAGAGACATCGAACGCAGGGTTAGATCGAATGGTTCGTTTCGAGGTGTCCGACGTTTTGAGGTGTAAGAAAATACCAAGCATTAAATCTGTTCTTGGTCTTCTCTGTAGAATAATGAAAAAATAATCAGAATCAGTCAGGTAGTTTCGAATCATAAATTAGTCTACCAAATTAGTCTGCTTTTTAGACACCCTGGCTGCACTTTGGCTTCTGCTAGTGTACATGTGATTGCTGATTTTAGTTAGAAACCTATGGAGATCACGTGATTGAAGCATCACTGATATCGTGAAATATATTTTTTGTCAAGAAATGTTAGGGCATTGTGCACTTAATGATTTTGAAAAAAAGATGTATAAATATATTAATTAGTTAGATAAATCAAACTTACTGTGAAAAATGGATATTTGTTTGACTGTGGAAGCAGCCCATGTGACCTCCAGCAGCGCCCGAATCAGCCGAAGGTGGGAGCTCTCGTGGAAATGCAACTTCTGCGTAAACTCAACCTGAAATACTTTTAGGAATGTTTTTTGTCTAAATTTCCTGTGCTGCAAGCTCTAAGGTAAGTGCTTCATATTTATTGTCAAGGAACGTTGCCAATTATCCTAAATTCAGCGCATGTGCTGCTGCGCCGTAAATGTCGCATTTGTGTTATTGCAACTCATTAAGTACTTTTTGCATTTAAATCATAATAAAATATGACTTGATCTAGCCTAACACTCACTTAAAATCTGCTCAATACTTTTCTTTAATCCAATACCTTCTGCTGACATTGGTGTAAATCTCATTTAGCGTAGGTACTTGGTTCGTAACAATAGTAAGAAAAGACTAAGCCATATGGTTGGAAATAATAAAGAGATTAATTACCTATATAGTTGAAGCAGTTGCTTGCATACAAGAAGCATGCTTTTTGCCACATGATTATGTAAAAATGAGAACCCAAATTAATGTGTGCTGCTGTTTGCTGCCATCACCAAACAAGAAGCATCACAGATGATGGCATCGTAATTTTAATTCTAACTTAAGCTAGTAACTTGCATGAATCAAATGGAACACCATGCTGAATTGTGAATGTTTGAGTAGTTATGAAGTCATTGAGTCATTGAAGAAATCTCATACATTTGAAGCCATAGGTACTTCGTAACTTCATTGGTCATTTTTACCTATGATGGCACATAAAGGTAAAGTAAATTTATGGGTATACAATGAGCAAACATTTTATTATGTAAAGGTGACCTTTATCAAGCAAAAGAGATGACATTGCTCATATTGAGTCGGGGAGAGATGAATAAGTATTTAGGTATTACCCTAGACTAATTTCAAGTACCTACAAATGCTGAAAATAATGCGACATAAGAACAGTTCCTGTATTTGTGGTCTTTGAAATAGCTATATATTTGGCAGTTTCAGAGATATTTCATTGATTTTTACATTGTAAAGGTAGGGAGATGCTCTCTGATATATTCTGTTTCTTTTTAGTTTCAAAAAATAAAAAATTGAAGAAAAAATGCTGATCAATCTTGACTTCAAGTTTGAAAATTTAAGTTTCTTAGTATTTCTATTTTTGGAAATTTCATGTTTAGGATTCTTGGAAATTTTGAGATAGCAGTTTCCTTTGCCATGCTTTTTTGTAGATTCGGTGCAAATTTGGGGTCTCTAGATTGTTTACCTGACTTTCTGCATTTTTTCCATGAACAACTTTTTTACTGAAAATATATGAACATGACCTTAGTCTGACCTCTGTAGCTCATGACCTAAGATGATGACCTGGACCCAATTTTTCAGGAGTTGTGTGAAATTGATGTCCAGAAAGGTACTGATAACAGCGAGTCAAAAGTAATTGTTGGCCGTTTTTTAGTTATCTGTGAAAAAAAAACAGGATGGGCCCCTTGCCCAAGCATCACGGAGGCGCACGTGGGCGGCGCTAACGTTTACTGTTGTCTATCGACAGGGAACATGCGGCGCTGACACCGGCCTGCGGACGCCTCCAGCCAGCCTGGGCTACGAATGGAGGAGCTGCTGGCTCAGCTAGCGCGCGATGCCGGGGCGGAACGGCGCGCCGACATCCGCCTTCTGGCCGACCAGGCGCGCAGTGAGTCTCAACCTGTGGTCACGAGCAGTGACAGCAGGGTCTCGCAAAGACAGCACGTACTTACCACAGGGCAAAGTGACAGCTGGCTGTGCTGATTCAGAATCCTTCCTGATGTATTTGACGATTGTAGGTGCTTTTCTCGTGATTTTGTCGACCTTTCGGACGATGCTTATTGCGTAGCAGTACGCAGTCCAAGAGCCAAACTAGAGGGGGAGAGGCGTAAAAGATGCCTCCTCGGTGTAAAACGCCCCCTCCCCTTCAGCTTGTGCTTCTGTTGAACAGCCCTGCTGCAGGCTGATCAAATGGAAAGCTCTAGATGTTGGCTGGTACTAGCTTTTGATTGCCGTTTCCCGTCTGTTTACGATGATCTGTTCGGAGGCTAGACCGCGAGGGGAGTAGAATCTATCCCCGTTTGCCCGTCTTTTTTACGACAATCTGTTCGAGGTCAGACCGGGGTAAGTCGAATCTATCCGTCCCGCTCCCCAGCGGGGTGCGGGTGAAATGCAATGCCGTCATTGACTCAGTGCATTCACCGTAAGAGAAACTTCAGCTGAAAACGGGCAAACATTTTAGGAGGAACGCCTTGCCGTTTCATGTGAACTGCTGCTAGCTAACTTAACCCGCGCCCCGCTGGGCTATTCAGTCATACGCGCCCTGCTGGGGGAGGGGGGGGGGCAAATTCTGCCCCCCCCCTGTCTAACTTCCGAACCGATGGTCGTAGAAAGACGGGGAAAACGGTAATCGAAAGCTCTCAACAAGGCGGATCTTAAGAGCCCAATTTGTTTTGCTTAAGTAGGTCAGAGGTCAGGTCAAGGTCAGGTCAAGGGTACAAAATGCAAGTTTCTACAGTATCGGCCTTGCACCGTAGTTGCCAAAGAATGGACTGAGACTGATTGCCCAAAACGTGTTCTTAGACTACCAAGACAATATTCGTTGCATACAATGTCATTCAAAGGTCAAGGTTAAGGTCAAGTCAGGTCAGGTCAGGTCAGGTCAGGTCACAAAAAATATAGAAAAGGGCATGTGCGGCACATGTTTTATGGGTCATTTTACTCATAGAATTCAATAGGCACACTGAATAAGTGATATGGACCACCTCTGGATGAATTTCAGGTCGAGGTCAGGTCAAGGTCAGGTCAAGTGAGTTCAAATTTTGAAGTTGGTTGTTAAGGCCTAAAAAGGTGGCTATCTGATGCAGTTTTTCACGGCGAATCGAATGGTGCTATTTTTGTTTCCGTACGAGGTCTAGAACTTTAAAAAAAATCATTTTTCAAAATTTTTGTGTGTCGTGACGTCATAAAATTTTGAATAACTCCCAGATTTTTTAACCGATTATTCTAAAATTGGTATGTAGGTGCACATAGACCACTTCTCTGACATATATTCCGTTTTTTTCGATACACTCAAAATTTTGAACTTAATAATCATTTTCCCAAAAAAGTCAGTTTTTTGAAAAAAATTTGGGCCAAAATCCAAAATTTTCAAAAAATCGAGGTAGCCATTTGATAGACAAAGTAGAATCACGTTTAACCTTTTTTGTTACGTCTTGATTCCTTTAAAAATGAAGATGTTACCGGCGTTTGAAATTTTGCCGTTTTTGAGGCGAAAATGGCGAACATGACGTCACTAAAACGTCAATTTATCAAACATTTTCCGACGGATTTCGCTCAAGTTTTCAGGGAACGTGTCAAATTGATGTATGATAAGGTACTGAAAGTTTGACGTCGCTAGCGTAACGCGTTTTGAAGTTATTGGCGAAAAACGGGAGGGGGGGGGGCAGATTCTTCCCCCCCCCGCCCCCCAGCGGGGCGCGGGTTAAAAAAGATATGTGGCGTTATAAGGCACAAATTGGATTTCCAGTAATGTTAAAAATACTTGTTCTGGATATTCTTTTTTTAAGTAGAGCTTTTGATGAAATCTGATATCATTTCCCCAGCTGTTTGTGCTTTCAATAATCTACGCCAACAAGTTTTTAATCATAGGGTCGTTTTAATAGGTCAGCGGCGTAGTTTCCTGAGCGTTTGATTGCCGTTTTCCCGTCTTTTCGCGACCATTTAACGTGACTAACGGCGTTTAGAATGGTAAATGAGCGGACTGCATCTTACGGTGCGGTCTCATAGACTGACGAGGCACTCTTTGCAGACTTTACTGAATCGCAGCATGGCCTGTTGCGCGACCCGCCGTGGGAGCTCCGTTCCAAGTGTCTGGAGGCGCTGGGCTCGGCGCTGCACAGTGGCAGCGGCAAACTTGGCACGCTCGCCATACAGGGACTGCAGGTACACAAGCCTCTCTGCTCCTGCATTGTGTGACTGACATGAACGCCCAACTTATAGGTACTTTTAAGCTTTAACGTAGGGCTGAATGTATCAACTCCATCAAATGTTGACTACGTCCAATCGAACGACTAATTATTCACCTACCTAAGTGTTTCGGTAACACTGTGTGCTTTTTGAAAGGTACCTATGTGAACATTAACTACCGACTCCTTGCAAACCTGAGTTTCGGTTCGTGACGTTTACCAAATTAAAAAAAAATCGCAAAACTAACGATCGGGGTTCCACAGAGAATGCTCCGTGACGACCGGTTCGCGGCCCCGTTCGAGAGCGACGACGAGTCTCGATGGCTAACCACCCAGCTGCTGGATTCACTGCCGTCGCTGGCAACGCTCGACGATAACGCACAGGTCGAAATAATGCGGGTGAGTACATATCGGCAGCGCTGCTGAGCTGTGAAACGTAATACCGCTGGCTCCTCTCAGCGCATTATACCGGGGCTATCGTTTGTCCGTCTGACGCCGGGAGGTTCTGCTTAGCTTGTGTGTTTGCGTCAAAGCCTTCTATTGACGGTGGTGACTGGTGAAGATAGTAATTCGTGCAGTGTGTACTGTGTACTCTGCGGACCTCTTACAGCCGGCGTCTGGTTTGACCTGTAGGTGGTGAAATTGATAGCTGTTTGTCTCGCCATCCATTGTGGTAGATGCTTGGACCGCAAATCAGGCAACTTTTTTCTACGGCTATCAACGCATCTCCCCGCGAGAGTGCTTTACTTCGACACTTGGCCGATCACCCGGCTAAAGTAAAACGGTTACAGCGCAAACCGCACTCCTCATCTATTTATGGACTCCACTAGAGCACACGTCTGCTATAATTACACTGTCATCGACACCAGTTAATTTGTCTCCCGTCCCTGCCAGGTACTGCTGAGCGCCGCGTGTCAGAGCTGGTGGGTGGCCAGCAGCGCGCTGGTGGTTCGCCTGCTGACGCTCTGCTTCCAGCTGTGCTCGAGGACACCCTGCCCGCCCACGGTTGCCACGGCCGCGCAGGCCGCCGCCTGCCAGGCAGTCCGCGGCTTTGTCGCCATTCTTGGTATGTCCGACTATCCTGAGGATAACAGGCTTACTAAAAAAAATAGTTGGTAGGTACTTGCTTTTGTTAACTATTGCGCTTGGCACAACACTTAACAGCAGACTGCTTGACTGCCCACTGACTTTTTTATCGAATGGAAACCAATCGATAAAAGTTGTGTAAGAGGAACGAGAAGGGGCATTTTTGTTTGAACACGAGAGATGGGGTACATTTCTCCGCAAATCTACACGACCATGATTTCTATCGGGAAATGTTCTCCAGGTGTAATGTTTATGGTGCCATTAAAAAGTATGCCTCACATTATCTACTACTTACTTCAGTACGACAGTTCCGAGCAAGAACATCCTTAGTGTCAGATTTTTCGAAGTTGAGATTTTTATACCATTCGACTCAGCTCGACGAGCTGAGTCGAATGGTATGAATATCTCAATTTCGAAAAATTTGACACTTAGGATGTTCTTGCTCGGAACTGTCGAGTAGCAATAAGTCGTGCTGAAGCAATTTCGTAAACGTTTTATTCTTACTCTGAACATTAAAACACCTGTCTCCTCAGACGAGAGCTACGAGAGTGAGATGGCGGAGGGCCCGGCCGGAGGCGGGGACGGCCTGTCGCCGGCCGACGTGTACCAGGACATCGTACCCGTGTGCGGCTACCTGTGCTCCCAGCTGCAGGCCTTCGCCGACAAACGGTCAGTCGCCCGGCCCGACGACTTGTTCGTTTGTGACAAAACGAACAGCTTCTTGGTAAAATGGATGGACGAATTATGAAACCCTTTCACTATCACGCGCAGTATTGACTGAATGAATCGGTGCCCAACGTGTTTGTGATTCGGGTATGTTTTGCTGTAACGTAGATTCTGGAGCCAGATTACGGTAAGATGACAAACCAAGACATAGAATTGAGAACGCCCTCTCTCTGTGTGTCCAGGTCGGCCGGCGCGGGTCTGCAGCTGCTGCTGAGCACGCTGAACGCGCTGCTGACGGCGCTGCCGGCGGCCCGCGCCCACCAGTGCGCGCCGCTGCTGGAGCAGACGTGGCGCCACCTGACGCCGGCTCTGGTCTGCCTGCTTGGCTCGCCGACCACCGAGCGGGTGGGCAGTCACGGGCCGGCCGGCGAGTCTCAGCTGGCCAGGGGCTCCGGCGGCCTCACACAGCAGCCATCACTGCCGGCCGCCGAGGCGCGTACCATATTCAGGTGGGCACGACGTAGCAGAGCACTGACGATACCGAGTTTTGAACCGTCTTGCAGCCGATACAGCCCACAGTGCGTGTTCTCCGCCCCGGCTGAGCGTCTCCCGTTCCCTCCGACAGCATCTCCGTTCAGCTGGTGCGGCTACTGGGTGCCGTGGCCTCGGTACGCCCGGCCCTGGAGGCGCTGTTCCACAGAATGCTGCTCTACCCGCCGCCGCAGCACCGGGACGACGCCCTCCGAGTCGTCAAACAGGTAGGCTTTTCTCGAAACACATCACCGCGGCTCTACCACTAACTGCCGTACTGTGTGGCTCTTGTATGAGTTCTATGAGCGGTACATTAGCCATCCGTTCACTCATTCACTCACAACTCCACTAATTGCCGCACCGTCTAAAGGCTTCGTCGTCACTTGACTGACTTGAGTAACTTCCACGTTTCCGCGAACTCTACGTAGCAAGAAAAGTTAGGTCAAGTTATTCAGAGCGACTCAACCGCGAGGTAATTTCGGCTCACAGATTTACGCTCAGTTGCGGTCAAAGGCAAGCGTTTTCGGAATGCTGCGCAGTTATGCCCAATTGATCGGAAGCTGATGTAAAGGTATACTAAGTATTAATAACATTCCTGTAGCTAATTGCGCCCTTTTGTTCTCCTCTGACTCCAGGTGCTTCAGACTCCGGAGCTGCTGCTGGCCTTCTGTGGCCCAACACTGGTCCACCAGGAACCCAGCGCCAAACACGTACCCGTCAACGATCTATCACTGCTACAGATGTGAGTATGACGAACGTACGACGCCATGGGCACCGTCACTTGCCCACAGAGACACTGTCAGGACGAGCGGGAATGTTCTTAGCGTGTGGTTAGTTTGACTGCACGCACTGCTTCACAATCATAATCACAAAATTTATGTTTTAGCGGTGTCAGAATCTACGAAATGGTGGCTCATAGCTTTCGCAAAACGATATGGTTGGTTACGAGAGATTTCAGCAATCTAACTGCAGATGCAATTCGAATATCAATGATAGAAATACATAGCATAGCAGATGTGTTTGATTAGAACAAGATATTTTCTTTTACACGTTTTCTTCTGAGCATCTTTTTTGTAATGAAAACTGACGTTCTGGTTGTCCGAACAGCACGATCGACTCGATCATGGAGTGCAGCTCGCTGCCGGAGCCATCAGCCACACACACGGGTGTGAGCTGCTGCGTGGCGCTGCTGCAGTCTCTGGAGGCGCTCTGCGAGGGGCGGCACGTGTCGACCGAGTACGCTCAGCGCGTCAACTCGCTCTACGCCAGGCTCGAGGAGGCCGACTACCAAGGTGTGTTCGTGTGTTTGTAAATGTGTAATAAAAACATGCATTGCGTAATGCGTATGTTTTGACACTCCGCTGTATTATAGTAGCGGTGGCTGAATACTGGGTCGGCTCCGACCAGTTAAAGGAATACATTGGTCTCACTGCATTTCTTTGTGTGCCGGCCGCAGGTCCTGTAACGTACGGCGGTGCGGAGCTGGCTGGTCCGAGGGGTCACAGCCACACACCGTCGCCCGCTGACTCAGAGTCCGATGACTCGGGTGACACCGAGGGCCCTGAGACGAGCGACTCAGATGAACAGGACGCGGGACAGGTGAGCATTTCCCGGCCCCAGGCGCATAACATAACAAATGCATAACAAAAGCCCATGCACAGCGCAACAGCTATCAGGGACAGTTGACTTTTGGTTGCGGCTTGTAGTACCCGAACACTGACCGTCTGGAAAGTCAAGCGGTCAGGCAGTCTGACTGTCTGAAGGCCTGGCAGCTCTGAGTGTCCACGATCTGACCGTCTGACATTATGCCAGTCGTGAGTCCCGGCTAGCAGTCCACTGACAGTCCGCTGATTGCCGACAGCTGAGCCCCGATGCGGAGCACCGCCGTCGGAGACAGGAGGAGGAGATCTGCCGACTGGAGCGGCTGCGCGGCGGACGGCCAACGCAGCTCCAGGTAGTTACCTGCTCTTATACTCCCTCCTATCTGTCCCCCCCCCCCCACACACACAAACCGCCTCGCTCTGGCCCCGTTCCCGGTCGGCCCCGCTTCACATCTCCTGTGAATCATTCGCCGCTGCCAACTCAGACATGGTGTCAGACACAGAAGCGGCACGGCTTTCCCCTCTTCATTGCCGTATCGACCTCAGCAAACAATTCCCATAGCTACGTAAATTTAGTGGCTGCTTGATGACAATTTGTATCTATATCAATCATACGGTCATGCTGTTTCCAGTGCAGCCACTGTTAACGATTCATGACAGATGTACCCACTACCCATGTGTGAAACGTCTATTGAATTTGTGTATATCTTTTTGTGTCTTCTCACTCCCTCTCTCCCTTCTGTGTAACAGCACTACGACTGTTCGAGTGAGCAGGAGCGGCGTCACTGCCGCCATTTCGTGCAGACTCTGCGCGCCCTGCTGCCCTCCCTGCTAGCCATCCGCAGCTGCCTGGAGGTCGACAGGGCCGTCCAGGAGTTCGCCTCCAAATACTGTGACGGTAAGAAGAACCTAATAACATCACCGGTGGTGTGAGGGAAACCATCGCCAGTGTATCTGAGATTCAGTGAGCTGGAGAGGAGACGGGCTTGTTGATTTAACTTTGTTCGGTCATCGATGCCTCGCGAGTAGAAGATTATTCAGTTTCATTTCACAATCGCTTCGGTTATCATGTGAGTATGTAGTGATTTCCCTTGGCATGTTGTGTTTGCTCGTTTAGATCAGGTTGTCACTTTCTATTTACAGATGAATAAAAAACAGCGCCAAGTAGACCTTTTACTGAAAATCCGTGGTACTGGTGTGAGTGTAGCTCTGACTGACCCCGCCTCGACTTTACCTAGGTCCGTACAGCTCGCAGTCGGATCTGAGAGGGGACAGCAGACTCATGTCTAACCCCGCTCTCTCCAGTTTCCCCAGGTCTGTACAGTACCTCCGACTGACCCCGCTCTCTCCACTATCCCCCAGGTCTGTACAGCTCCCAGTCGGATCTGAGCCGCACCGACCCGCACCAGCTGATGATCATTAACGCCGACGGCGTGTATCTGGCCTGCTACGCGGCGCTGCTGCTCAACCTGAAGCTGATTCGCAGCGGCTACTACAGCGGACAGACGGCGGCGCTTACCGTTACCGAGGTAGGTACTAGGCTCGGCATCGTTCACAACCAGACAAATAGAGCGGTGCTTAACACTGGCCGTTGGGAGCGTGTTTTCAATAAGTAATAGACTTATGAAGGTTATGTGCCATTTGTATTTAAGTGACACCAGTGTGGCGTGGCGCCTGGGTGACGGTACAATAGTTGTCAGATGGGTATTGAACTGGCTGCTCAGCTGTGTAGCTATTCAGACTGCTCGACTTTGCCATTGATTCCATGTTGCTCGTCCGCCAGTCTGAGTTTGTGGAGGACGTACTGGGCAGCGGCGTGCTGGTCTACCTGAGCACCAGCTGGCTGGCCGAGCTGTACCAGCAGGTGGTGCACTGTGACCTGCTGCACCAGGCCGGATACACCGACCGCGGCGCCAGCCTCATCAGTCTCATCACCGGTAAACGCGCGAAGGGACGACCCATAGTCGATCCGCCAAACATTCACTAAACGGAAATGCTGGGTACGCAGTTTTTATCGTGCTCCTAGAAAGATACCCTAAGGACGCGAAATTGTCATAAAGAACAACTGCTTAGAAACTGCCGTTCTCTGCGGCTGACCCTATCTTTCAGACTTACTGTGCCTCTGAAAGACGTGACTGCGGTGGTGCATAGGCTCGTGGCTACTGGTTATGTTTGTGACCGGTGTTCGTGTTCGTGTTTCTTCAGACCTGGACGGTCTGGGCAGCGTCGAGCCGGGCAGCCAGCTACTCTCCGACTACCGGCGCCTGGAGCGGGCGGCCTCCAACGTGGACCGGGACCCGGCCGTCGAGGCAGGTCAGTCAGCGGTGCCTACGCTGTCTCAGCCGTCACCTGGCTCCCAGGGTAGTCTGTTATTGTGCTCACAGTAAAGTAATGGCGGAGAGCATCGCTAAGGGATCACTTTTGATCATCATCTTATATCTCTGAGAATAGTGGTACTTTCCACTCATCTAGTAAGAATGCCACTCCAAGTATCCACTACGTTCGCTGACCAGCGTCGTTTCCTGTGAGGGGACTGCAGGTGTGAAGCTGGCCCGCCGGGTGCTGACGGCCTGCTGGGACCCGCTGCTGGAACTGCTCTCGGCGCCGCTCTCCGGACCGGCGACTGGTCGGCGGCGGCGGACTCAGGCGCTGCAGAGACAGGCGGCCGGCGCGGCGCTGGACGGTCTGCAGCGCGCCGCCCGGCTCAGCAACGCCACCGGTGAGAGATCGCGCCCTCTCGACGATCAGATAAGCGCCATAGAACTGGCTCCGTCTGCATTTAGTAACGCCACCGATGAACGTTCATCCTTCCCAGTTTTCACACAGGCGAGATCGGAGATAGGGAAATGAAGGATAGCTTATTGAATTGTCGGGGCTGGAGAGGGAGTTGTGAAGTTAGTTCGTGGTGCATACATTATGAGTTAACTGTTAGTGTTCGGTGTTTATAAGTGCGTGTTTTTCTGTTTTTACTAATCACTAATTGATTTGTGACAGTGTCCATGCCGGCCTGTCCGCAGGTCTCCAGGTGCGCTGCGGCTCCGTGTTCAGTTTTCTGACGGCCGCCTCGTGCACTGAGAGTGACGGTGAGGCCGAGTCGGCTGGCCGCTCCCGGCGCCGGCCGCGACTGCCGCTCGTCGGTCAGGCGCCCGTGCAGCTGCACGCGGCACACGTTCTCAGTATGGAGGTCATCCTGAGCAACGGGCTCGACCTGGGCAGCCACAGCGCCGACTGCTGGCCGCACATCTTCAGGTGGGTGGCCTGGGCGGCTGGAGGGAAATGTCGCTGAGCTTTGTTTGGAGTTAGAGCTACTCCGTGTGGTCTGCCGGCTTACAGGTTGTGGGTTGGTTTGTTCAACATCACGAAGCAATTCCCGATGTTACCTACGGTTTTCAGGCTCTCAGACGATTTTTTAACGAGTTACGAATTAGACGAATTAAATGACGGATTTTTCGTCATTTAGTGTTATTGCAATCGCGCACCATCGTTTTTTATGTATTGTGTTAATAACTCCACATAAGCAGACTGCACTATGTCAGTAGTTGTCACTGAGTGTGTGTGTGTTGTGCCGTCCGTCAGGTGCGTCCTGTACCTGGGAGCTCTGGAGCGGCGGCTGTTCTCTGACCGCGGTGGCGGCTCAGCCGGCTCCAGTTCCACCCTCCCTCCGCCGACGCGACACGATGCGGACGCGTTGCGGCTGACGTTCGGCCGACCGGAGGAGGACGAGTCGCTCTGGTGAGAGCCGATCACTCGCCTAACTACATCTCGTAAAGGACAGTGTCTAGCACGGCCCACTTGTCGGGCGATATAACTGGTTATGTGAGTACCGGTACTCAAACCAAGGGTACTGTAAGGTCCACCATGTCACCATGGTTTCTGTCGTAGCTGAGCTTGCTATATTCCACTGTTCGATTTGATCAACGAGTTACGACATTTTTGTTAAGATGTTTGGGGGTGTTGGCGACTCAGTCTTCATCTTTAGAACCCGATTTGTTCCATATCTGTCCAGATTCTTTCCTCTGGGTTGCCAGTGACTGCCTCTGCCACATTTTTCCCATCGACCGGTAACATGTTCTCCGTCTATCCCCCAGCGGCGACACGTACGGCTACCTGGCCAGCTCTCACGGCCCGGCGCCGGACACTGTGGACATAGCCGCCCTGGTGCACGAGTCCGGCGCCGACGACCGGCACGGCGGCGTGCTGCCCGCCCCCTTCGCAGCGCGAGCCGTCAGCGGACTCACGCAGATGGCTGACAGGTGAGGCTTCTTGCCATGCTGGTATGGACAGCTGGTCAATTTTTATGACATCACCGCCTGATTCACGCGAATAGGAAATGTATAGCATGCTCTGGCAGCAGCTGGTGCAAGGGAGAAATGTGAACATTTGGTGGTGGTGTTCTTGCACCCCATACAAGTTGCAGTCTTTGAAAGAGTTCAGAGTGGTCAGACTGAGGATCGACACTTAGCTGTCAGTGTGGGGCTGCTGTCGTCACCCTCGCCATTTTGACGCCCATCCCGGCGCTTCACCCACAGGCTGTTCAACGACGCCGCGCACAAGCTGAACCTCTCCTCACTGCTGAGTTTCCTGCGCGAGCTGTGCCGCGCTTCCCAGCGGCAGCTGTTCGCCGTGCCGGCCCCGGCCCCGGCGCCGGCCTTCTGGCGGCGGCGGGGCCGGCGCGCGCCGGACGCGGCCGGCGAGCAGTGCGCCGCGCTGCTGCTCACGCGGCTCGGCGACGTGCTGCTGAAGGTGGTCGGATCCGGCCGGCCGCTGGTGCACCTGATGCGCGCCTGGCCCATCGTCGGACACCACCTGATGGAGGTACGGGCCCGGCACTGACACCACCGCCGGTACAGGCTACTCTTTTTCTTTGTGTGCGAAATGGGATTTACTGCATGGATCGATTTCGTTTCGTGTCGTTTTAAAACATTATTTTATTTATGTTGGTTATCATAAATACTCATGGTCATTTATCATGGTTATTTTAGAGTCTTCTTTGTTCATTTTCTGATTTGAACTCCTTTCAGGGAATGGTCAATCAATGGTCATGTTTGACTCTGCCCACTTGCATTCCAGGCGGCGTGCCACAAGGACCTGGCAGTCTCGAAGAAAGCGGTCTCGTGTATCCATGACGCTGTGAACGCGATACTGGGCTCACAGCTGGAGCTGCCCCACTACCACATCAACGAGGCGCTGTTCAAGCCGCTCGAGACGCTGCTGTGCCTCGAGCTCTGCGACACGGACGTGCAGGATCAGGTAAGACGTCCGTGTTGAACAGCTGAACTTCCGTATTCTGCAGCTAAAGCGATATCGGTATGGAGTAGAAACGATTTTATTACATTGTACGCGTCTCACGCAAATTCAGTCTTATGTGCTTTCTCGATAAAACGTGAAGATGTTTAAATGTTTCAGTCCCGTCTTCTTTCTCTTCGGTAACATTGGCATTCCGCCGCAGATCGTGGGCTCGATCTGCGAGTTTGTCGAGGTGAGCACCTCAGAGATCCGCAGCGGCTGGCGGCCGCTGTTCGGCGCGCTCTGCTCGGTCCGCTCTGCCGCCTCTGCCGGCCACGTGCGCGCCGTGCTGGACGTCTTCGAGGCGTTCCTCGACACCCACAACGTACTGGTGTTCGCCAACGCTGCCGTCGACTGCATCATGTGCCTGCTGAAACACGTCCGAGGGCCGCGTACGTACTTGAAAGTCGAATTAAGTGGTGTCTGGTTGGGTGAGAAAAAGGATACGTTCTATTCATATGCCTGTCTTTGTCACCTGTCAACGAGCCTGCATGTAAGTCTGTCGACTGCATGCATCTGTATGTCTGGTATTTTTTATGTCTGTGCCTTTCTGACTACATCCTGCTTGTCTGACTGACTGGCTGCGTGCCAGAATATATTCGTGCCGTTTTTATCTGACTGTGGGGCTATGTATGATTTTTAAATTGTTTGTGCAGGACGATTCGGTAAAGATGAAAAGGTTTTGATGCCGTACGCAATATGAGCCATGTCTGCTCACTGGTGTGTGCAGATGCTCTCATTGAGTGATGCTCCAGCCTGACCGTCGCTCCGTTCCGTCCACCAGCCGAGCTCCGAGACGGCGAGGAGCCCGAACAGGTGATCGAGCTGGGTGCCCTGGATGACGACTCGCGCGACCTGGGCCTGGCGGCGCTCCGCTACATCGCGCGCTGCCACGCCATCCTGGCCTCCATGCACGGAATGCGCAACTGTCCGGTGTTCCACGCAGCGCACAGGTACCGGCGCTGCAGCAAAAGTGCTATTTCTGCAATTAATGAAATTATTTCATATAGATTATAGATAGGAGTAATAGTATGCGTGATTTGTACCTGTGGTAAGAGAAGGCACCGTTAGGCTTACCGGTACGATATAAAAGTTATCTTCTTGTAGGAGAATGCACGTGAACATGCTTTCCCTCTCACAGGATCCGACTGAATACGATATTCGTTGCCCCTGACAGTGTATGTTCCTTCTCTTAGGATCCAGCTGAACACGGTACCTCTGACGGTGGACCCGGTGTTTACGGACGAGTTCAGTACGGACCCGGACGTGGACCCGGACCCGGACTGTGAGCTGGACCCGGACCGTGTGTCGCCCGTCACCTACGAGCGTCTGGCCGTGGAGGGCGGCGTCACAGAGCTGCAGGAGCTGGATAACGCCAGTGGTGAGAACGGTGGGAGGGGACAGGGCGGGCGCAGCAACGGTCAGAACAGGGAGTGACGCTGTACCGGTCACAGAGGGAAGGGACGCTGCACCCGTCATACGTTATGTGCTTGCCTGACGTGTTGGCGATAGAAAATGCCTCACATTTCATCGAACGAAGTGATTCTGCGCTCTGACGTCTCTGCTTTGTACTAATCACATATAATATATCTTAGTGTGCTTGAAATTGTTGACCTCCTTGTGGCCTCCTTTATACACATAAGTTCAAATTTCTTGACCGTGTATCGTTTCTGCAGGTATCCTGCGCGTGTGGTACCTACTGCTGGAGGGTCTGGCCGGCGCCACGGCCACCTGCGCGCGACGCCACCAGCCGCAGACCATGGAGACGCTCTTCTCGCTTCTGCGGTCGCTGGCCGACCAGCCAGGTAAGGGACTGTTCCCACCAGCCGCAGACCATGGAGACGCTCTTCTCGCTGCTGCGATCACTGGCCGACCAACCGGGTAAGGGACTGTTCACACCAGCCGCAGACGTCCATGGAGACGCTGTTCTTGCTGCTGCGCTCTCTGGCAGATCAGCCAGGTAAGGGGCAAAGTCAGGAAGGACGCTCTTCCCACTACCGCGGTTGCTCATCGCTGGCTGACCAGCCGGGTAAGAGGCTGTTCTAACTGGTCAACCGGTGCCAGAAAAGGGTCTGATTATGCTCCCATTGGCCGTCGGCCAGTCAGATGAAAGGCTGTTTCCATTGCTACACTCGTTAAGGATTCACACAATCCAGAATGTCATTGTGATGTAGATATTGTGTATGTATGGTAACCGACACTGAGCAGACTGTTATCTGGTCTCCGTCAGGCGCCGAGTTCGGTATCTACTGCGTGAACCACCTGCTGCTGCCGATGATGCAGGGCTGGCTGCGCAGTACGAGCCGGCGTCACGGCGGCTGGAGCAGTTTCGCCACCAACTTCAAACAGTGCGGCGGCATGGCCACCGACCTGGTGGTCTTCTACCTCACCCGCGTGCCAGGTGAGGCTGCAACGTCAGTGCCCTGCACATGAGTGACGTTAGGTAGTGTGAGGTCTGTGACGTCACCAGTCTGTCAGCCAGTGAGAGGGCCCGGTCTCAACTGGCAAAAGCGCGTCATTTGAATCGGTGAAGAGCTATTATGATGTCTGATGAACGATGTCAATATCCACGAGCAGATGATCGCATGTATGTTTCCTATGTGTGTTGCTGTTTCTAGAATTGTGTAGGCATTTGATCTTCATTTACATTTGTTGCCTGTAACTGTTGTTTATATTTTTGCCTCTATTTGCCCTCTTATGGTGATCGTGAAAGCCGAAGCTGATCAGCTATCCCGTGTTTCAGCTGGCGCGTCCGAGCGGCACCAGGCCGGTGTTGACCTGATGCTGCGCCAGCTGCTCCTGGTCATGATCGAGTGCGCCTGTCAGCCGCACGAAGTCGTCTCCCGGCTGGGCTGCGCCTGCATCAGGTACCGTCCGCATTTATGTTTTGTTCTCTCGACTCTAAGGCTGTGCATGGCTTTGGCTAAGGATTAATGGGAGAGTGAGTGGAAGACGAATAGACAGAGACGGGGCATCTGCTTCTCTCCATCCACGGTGACTCGCGGCCGTGGATGTCGGTATATTTTACTGGCCCATCCGCCGTCTGCGAGCTAGCTCTCTACCCGCGCGCCATCTACCTCGATTGGGGGGGGGGGGCGGGGGTCCTGGCTGACTCCGGGCCAGGCGGCGTTCAGAGCTCTGAACAGCACTCTGTGATAGCTGGTGGCTAAAGGCCTCCCGGCGACTGGTCTAAGTCAGCCGGACCAGATGTCGCTCGTGTGCGCTTTTCGAATGCATCTTGCACCCCATAAAATAGGGCACGGCAGGTTGCGTTTGTCAATGACCGTCTCGACACTGCACCCGGCCTCCATGGTACTCTTACTTTTAAACGCCACTCCAGATATTATGTGTGACGATTGACATTACCTATTTTGTGTAAGCTACCCAATCTAACATTGCAACTTGTAAGGTGGTACGTAGAGAAGCACAAACAAACGTCTGTCAAACAAAAGCACAACAAACAAAAGCACAACTGAATAAATCGACACAACTGTTAAAATCGAATGAACTCTTCTTACTAACGGCCGTCGTTCATCGACCGGGAAAATCTTACTCCTCTTTAATAACAGAATAAAAACTGTTGGATTTCAGCTTTCGTTAACTTAGTCATTTCCAAATAATACGATTTACGCATCACGTCAGACAGCAGATAGACTCGGCTCTCACAACCTTAAGTATCGTGTGGGGCAAAAGCTCGCAAACACACGCAAGAGGACCAATTCTACATAGGGCTAGTGTACTTCAAAGCATTTTCCTGTTCCTGTGTTCAAAGAGTTTTCCTAGCGAGGTCCATGTTTGGAGCCACGTAATCGCAGAATCGTATTTTTTGCTTTAACGAGACTTCTACGGCCTCTACCTCGCTTCCCATTTGAATACTAATCGTATTATCGTAGCATAACGTGCCGTTTATTTTCTGACCAGCTTTGCTATAACCCGAAAATAATTCGTCTATTCAAAAGTCTCGGATAATATACGAGTACCCCGGTAATTTTGTTTTCAGAGAAAGTCATTGTAAATTGCCTCGCTGTTAGCGCTTGTGACACCTGTCATGCTAAAGGATTGAATGCGTTAAGTTTTTACAGTGGTATATCGCAGAGCACTGCTTTCACATTTTTTTTCTTCGATAGATTGAAACTAGAGGCTCCTTACTTGTTTCATTTTTGGGAAGGTTGTATTGAGGTGCATTTTGAATTGAATTGAAACTCATCTTTAGAGACGTTCTGCAGACTTGAGATTTTAAGTGTAAAACGACCCTGTTAATATTTATCTGACTAGTGATGTCTGCGGTGATACCTGCACAGGCCGCTCTAATTTGTTTTTCGTTAATTGCCCAATGTTTAGTGTTGGGATACCCAACTCATTTGGATAGCTTCGGAGTTGAACCGGGTTGCAGCAGTGGTCCCGGTGTGGTCTGTCACTTTATGAAAATACCACAGTACGGCGCGCGCGGTCGGGCGGTTACGCGTTCGTGATTGTGGAACCGCCATACCTTGCGTCCCGGGTTTCTTGTGAACACTAATCCCGCACCACACACTAAAACTCGGCTGCATCTAATGTGCTCTAACTGATTGCACATTGTATAAGGCGTACCGGAAACATCAGCTCATTCCATTCTTTTTACGGCCATCCGTAACCGAATTAGGGCGCGCTGAACGGCCGGACGGCGGGCGGCGCGTTTCCTGGCCGGCTGCCGGTCCCGAGCGGCGCCGCACTACAGAGCCAGTCGGCAGCGTCACAAAAAGGTGCGCCGCTTTACGGCCGCCGCCGTCCAACATCCAAATGACCCAATGTTCATGTGTCGTTTGTAATGAAGGCGGCCCAGCGGAGAGGAAAATGACGTAAAAACGACGAGCCGGTGAGCCGTCACAGAGACAACGGTGCGGCGGCACGCAACGGGGCCGGTACGGCGCGCGGCGGCGTCACACGCCATCGTTTGTCCCGTGTCACCTGTCACATGCAGTCGTCTGTCACACGGTGCCGTCTCACGGTGTCACCTGGCACACGCAGTCGTCTGTCACACGCCCGTCTGTCACACGGTGCCGTCTGTCACGCGGAGTCACCAGTCACACGTAGTCGTCTGTCACACGTAGCCGTCTGTCACACGCACTCGTCAGTCACAAGGCGTCGTCAGTCACACGTCGTCGTCTGTCACACGCCGTCTGTTACACGGTGTCTGTTGCAAGCTGTCACCGATCACACGCCGCCACCTGTCACACGCTGTCACCTGTCACACGCCGTCACCTGTCATACACTGTCACATTTCACCTGCGAGTGGCGGCACGGCGGCGACGGCAGAGCTCGGCAGTTTAAACATGGAATAGTGTTCACCTATCTGAAAATTTAAATATTACCCGTAGTGGGTCGTGAAACTATTTTATATTTGCTGGAAACCAAGCGGCGTGACAGCATTCGGCAACTCTTTTCGCTCGGCGGTCCCAAAGGAAAATTAAATAATACCTGCGACCGCGTGAACAGGTGTGACTCCCACCCATTAGGCGTGGTTATGCGGCTAGCCAGGAAATAAAATTCAATTGCCACTCACTGGTGGACATGAGCAGGAATGAAAATTGACACTCATGTCATTAGAGGCAATAGCACGACATGTTGGCAAAGGAGTTATGACAGCGTCTTGCTTGTCAGTAATGGGTCTCATTTACTTGAAAATTCAACGTCCTTTGTACCTAATTTGCTGGTAACATGTATATTGTATACAGAGCGCAGACCAGATCTTCTCATGTGATGTTATGCAAGGTTCACCGTTAGCCCAACCCGTTTCGGAATTTGATTTCCGTGTAGTTTCATTTGATAATTCGGAGGTCGAGTTCGGTGTAATTTGAGCCGTGATTTTGACGGTCTTAATTTTAACCAGGGAAATTACGTTGTTTCCCCCCGTGTTCCTAGTTGACTAATAGGGCTGCTCCATGCACGGTCATCGGTGGCTGTGCTACTGTGCTGCGGACAGGCCACCGTGCACGGCAGAGTGCACCGCCGCCTCTCCTGCTCCCTGTTCACTGAAACAGGACCCGGGCTACCGCGCCCGGCGCCGGGCCCGATTAAATACCATCGGACAGCGGCCGGCTCCGATTACACGCTGTCGACGATCAGCTGTCGGTGGCTGATGGCAAAAACGCCGACCGACCCTCTCTGCACCGCCACCCGGGCAGATAAACAATCGAGGCCGCGCGCCGCGCACCGCCGCACACCGCCTAATGGGCACCGGCGCGACGGCCGGCCGGCCCCGCCGCGCGCCGCTCTATCATAATATTGGCTCTAGGTGTAAAAAGGCGGTGGCAAAAAATCATACCCGTAATTGTCATGTGGCGGTGAACCGCAGCGCTTAGATGCTTCACTAACTGCGGGCTTTGCCAACCAAGTTTATCGTGTAATGATAGAGGGCGGCGGCTCGATTTGCATTGCCTCACGTCACTGGAGTTGATTCTCTCCCTCCTCTCTTGTCTCTTCTCTCTCTCTCTCTCTCTCTCTCTCTCTCTCTCTCTCTCTCTCTCTCTCTCTCTCTCTCTCTCTCTCTCTCTCTCTCTCTCTCTCTCTCTCTCTCTCTCTCTCTCTCTCTCTCTCTCTCTCTTTCTCTCTCTCCCTCTCTCTCTCCCCTTCTCACTCTCGACCCTCTCTCTTCGATTCAGGACTGAAATTGATAGTGGTTCCTTCTCCCGTAGTTATGTATGGTATCCCACAGTCTCAACACTTTCTCCAGGACCAGAGTAAATCACCTGATAATTATACCTTTAACGATTAACATGTCGAGAATGACTCGCCGTACCGTGCCCGTATGCCATGGGTTATGCTTCCGCTCTGTTGAGTATCTGATGGCTCACCAGGGTAGAAAGGCAGTGAATCTGTCCTCGGCCTGCATACACCTGCATACAATACACCCACAGTGCGTCTCCCCGTGAGCTGATGTGGTCCGCTCAGCAATTAGAGCGCGATCGATCAGAGGGCAGGGCGTGCACGGCTTCATTATGCCGTGCCGCCGACCCACGCCATACGCGCATTGCTTCCGTCCTATAAAAACAACAGCCCAATTGGGCCCGGTAATTGTCGGTAGGAGGCTACAAATTGTGATGAAGCGGCGCCGCTCTGCACTGATCCGCCGGTGGGCCGCGCTGGACCCGCGGTGGCGCAGGTCTCTGGTCCGTTCCCTACTGAACCAAATTCAGCGCTCGACTAAAGATAATTAAAACCTCAAGGTTATGCCTAAATGTGTTTATTAAGAGGCTTGAAAAGGGTGGATGATTTCGTGAAATGCCCACTGTGCATCGACAGATCTACTCGGTTGAGTTAGTCACTGCTTCTGATCTATGACAGGAAGCAGATAACATTTCCCATCCCATTATGGCAATGTCTCTAAAGGTTCTCATAGACGCAGGTTGGCAGCAACACACTGAATAATTACACCATGCTCGATCAGTGCTGGGTGCCATTTTATCACCGTCGTGTAGCTCTCCGTGTTACCACCGACCACCAAAGAGTTGCGGTGACGGTTGGTGTCCGTTCGGCGGCCGGTGGAGGTCCGCGTCGCTCAGTAGCGCTCAGCGCCGCCGCTCCGGTGGCCGGCCGTAACCAGTAGCCGGGGCCGCCAGGTCAGCCAGCGCCGGCCGGCCACCGGTGATCGGTTCCCAGGCCGGGCCGGCGCCGCCGACCCCCAGCCCGCATCGGGTGACAATTATTTTCACATTCATCACCGGCCTAAATAGAGTGGCGGCCGGCCGGCCGGGGAGCGGCCGGTGCACGGCGGAAGGCGGCGCTGACGGCGGACGGACGGCCGCCCCGGCCGCGTCAGGGCGTGATGTCAGGCCGTGATTTCAGCCGGGATATGTGTCAGGGTAATCACTCACCCGGATGATATGTGTAATTTTTATCCCCTTTCATGTACCGTCTATTGTGTGGGGTCGTCAAAGAGAGAACGAGCTGTGATTCTCCGATTTTATAATGAAATCTGGCGGGCCGTAGGTATGTAACGTGGCTCTATGGTGTGTTCTTGATCATTGAAGATGTCTTTTGTTGTAGGTGCCATCTCTCTATGACACTTCTTCCTTAACCGCGAACGTGCGTGTTTGGGTCCTTTTAGAGAGAAGTGAACCGACATATCACCCTGTTGTAAAAGGGTGATGTGACTTTTGGACCGTTTGAAATGTGTGAATCGCCGCTCTCGGCATCACAGCTCTCGGACGATTTCTCGTAGCGCCGCTGCGGTCACCGTTTAGACACCCTGCGCTGCGACATGCACTGCTGAGTGTGATGTGATGCAGGGTGTGCTGCGGTTGTGATGTGCTGTATAATGTGATTTCCTCCAGGGTTTGCCCATTGTGCGCTCTTGGGTGTGATGCCTTCCAGTGTGCTGTGCTGCGGGGCGCAGGATGTTGCCGGTTGTGGTGTCGCAGCGCGTTGTGATGGTTCCAGGAGTTGTGTTGTATGTAGAAGCTGCCGCGCAGTAGTTAACGTTTTAGATTGAGCTGTAATTCGTGAGATGTTCCGCAAGATTGGCTGCTAAGTTGGATGTGCAGTAAGATGGGATGGGCTGCAGGATTGGGTGTAGTGAGCTGTGCCTCGGGCCGTGGCCGCCATGTCAGACTGTTACACCGTGTCAGACTGTTACGGCGGCCGTGTCAGTCAGTCTGTCTGTTACGGCGGCCGTGTCAGACTCTCTGTGTTAGGGCCGCCGACCTGCCGCGGCCTGCTGACCACCGTCACGCCGCTCCACTTGATAACTACCATGAATGATACTGGCAATGGCCGCCGGCCGGATACGTCGGCGCCCGAATGTGCGAACGCCGGCCCGGTTCGCAGCCGCCGCCCGACTGCCGCCCGTTTACGAGCGCCGGCGCGGCGCTATTTTCTCCCCTTCCAATGCGGCGCGCCACGGTTAAGGCGGCGCCACACGTAACGTCACGGCCATTGTGTAACGCTGCGGCGGCGGCGGCGGGCGGGCCCCGGCTACACGGCGCTGGTCGGCGCGGCGCGCGCGCGCCACCACCGCCACCACCACACCGCACCAGTGGTCACTCCACTGCGGTGGCATTAGTGGCCGACTTAATCACACTCAATTCACCACATGATAAATGTCGCACTGTATGTTTCCTGGTTTCATAGCAGTGCATTTTTCTCGCAAAGGGTGCATCCGTATCAAAACCAACAGTTCTATGTAGTGGTAAAAATAAAGCGACAAGGTATGGTAATATCGGAGATGAAAAGTCCAGAAATACGTGAATTTTCAAGTCTACAAACATCAAGCTACATGCCTAATATATGCTTGAAGTTGATGCATCGAAGACGTGGTCTTTTGTAGCCCGAAATGTATTGTCTTACATTTCCTAGGCCCTAGCTAGATGAATTTGAAGCAGTTCAGTAGAAGCGCCTCATATGTAACTACAAATAGTGGCTCATGCATGATGCAAATGTGCTCGCATAGCATAACACTAAACTCAATGGCCGTGTGCCCCTCGATAGTATCGCTGATACGAATTCGGCTTACTTGACCTAGCACCATCTAACTCCTGTCGGGCTGGTTCTATGCGAGGACCGCGAGGCAACTTGTGACCGATCAGCTTGACTCGGCTGACCTGTTGTCTATGCGTCTGTGTGTAAGTCTGAAAGGTAAATCGCCCTGTCGAGCAGCGCTGGGTGTCTGTAGTGACGGCGATCGCCGTCTAACCCGTGTGTCTGTCCGTCTCTCTCTCAGGCACGTGGCGCTGTCGGCCGGCGCCGGCGGCCTCTGTAGCGAGCAGTGCTGGGTGTCTATCTGTCCCCGTCTAACCCGTGTGTCTGTCTGTGTGTCTATAGGCACGTGGCGCTGTCGGCCGGCGCCGGCGGCCTCTGCGGCGAACAGCGCTGGCAGCCGGTGGTGACGGCGCTCCACCGGGCGCTGGCGCTGACTCTCCGGCCGCTCCGGCGGCTGATGGCCGCCTTCCGAGTCGACTCTGAGAACTTTTACGGCGACCTGGGCCGGGTGAAGGTGGCCGCGCGGCGCGACTGTACCGGCCGAGACAGTGACCGGCTGCGACAGCTGGCACATCAGGTCAGTACAGCGGACAGGGCAGTCACCCCACTCCCCCCTTCCCCGTCATCAGGTCAGTACCGCGGTCAGGGCAGTACAGCCTGTCAGGTCAGTACCTCGCCAATCAAGCCAGTATTGCTCCTCCATCAGCCAGGTCCTGTCGCACCAGTTGTGCTCTGCTTTGTGCTCTCCCACACGAACAGTACTATGTTTGTATGGGAACTCTCCTACCGTGCCAGCTGTGTTGGCTGTCGCTTCCTTCGTCCCGTCCCGGTGACCGCCCCCCCCCCCCCTCCCAGGTGTTCCTGCTGGACGGCCAGCGTCCGCCGGTGCTGGAGACCAGCGAGAACCCGGACGCCGAGGACCGCTCCTACGTGTTCCTGCTGTTCGGCTCTGACGAGGGAGACGAGAGCCCGGCGCGCGTGCCGCTCCGTCACCTGGCCGTGGGCCTGCTGGCGCACCAGGTGCTGCTACAGACGGTGGGCGCCATCCTGCTGCACGGATCCCCACACCTGGTGCCCAGGTCAGTGACGATATGCTGAGAGACAGCTATAGTGTTGTGTCGTGAGAGTGTGGTTATGTGTCGATTTGTGTGTTGTTGCTGCCGATCGTACCAAGGCGAAACGAATGCACAAGGAAGTTGAATGGTCGAACTTGTTTACCCTAGGTACGATTGTTTCAGAGTAAGTTTATTCCTGAAATTCTGCCTTCAAAAATCAAATTCAGTGATTCCTTTATGACATGTTTGGTGGAATCGTGATAAATGCCTCTACCATTTGGTTATGGAGCGAGCGAAGCGAGCGGAGTCTTTCCTTAGATTAACGGAAATTTCTCAGTATGAGCGGCCGGCCGGCCGGCCGTGCGGACGCTTTTGCGAGGCTTATATCTCAGCAACCACTTGACCGATTTACATGCGGTAAATTTTGTAGGGTAGATTCATTCCTTCTACCAAGTATTGGACTATCCCCGATGCATGTGGGTGACCCCTTATGCACGTGCCACGTCCAAAACGAAGAAGTGTCATTTTTGTAATTGTTGCAATATATCGGTAACTACTTGGCCGATTGCGCTCAAAGTTGGCATGTAGGTAGGCACCCACTAGGCAATGCATATCCATGTGCCAGAGTTGGGGTGCTGCTGCACGTGAGCACGTGCAGGGGTCGTTTCCAGATCTCGAGAACGGCTCGACCGATTGCGCTCAAATTTGGTACACAGTTAGGGACCGTTTAGTAGGGTGCAGTGCACAAGTCAGTTGGGATGCCCCTTCGAAATTTCGCACGTGCAAGGCTCACCCTCTCGCTCGCTCCGTTAGTCGCCCCAAAAGGCGTTATACTGGTTGTATGTATGCATAGATATCGTCTGCGTTGGATTTTATCTGCGTACGATTTTATTCATGTTCTATCTGGCGATGCTAGCTAAGATTATTTTATATGGTTTTGGACAAGTCGCCGTATATGCAGGAAACGTTCGTATGTTCCAGTCTGGCGAACGTCCTGTCCCCGGTGGGCTCGGCCGGTCAGTCTCCGTGCGGCGGCTCTACTCCCGGCGCGCTGCCCGGCTTCCTGCAGCAGCTGAGCCCCCACCAGGTGACCACTCTGATGGACGCCCTGGAGGGCTCTCAGCGCGCGGCGGTCGCCTTCGACAGCCGGCCGGGCCTCAAGTTCCTGGTGCAGAAGGTGTGTGGAATGGAGCGGGCGGCCAACCTGTACGGCCAGGCGGGCGCCGGCTGGACGCTGCGCGCCGTCACTGCCCTGCACCTGGCCGTGGCGGAGGCGGGCGGCGCGCACCTGACCCAGCTGCGGGCCCTGCTCACCGACTGCTGCCAGCGCTACTGCCAGATCGTGCGGCACGCCGACGGCCCGGAGGTCGACGGCGCCGCCCACCAGCCCGTGTTCTTCCTGCTGGCGCAGGGTGACGACTATCCGGGCGGCAGCGGCGGTCCGCCGGAGCCGCCGCCGCAGCCCGTCCAGGCCGGGTCGCCGCTCGCCGGCCCTCCGAAACCGTTCTGTTTCGCTGACCTGGCTCGGACCCTGGAGTCGGACCCGGCGGCGGGCGATGGGGCCGAGCCTGGCGCCGAGTCGGAGCCGCCGCCGGAGTCTCCCGACTGCTCCGATCACGAGGAGGACGTGCCGACCGACTCTGGCGTGGCCGACTCTGACGACCAGGTGTACAGCGTGGTGACCGACCAGCAGCTCTCCAGCCTCATCGGCCAGTACAAGAGGCGCAAACCGGCGCGCTCGATGCCGCTGGTGGCGGCGGCCGGCCGGAGGAACCCGTTCCTGGCCGGACGGGCGGCCGCCGCGCAGGGGACCTCCGAGCCAGTGCCGCCCGAGATCGAACAGCAGCGCCGCACCAGCCTCATCAAGGTCAGTGCTCTCACTGATATTGGCAGCAGATGTTAACGTTATCAGCTTGGCTTAAACCTGCTTTAAACACAGCTTGACCGCAGCTTCTGTTATTAAACAGAATCGAGTGTTATTGTTACGACCGTGCTATCGTTTTTTTTTTTTACGAACTTGTCCGCGCTCTTCGTCACGCCTATTTGTGTCACCTGTCTAAAAGTGATCCAGTTGAAAGAGCAAGCGGTTGCAACGAGCGAGCGAGTTTCTCTGTGGTTAATGACTCGTTGAGAAAACACGGTATCAGTGGTCCGTTCTGGTTCCGAGACGTTATTCATAACCTTTTATCATGGTAACCGCTCGACCGATCAACATGAGTCGAGCGGTCTGATGAAATAGATCATTTTTTTCCTTCAATCATGAAATCAGCTACTTTGCTTCTTATGTTTAATGGTCTCGGCACTTTCCACGTGTCAATTTACTATCACAGGTATAAAAATAGTATACTGTTTGAAAAAAAAACTCGCAAGGAATGCGTCGATGGCGCTCCAGTAAAATATTGCGGCGGGAAGCCACTCGGCAGTGCATTTTCATGTCTCAGGGCAAGAGAGTCACTGAACTTGTTCGCACTTTATGCCTCACGAATGGAAGGGCCGATTACGGTCAAAGTTGTTACGTCTCTAGAGACCTATTAGAAGGATGATCCGCGAATCGAGGACATATTTAGATCTTTTTGTCTGCTGACCTTGCTTCTACTGTTTGTTTCCTCATTTCTTCTGCTACCCCTGCTTTTTTATTATTTGTTCTATTTCTTCTTCGATCTGACCTAAAATATGACGTTGGAGCTCTCATCATGAATGGTTTACACTTTCCGGTGAGTGTTTCATAATTCATACCGCTTGTCATTACTTTACTTGGCCCTAAGATTGAGCTCGATGGAGCGTATTACCCCCCTTCGGGGAACTGACAACCTACAACAATACACCGTCCACTTGTGCCGCCGAACACAATATTCTATGTAAGCTGAGAAAAAGGAACGAGAAGTTATATTTATTTTTACGATCGCTCTATCCCGTGACTGGACCATCAAATTCGTGACTGAGCACAGTAGATAGGATAAGAATTCCATCCTTTTTGTAATATCGTGAATGTCTGATTATTTTAATAGCTCCGTGCACCTTTGTTCAATGTTGGAAAAATGCGAAGGCGAAAAATGTCTCCTGAAAACATTTTTTCCTGTATGTTTTATCCTAGAAAGGACTGAAAAAGAACCCGATATCTTCCTGTCGGCTGCGGAGATTCTGTTGCTGTTAACTCCTCACACATTCCTCGCCATGGTTCAGATTCCTGGGTGATACTGACAGAAATAAATAATCCCGGCACGCAATACGCGGACCGGTTTAAGCTCTCCGGTATCCGTACGGCGGCCGCTCGTCAGCCGTGTCTTTGTGTGAGACTCTGGCGGCCCGTTCCGGCTGCCGTTACCACTGTCTGCGCCGTACCGTCGGGTGACTGACCCCCTGCACGCGGAGAGCCCGCGGGCACCGGCCCCGCGGCCGCCCCCTGAGTGGCTCTCGGTCGTCTATCGGACAGTGATCAGTCAGTGTGGGTTCGGCTCCTGAGGAACGGTCAGCGGTCGGATCATCAGCTCCGACAGCGGCCGCTCTCTGCCTTCTCTGCCCCCCCCCCCCCCCCGTCCGCTGCCATCGGCCCAAAACTGGTCAGACCGGCCTGTCCGGGTAGGATGGCTCGCAAAATCCGCGCCGTGCCTTCTGCTGCAGCTACTGGTACAGAGACGGCATGGCGGCGCATGGCTTTGTGTGCATGGACTACATGCATAGCGATGTGTAGTTATGTCTGTGCGCACTCAGCGCGCTACACACATACAGATACATCGCCGTTGACAATGCCATGCCACTGGCTGTGTCGTGCCGTCGGCCCGTCTGTCACGCCGGCTCTAATTGAGCCCGCCGCCATCCACAGATCCACGCGTGTCACTGCACAACCGCTGCGGCTCCGCAGACCACAGAAGATGTGCCATAAATCCCACCGGTGTGCTCAGCCTGTGTGCTTGAACCGGCACTGTCTGTATAGCATCGTATGAAAATGAAATATTGGAAATATATTTCAGAGTCAGGAACAGCCTACGGAATGTCGAGGATTGTTTCCAAATGAGACTCCATTTTTGCGTTTCTACTTGTCAGCACTAAGCTGACAAACGACCGATTGTGTAATGCTGTTCCATCTCTACGTGCGTGGAGTCTACCTCAGTGTCTGTGTTCCCTTCGTGTATGCGATTACAGCTGTACTAACTGCACTCCACTTGTTCACAGGACAGCGAGGCGCAGCAGCGCGTATGGACCGAGATGGTTGTCTCGATGCTGGAGCTGGTGGCTCGCCAGTCGGACTCCACGCTGCGCCTCCTGCTGCCGGCCGTGCACCCCAGTGTGCGCACGCTGACCGCCCACGCCGCCGAGCCGGCGCTGCGCCAGGCCCTCGCCGAGTTCTTCCAGCGCGTCGGCACCGCCTACGGGTTCGCCGACGACGACGACGAGTAAAGGCGAGTGGAGACGAGTTGAGGACGCCTCTCAGGTGACCACTCAGATCTCTAACGGTCTGTAACACTATGTACATTCCTACCAGAATATCCGCAATTGCGCTTTACCCCGTTGGATGTAGATGTTTATGAGCAAACAACATTTCCTCGTACCGGTAATGTTTCTGTTTATGAGATGACCTTTTGTCCATGACCGTTAGGAGCTGTTGTGAGTGATTATATACCTAGTCAAGAGACAACAAAACCGTTATTTTACGTAGTCTGCGTCTTTAGTCAGTTACCTCGAATCCAGTGACGTCAGCAGGCTCAACATCCTGGAACTGAATGGTAAAGCCTATCTAAGGACAGTCATATGTGATGACAAAGAAACGTCGCTGAATCAGGGAATGCAGGATGTGAACAGATTGTCAGTAGTCATCAGTCTCTGTGTGAGCTCTGGAAAAGAGCTCTGATGCATCGACAGTAATGAGTAAAGACTCCGCTCGTAGAAAACAGCGAAACTTCTACACTCGTAGAAGACAGCGAAACTTTTACTATTGGACGTCCAGAGCAGACCTGACGCGACGGGCTCGCAGCCTGACTGCATCTTTGTGCAATGTGCTTTGTTGTTGCTCTCAGGGTTGTGCTTGACTCATGAGTCGAGTCAAAAATTTGACTCAACTCTGACTCAAATGAGTCAGATTTGAGTCGAATCGGATAAATTTTTGAGCTGTTGAGTTGAGTCAGAGTTGAGTCGGACAAAAATATTTAGGCGTTGAGTTGAGTCAGAGTTGAGTCAGTAAAATAACTTTTGACATTGAGTTGAGTCAAACATTTAGGAACATGAGTCAGCTGACTCAACTTTCCAGAAACAAGCTTTCCATTCCCCACCCCCGCTTCCCTGACCCTGTTGCCGGACTTTTTCACCCCCCTCCCCCCGCTCAAGAGCTTTTTTTATCAGTCAATTTTGAGTCAACTCACTTGACTCAACAAAAAATTTGAGTCAAGTTTGAGTCGACTCATATTTTCATTGAGCCGCTTGAGTCATGAGTCGAGTCAAGGGAAAAAATCAGCTCCTTGTTTGAGTCAGAGTTGAGTCAGGGCTTTCTGAGGTTGAATGATGAGTCGAGTCGGTAAATTTTTTTGAGTCGAGCACAATCCTGGTTGCTCTTTTGTGTCGCCATTTGATATATTGCTTTCATATTTATTATATGTTTTGCTGAGGGCGATAGATAAGCCCCATGAGCCATTCCGATATGCTTAGTGCTAGTTTGGCACGTTTAGTCGCCACAGTCAAGCCACATCGATTCTCAGGAATTTATAGTTCATTGATTATCTAGTCAGATATATGAATGTTGTATTTTCGCTGAACAAAGTGCATCGATGTGCTAGAGTCTGCATTGAGCGACGTGCATGCATGAAATATTAGCGTCCTATTGCGGTGCAGCTCTTTATTTGCCCATTTGTGTTGTGTGGGTTATGTTGTGCGACTTGTTTCGCAGCTCTGTGTGCAATATGTTGTGCTGTGTGCTATATCCATTATACGGTCGCTGTTTCCCCTAATCTGCAATGACTGTGTTGTTGGCCGTATGTTCCTTGTTCTTTGCCGACTGCGCTGCTGTGTGTTAGGTGTTCTGTTGTGCTATGTCGAAGTCTATCGTTGTATCTCTCGAGGCGATGTGCGGCAGAGTCTCAATGCGAGTGTCTCCCCTGCTGCCTTTTGAGAACCCAGCCGTGCTCTCGCTACCAGCCGGCAGAAGCCATTCCTCCCTTCCCTGTACCACATTCCAGGCACGGTGGTCGCCACTACTGGAGATGCCTATGCCTATCTGCCCTGATGTATTTGTGATATACACCAAAAATATTGTTAATCGATGTTTGATGGGCTGCTATTTTGTCTCTGGAATTATTGAATAAAAAATTACAATGCCGATGCATTTTTCGAGGGTGACGCCACCAAACGTGATTTAATGACCCATCTTATGTAACTCGCATTCGTTTTCTGGCCCTGGACTAACGTTTTCTCATATTCGGAAATCGGAAAACATGCATTGTAAGGTTTTCTGTGAAATACCTGCCAGGAGATATAGAAACACTCGCCCAGAAATGTTCATAATTAATGGTATGGACGTATCAACTGTCAATGGAACAGTTGTTTTAGTGACTTGTGAGAAGTGATACGGGGTGGATTCAACTCAACAGACGTCGGTAAAATGTTCGGTTTATTATGCTCGAACACAAACAGCTCAGCCGCCCAGTAGGCGGGCGTACCAGTCACGTGCTGAATAAATACGACCGTATGAATGCACAGACGCCCACACACCCAACATTCATCTCTACCCGCATGCATGCACAGAAATACACAGACGCATACACGTACACTAACAATCGGCATATTCCCAACTCGATATATACGCAAACACACAACTAACATATTCGCTCGCGGCCAGATCAGCACAGTTGTCCATGCATGTAAGCATTTTTGGACGTACGATTGTCGCCCGCGACCGCTAATAGTTCTTTGGACTGACTGTACAGTAGCGGCAATGTACGTGAGGAACTGAATGCCACGGCCGGCTCACGCTAAATATACAACAACGGCGGCGGCGGCTGTGACCGGCGGCGCGCGCGCCGGGCCGCTGTGCGGTACGGGGTGCGCCGCCGGCCCGGTCGGAGACTGCAGCCGGCGGCGACCGATTACCGCCAGGGCCGGCCGGTCGGCCCTCAGGAACTCTTACCTCAGGAACGGCTCCACTCGCCGCCCCCAACTGAAGCCGAATTGCATCCGTCTGTACCATCACACTACCTCGACTATCTCGGGAAGAACACAATCGCACATAGCCATGAATCAACAGGCACACAGGGACGGCTGTATGTAGTGGGCGGCGGGCCACCCCCCCCCCCCCGCTTCCTTTCGGAAAATCCCGGCTGGTCGGCTCCAGGCACTTCCAGCTCCCCACTGACGCATCGGACTGCTCTTGGTGCACAAAGTCGCCAGGTCAGCTTAGTGAAACATAAGAGCAGTACAAATCTGACGCATCGGTAGGCACTGCACCTTACGCATCAGGCTTCACGACGTAACACCCTGCCTCCGGCGGCTCCTGACGCACCAGGCAGTAAAAATCAGTCCAGCTGTTTCAACGTGAAATACGACCTATGGATGACAGACACTCGACGCTTTGATTTACATCGGCGATGCCAGCTGTCCTCTCGATATCACTCAAAAGCCGTAGGATTAGATTATTTCACATTGGTGGGATTTTACATTCATATGAATACATCATGTGGTGTCATTTAGTTTCCTTTTGCGACTTCTCGGATGACGCGTACAAGCATTACCTACACTCTTTTGATTTTTGATGCTATAACCATTCTAGTGCTAACAATACCACATACGGGCTAAGTCATGGAGAGATAATTTACAGACCACAAGATCAAAACGTCAACAGGCCGATTATTTGATTTCCGGGAGGCGTATTCCCCAATAGTATTACACGAATCGGCCCACCAACTAGCGACATCTCTAGTGCGACGTCATAGCCATCCGACGTGACAATCATGCATTGAGGCCAGATTTGAGTTGAGACTTTTTTCAATTGTATATGGCAATTCAATTGACAGTGTGTCGTCGTAGCCGAGTGGTTAGAGTCTCGGTGTGATGAGCGATAGGTCGATGGATCGATTCCTGCTTTAGCGGTTCTTTTCTAAGAAGTCGGTTTTAGACACGCATTTTTCGGTTTTAGACACGCATTTTTGGCCCCTAGGCCCTAAGTTCGCACGCCAATATCGTACGCCCAATAAATCTATGACAAGTATTCATCTGATTAAGGAATAAGTTGCAAAAGAACTGCAGTTGCAGTCTGTACCTGAAATACCAATTGTGTTACGGTACTGTCGATACTGTCGATCCCCTGGTGGCAGAAATGTTAAAGTTATAGTTAAGGCATAGCTCCTATACGAGGGGGTATCGAAAAGTTCTGATCATCACCATGAATTAGATGTGATAGAAATTTGATTTTTTTACATGACGTTCATTACTCCTTTACAAGTCACCACACACGACCGCAAACTTATTGCATCGTTTCTTGAGCTGCCTCAGGCGGTCATTGTAGAACCATCGCACTGTCCCGTTAATCACTGCTCCACCTCATCAATGACGTCATTTCTGTCCTTAAATCACCGGCCATACTGTGGATTCTTCATCTCCCGTAACAATTAAGAGTCAGTTAATACCCGGTCAGGTGAATTTCTTAGATGCGGTAGGATTTAATGTCCACATCATGTTGTTTCTTCAATCGCAGCTCAGGACGAATGGGCGGGGGCGCTGTCAGTGCGGATAAAGCATCTTTCTTGGGCTTTTTGGCGGCGATTCTGCTTGAGGCCATCTCGCAACTTCTTCCAAAATGTGCAGTAGTGCTTGCTTATCATTATCCGACCATCATCAAGACAGTCGGTAATGACTATCCTAGGCCAGATCCACAACACTGATAGCATTGACCTTCCATATCGGCTTCTGCATCTTCGCCTTAAGAAGGACAGATGTGCCGTGCTTAAACTTCTTGATCATCTTTTTGTCTCTGGATCATACACATAGACCCAGCATTTGTCACAAGTCATCAAATGATCGAAGATTTCTTCAATTTCCTAAAAAGACCTAGCTTTCATTTCGGAAGGCCAAGACACATTTTTCTCTTGAACAAAGTAGACACACGAACTTCTAAGCGGGCTGACTCCTTTATCGGCTATAGTTCTTCGCTGATAATATTTTCAGGCACTGCCAGCATTGAGACCCTTCTGTTGCACAATCATCCGATTGTGCCACACGACGATCTGTAAGGATGAGGTCCTCCACTTCCTTCACAGTCACCACCTTGTCAGTCACTGGTAGTCACTCACTTCTAGACTCCCCTGCAAGGGCCATGCAACCAAGTTGAAAATTATTTCTTCATTTTCGGTAAGTGCATGAGATGGTCTTTCCTCGCCATAAACTAATTTCACGTTCTTGGTGTATTTTCTCAGTGTGATACCGTTTCAAATGCATTAGTAGGATGACGGTTCGGTCCTCAATGGGCCCAATACTCATCTTTTTTACTTCTAAGTCTCCCCTACATAAGATAAAACCACTTCTCAGGATTCTCTTTGCGGGAGCATTGTTCTTAAGAACCAAGTATACTACCAACCAAAAATCATCAAAATCGGTCTATATCTTCTATGTGATGATCAGAACTTTTCGATACCCCCTCGTAGATGACGCCTTCGACGGCTGGAAACTGATAATCTCGTCCCCTGATTACGCTAACAGCTATGCCCAACTTTTTTGTGCATGGTGATTCTTACATGAAAACTATCTAATTGCATGCTAACCAGCGTGCGATTTTTAGCTTAGTTTTCGCTACTTTTAGGTACTTTACCTTGCCAAGTGCCACCTACTTTCAAAAGGTCAGCGCCACCCCTGTCATATCCAGCAGGAGCTGCGTGCTCGGTGCTATCACCCATTGGCAGTGAGAAATATTGATCAATGGTCATCGCCCAGCACCATTTGTCTTTCCATTGGCTACGTTCGCATAGTATGCACTATGCATTAGTGATGTCAATTGTCAATCACAGAAAATCAGAACACCGATACCAAACCAAATTCAAACAAAAACCATTGGAAAATACCGAAACCGAACCAATCGGTTGGACTGCAAATATTTCTCTTAGGTATGCAACATATTCATTTGAAGAATGCTTACCTCTGATTTCTTAGGTGCACGCCGTTGCAAATGTATCCAAAAAAACGCACAATGATAGATAACACGAAAATTGACGTCGCCGAGTGGATTCGAACCACCTACCTCCATATCACCATTCCGATACTCTAACCATTGCGCCACGACGGTCACACGTATGAAGGAGTTTAAATGTCCTTAAATTAAAACTTAGCTTCAATAGACTCCACCAAGGGTGAGGACCGAACGTATGACGCCACGCTGACGTCACTCAAGAGGCACGCTATTGGTCGGGCCGATTCGTGTAATACTATTGGCGAATACGCGTCCCGCTTCCGGGAGTGGGTGCGAGCCGCTGTACCAGTGCGGGTGTCTGACGGGGCGGCGGCGTGCGGTGAGTGGCAGCGGTGGTCGCCGGCGCCCCGCCCACTACCGGCTACTGACGGTGCTCCGACGGCCACGAGTAGGGTCTCCAGACGGACGGGTCGCCGGCGCCGGCCCGGTACCGGGCGTCCAGGCCGTCGGCGCCCATAGCCTGCTGGTGCTGGTGGTGCGCCCAGTCGGCCGGGTAGTGCTGCTCGCCGGCGGGCCGGTACTGGCCGGCGGCCACCCCGCCGGAGCCGTCGCGCTGCTCGCCGCCGTGCGCCGCCAGCTGGCCCTGGTACAGGTGCGGGTACAGCATGAGCGGCGCCGCGCCCAGGTAGGAGGGCGCCGCGGCCGCCGCCGCCGCCGCCTGGTAGCCGCCGTACGCGCCGGCCGCCGAGTACCCGGAACCGGCCGCCGCCGACGACGGGAAGCCGTCGGAGCGGGGTGGAGAGACATCGCCGGCCGCCGGCGCGCCACCCCCCTCCGGCTCGGACTTGAAGCCGGGCGGTGTAAACGAGCCCACCGGCGGCTGGCCGTCGTGCTGCTGCTGCTGCTGCTGCTGCTGTTGTTGTTGCTGCTGTTGCTGCTGTTGCTGCTGCTGAGATGGGGTCGCTTGCTGGGCCGGGTCTGACAGCACTGAAACGATGAAGCAAATTAAGGCTTAGCATGCTAAGTGTAGCTGATTATAGCATTTAGCTTTGTGAAGACTCACGCACGCTTAAACACTTGCACAAGCCATATAGGTACTGAAACGGTGAGCAACACACCTGACAACAACATGAAGGACATGTATCCACACGGGTACGCTTCATTGGCCTTGTGAAGCAGGCATGCGGAGTGCGGACGGCCCGGGCGCTAGAGCAACCGTGTGGGTGCGCGCACCAGTGAGCGCCTGGTTGAGCGGTCATGCGGACACTGGAGGGAGGGGATACTCGAGCCCCTGGCGTGCCGACATCGGCCGCCTGCGCTGTGGCACAGGCTGACCTGACGAGGCCGGCCGCCGACACCTTTAGTGCCGACCCGTTCGCGCAATGCGCTTTACGAAAGCTGAAGCTAAACTGGGGAGAAAGTGTTGCAAAACTTATCCTGCAAATGCCTGAGTTAAATTTGCAAAGAAAATGAAATACCTATTGGTGAGCGGTACGCCGTGCGGACAGAACCGTACTATTATCGTATCTGTAGACCGAGGTCGGTAATTTATGTACATTTTAATTTTTACAGGTCCTGTCAGAGGAGCACCTCTTGATGGGCCGCTGTTACTTTCTCTTCACCAGTTTGAGATGATTTAGTCATTCACGCATGAAAAACATTTATAGGTCGAATAATTTTTCACTGAATCATAGATTTAACCCTTTTGGGTTGTCCGAGCATGTGTCGAGAACTCCGTCCTTTTGAACGAACCGTCACTCGTCAGTAGTCACCGGTAGTATAACACAAAACGTGCTATCATTTTTTACAGTGTAGGCACTAGTTTCAGCTGCTCCTTTCGTCACGGGATATATTACCCGACCGCGCAAACCAACCCAGTGATTTTCGCTGGAAATATTATTCACGCAAGGAACCGTGACTCGCAGCAAAGTAGTTATTACCCTGCCAGCATGTTATTCATATGTCTCGTGACCGGCCTTATACGAGTACCTATGTATATGTCATCAGCCGAATGCGGTGCTGGCGAGGGCGGTCCGCTTTGCAAGGCATTGGGAGGTAACAGTGCGCATATTTGTAGATTCTCCTCGTCATCCTCGCGCAATGTACAATGGTACTTTTTGGTCCTCAGCTTAAATTGACCCGGTGTCGGTCAGTGAGTGCAGCTGTGCCTTTGGCTGATAGCATAGCATCATCAGAGCAACGAGCGGGTCGGGCGCTCAACAGCAGGCCAAACTAAACTTATAAGTACACTTGAAGACGGGCTCAGTGACTGCTCGAGACGGTGACGTATACTTACGGTTTACCTGCCTCAGAATCGCGAGTGCTTGAGAGGAGAGGGGGGGGAAGAGAGAGAGAGAGAGAGAGAGAGAGAGAGAGAGAGAGAGAGAGAGAGAGAGAGAGAGAGAGAGAGAGAGAGAGAGAGAGAGAGAGAGAGAGAGAGAGAGAGAGAGAGAGAGAGAGAGAGAGAGAGAGAGAGAGAGAGAGAGAGAGAACAAGGGGCGAAAGTTAGCCCGATATCCGCGGTAGCACGTGACATGTGTGGGTGTGGGACGGACGGGTGGCCGCGGCTACGCTATACATATGTGGCAACGGTGAGGGCCTGAAATGTGCATGGGCGGCTGTGGTCGTAGACGGCCCCCTGTCAAACTGCGCATAAGGATAGTCCGGTTTTTCTCTCAGCTATTTTTCCCTAATGCTAAGGATCTATTCCTAAGCAGCTGTATAGTAGGCTGTGGGGTCCCGTGTTCCGGTCATTATACCGTCGACCGCTATACGACCAGCAGACGGCCGCCCCGACCACTGCGGGGCCTGTCCGACACAATCAGCGAGCTCGTGCCTACAACCCGATCGGGGGGACCTCCGCCACACTCTGCCGGCCAAACAGTGCTCGGCACGCCATGTCCGTATAGCTGAATAATACATACGAGAGGCAGTTAATCCATAATTCATACTGTCCGCCAGTGTGTGGATGGTCGGAAGACATTAGCGTCGATTATATGTGGAACGGCACTGATCGTCACCACATGGCATCAACCATCATCAATCCAATCCTCAACAGCAATACAAATCCTTCCATTGATTGAAAACTAAAAGTGGACCTAAACCTGCGCCCTAAAGCAGACGTTTTTATGCTCCGTATCTCGCGGTATTTTGTGCCGATCAACGATTTACGTTACATCCGTCTCATGAAGTTTTCGGCCGTTTCTGCCGTTTCAGCTACCCCTTATACAACAAACGGCATCCTCACTCATGTGCCGTGTATGATTGTGGACATAGATGCCCTGCCTTGTCTATATTGAATGTGCAGTAGGCATATACGTGGTCTATGCGACCCTTATGACCCGCTTGACCCGTCTCGTATAGTGCGCAGTAAGCAGTAGGCGCATTGTGGTCTATGTGGTCTGTTGGTCCTGTTCTGGTCTGTCTCGTACATGCACAGTCGACATGTGCGGTCTGCAGATATACCGCCGGCCGTCCTGACTCACCAGCTGGCAGGTGGTGCTCCAGCGCGCCGGAACCCTCCTGTCCGGTCGTCTGGTAGGTGAGCGCCGCTGCCGGCGAGTACCCGGCCCCCTGCAGGGCCGCTGCGCTGCCCGCTAGGCCGCCTGCAACACACAGAGAGCAGCGTGAGAGGGGGAAGGAGGGACGTAGCCGATTCCGGCAACTAACTGAGGAACATGAGTACACAAGTGAAACAGTGATGCAGCATGCGCACTACGTAGTAGATAATTGTGAGCAATATGAGGAAAGAGCACACTCGTGTTATGTATGTATATGACGCAATCTGTGGAGTTCCCCGAGCTGTTTTATTTTTGTATCGTACATAAATGCAGACTAGTGCTTTCAATATGTTGTGGACGTGCGTGTGTTATCGGGTTTCCACAAGTGCAGCGTTTCACAACAGTCTCGGTGAACCACCTGAGCCGGTGTATCCGGCAGTTGCGGTCGTGTGCTGCTATCGTCCGGACTGGCCGGCCGGCAGTGACGCCAGAGGGACAGTCCGGCGGCCCGGGGACGGATATGTTGCACTGCCTGCAGTAGCTGAGGCCAGTGGACCGGGGCGGGGCGACGGTACTGTGGCAGCGGCTGGATTCGGACGGATAATGGGTATACGTAGCGTGCCTACTCGTGCTATTTCACACCAAGTCTCTTACCCACTCATCAGCCCTCCTCCATCCTCCGATTATCCACTCTCCTCCCCCTCTAGCTCACTCTCACTCACCTGGCAGGTACGAGTAGGGCGACGGCGCGTAGCCGCCCCAGTGACCTGTCGACTCCTGCAGCAGTTGACTGGCTTCTGCGAACAACACAAGGAACACGTCGTCACACAAAGGAAGCGCCGCCAGAGCAAACGACGGCCATCGTCCGCGCGCACTGGGAAACACGTCACCAGCCGCCTCGGGACAGACGATAAAATACACCCTGCAGAGAGGAGGGGAATAGGTCGCAACTGCGCGCCGATTTGTCGAACAAACGGCGCTGGTTTGTTGCCAAGGAGCTGCGACTTTCAAGTCTGAGTCGGTGATGGTCGGTGGCAGCTGCCCTGTGGTCGGCAGCTGCAGCTATTCTGCCGCTTTCGAAATGTTCGGAGACCAGCTGCCACCGGTAGCTGGTGCATCATGCACCTCGGCAGTCGCCGCGGGGCGGACACAGCTCGCCACTGGTGACGTGCAAACGGATGGACGCAACATAAACAACGGAAATGGCCAGCCTGGGGGACTCGTGCTCCCGGCCGCTGGCCGCCTGGGGAGGCTCGTGCTCCCCGGTGCCGGCGGCGGGGGAGTCAGAGCTGACCGTGAAGTCAGCTGGCGTCTCAGTCATGTCCGGACCGGAACGGGGATGACGGGGATGGTCGGTTCCTCTGAGCTGACCGGGGGTGGGGTGGGGAGGGGGTATGACCATAGAACAAAGACCCTTGATGGTTGTCTTGTGAGGTCAACTCCATCGGGCCTTTCTTCCGACCCACCAGTGAACAGTGAGCTGGAGCCGCAACAACAACAACCAAAAAGACCCGGGTACTGTCGCTTCTACTCTTTCTTAGCCTTCAGTCTACATTCATCAACGCCGTGTCTCCTCTCACGGGGCCCGTGACACAGAACCTCCTTCTCGCCGCCGTTCGAACGCCGCCGGCGAGGGCGACCGTCTCACGTCCGGCTGACATTATGCAAATGGCGCCGGCCGTGGACGTCGGCGGCGTCCCGGCGCGCCCCCCGGCCCTCTCTAATGGAGATAATTAGACGGATAATGTGTGAGAAATGCCCTGATGAAATCAGAATTGGTTTGTTTAACTGATTTGTTATGGTGATGCGACCGTCTCCGAGCCGTCACTGGCGCCGCCCTGTCGTCCTGTCACCGATTCCGTCACAGCGCGGGTCACAGGTCACAGGGCACAGGTCACAGGTCACATCGCAGGTCACAGGTCACATCGCAGATCACAGGTCACAGTACCGGTCACGGGCCACAAACGTCCGGCACTGATCCACCAAACTGAAACTAAGATACAGATCAGCTCGTCGCCACGCGATCGGTCCTATCTGCCGCTCGTGTGTCATTGACAACACAACCAGCAGGTCAACCCATGACCACATACAAAGTGTAGAAAATTGAACAGCTGCACTAGGTACAGCTCCCCTTCCCCTTCTTCGAGAGAGGCTTGGAGGGCTCCAAGAGCACTGATTGCCCACCCCGGCGCCGCTCCGTCGCCTCTCAACAGCCCTCTGGCCGCGCAGCGCACGTGCGCGTCGGATGTTGATGTTCCCGCTTCCCAGAAGAGCTGCGGTCGAATCACCGCTGAGGTCATGGCGCCCCCCGGCGTCGAATCACTGGCCTCCCGGTGACATGTGCGGAGACCTCCCTGACACAGTTAGACGTTAGTACTCCCGGCAGGGATGGGGACGATCAGTTGTGAGCCAGACACGGGCTGAGAAGGAGCGGCAATCCGTCGTGCTTGTGCTCCAGAGGACTGGGTAATCACTTCAACATCACGAACAGCCAAGAGAGACAGCACCGCGCCGACATGGGACCATGGCGACCATGGACCATGACAGGACCATGGTCACATCTTTTTAAACTCTTCCCACCTCTAACCACATATTTCCAACTCGTCCCTCTCATTATAGTCGCAACATCATCCTCAACTCTGTCCTCGCTGCCAGCCCCACCTTGCCTCAGTTATGTCACGTCACACACAAACGGTGCACCTGAAATAGTCGGCCTTCATCAGACATTCCTAATGCTGATGCATTACAGGAGCATTCCCACACAGTGCACGACTTACGTGCAAAGTGGCGTGCAAGGTGTGGCTCCTCAACTGAGTCATTCACATGATTCGCATAAGCATCCTTTAATTTCAATATTTGGTTTTAAAATTTGCTAATTCCGAAACGTCTTTGACGCTGTGAACGGCATTTTGATTTGTTTGTCTCGACTCTCGAGATAGCATTAAATGGATAAGAGAGGCCGAGTTAAACAGGCAAGAGCTCATGGTTTTTGGTAAGCTTAGCGATTTCAATAAGGCAAAAAAACTTAAATTGATATAAACCTTTTTAAGCGCGTGTGACGTAGATGTTCACTGGACACTTTTCAATATAAGTCGCAGATGACGTTCGCCTTCCAAGTTATTTTTGAGTGTATGACCCAGTGGGTCAATTATTGACCCACTGCTATTTTTCACCGTTCCGATGAGGTTCCACACATCTAGAGCTCCCCGTGTGGGTGGTATGTCGCGCTCGGCAGGTACCCAGTACGGTAGCCAGGCCTCAGTAGCCGGTGCCGAGCGGTTCACCGTTGGAGCGGCCGGCGGCCGGCGTTCCGCGGCGTGGGAGTGTGTGGTGCGTTCAACCCGCCGGCGGCGACGGCGCCGAGCCGCCGCGCCGACCGACAGCACGCCGACACGGCAGATGGCACACTGTATCAGAGACGTGCAACGCCGGAACAGGAGCACGCGGCTGAAATGGACTGGAACGATATGGTGACAGGCTGGACGGAGACATCAGGAGAAATCGTCGACGAGCTGGGAGCATACAGGCACTGGATTTTCGGGTCATTTATGCCTGGGTTCGAGCCCCAGCAATTGACCGTTTAAAAATACTTGAGTGGACAGGGTTATATATGTGTAAATCAACCAGCATAACGCTGTTGACCTGATGTGGTGAACGGCATCAAAGTTCGATGGCTGTTTATTACAACGCTGTCGGCTCTGCTATGGAAGTTCGTTGCCTGAGCCTCAGCCACCCGCCTTCATTGGCGAACAGCGCGGTCTTTGCGCCTCATTTACAAACTGGCACGTAGTCACCTAGTATTTTGTGGAATCTGTTTTGACAGCTCGGCGGCCAGGCAGCGCTGAAGCGCGGCCGACGAGCGCCACCCACCAGTCCGACCGCGCCTGACCGGAAGATACCGCACCTCACTAAACGTCGCCGCCGCCGGTCCACCCACCGTCGCCGCAAAACCGACACGGCCGCCGCGGCGCACCGCTCTGTGGCCGCCGCTGTGACCCGCTCGTTAGCACCGAGTCGGCGGCGGCCGTGGCCGCTGTCCGCACCATAATGAGCGGGTTTAATCGGCACCGCGACTGCCCCGACCCTAATTGAGCCGCCGCCAGGAAGGCGACTGTCATTGCCCGACAATTGATGACATTTGCGGCCCCGACCAGCCAACAGTGCGCTCCCGTGTGCTCGCCGCCTCTTTAGTGCACTCATTTGGAGATCATTAACAGCTGGAAAGGGTGCAGTGGAGGGCTGGGCTGGCGTCCCATATTGGGCTGTTGGGTGGCGGCACAGTGGGGTGATACTGCGAGGGCTGAAGGCTGGACCGCCGTCCCATATCGCTCGTTTGGTGACAGCACGGTTGGGTGATACCGGTGTCTGCGGCAGCCGGATCGCCTGACTGACGGGGCGCCCGCGGCAACGCTCACCGACCGGCGGACGGTCCGCGCCGGCTGTCGGACCATCGAGCTAGTTTGGAATCAATTCGGCCCACAGTGGGCCGACTGAAATTGGGTAATTTCAATAGGACCGCGTGTAATGATGACGCATTGTTGGGCGACGGCCGCCGAGCGGTGATGACAACCAGGCCAGCCGCGCATGAAATGACCACAACCGCCGGTCGGAGCACCCAGACGGTCGCGCGCCGCTGAGCAGTATGTACAGACACAGTGGGGCAGGGTATAGCACAGCGCCGCTGGGCAGTACATACAGACACAATGGGATGGACTGGGTATAGCACAGCGCCGCTGGGCAGTACAGACACAGTGGGGCAGGGTAGTATATGTAGAGCCGCTGGGCAGAATAGACACAGTGGGCCGTACAGACCCAGTGAGCACTGAAGCCTCAGCGAACAAAACAGACCCAGGTCGCGCTGCACCGGTACAGGTGCCCGTACTGTGCGGCGCTGTCGGCTCAACGCCGCTCTCCGACAGTTCGGCGCCGCTCTCATGTCGCTCCAGAGCCGCTCTCTGAAGGCGCCGCTCCCTGACGCCGCTCTCTGACGGTTCGGCGCCGTTCTCTGACGCTCAACGTCGCTCTCATATCGGTCTGTTGCCGCTCTCTGACGGCTCGGGAAAGTGGAGCCGGAGCGTGGCACCCGGCTGCGGTCGTCGGCAAGCAGCGCGGCCGTTTGTTCCGGCTGACGGCCGGCCGCCCATGGCCAGACGGAGCGGTGCGGCACCGGCTCCGAGCCGCACAGACCGCAGATGGCCACCGAAAACAGGCCGACTGCAACCGGCAACAGCTAACTGTGTCTGTCTCTTCAGACTTACGGAACACGTGGCCACGCCGAGCTGGCTCCCTCCGCACTCGCGACAGTCGGCATAGGTGGAGATTCGTTTTAGATTTGAGTGATAGGTATGATTAGAAATGCAGATAGCATTGCTAAGCCAACACGACCGGAACAGAAATAATCGGCCAGCCGCAAGACCATGATGCTTGTTTGCGTATACCTCGAAGACCCAGTTATCATTTCATTGCTCAAAGTCAAAGCGACAAACTGCACCAAACTTGACAAGAAACCTGGAACCGATCATCCATAGCCTTTTAATAACCCAGAACCATGTTGAAAGGCGACAGGCGGCCGCCGCTGCGGTTTGGTTTTCAGTTTCCACCATAACTCCGATAGGCACTGGTTTGGTTTCGGTTTCGCAACCGCCCAAAATTGACATCTCGCGCCGGGCCATTATTAGTGGCGGGCGGCCGCAGTGTCGCGTGCCGCCGACCGGCACAGCTGCATATTTCACGTGTCGGACACCACAAACGAGCCTTCAGGTATACGGAGCGGAGCGTGCTGCCACCACTGGGGACGAGGACACTGACGGAACGGTACGGGGACGGCCCGGCGCACAGTGGGACTACGGGCCGACAACACGAGCCGCACAGTGGGACAACAAATCGACAACATTGGCTGCACAGTGGGACAACGGATTGACAACACGAGCCACACAGTGCTGACTGATCACCGGTGGCTCAGCCTAAACCCCAGAGCACAGTGGACCTCCCAATGTACCATCATTAGGCTCATGACCCTGCAACCCCGGCGCTGATTGCAGGTACACAACTGACACCCGGCGACCGGAACGGTGCGCGGCGTCCCGCCTCTTTCCGCACCAACCCGGGTGTTTATTTTTAGCGGTCGCTAATTTTGGCACAATTAGCAGGCGTGAAGTGCGGCGCGGTCGGTCGGCGGCCGGCCGCGCCGGTTGCAGCGCCGTTCCGCCGAGTGCTCACACGTTGCGCGGTGAGTGCACGCCGCCGCGCCGCCGCTATTTGCCGGTGATACAGTGGGCGCCGGACCGGCGCGGCGGCACACAGGAGCCGCTGTGAGCGCTGAACAGCTACAGGCCGACTGTATGTCCGCTGGCTGCACACCGCCGCGCCGATGGGGCCTGTTGAAAGCGGCTGAACCCGATATAATGCTCGATAACAACAGGTGCAATACCAGCAGCATAATACCTACAAATGCAGGTCTGTTGAATGCGTCTTTCAGCACTCTGTTTTGACAGATCCATCAGATCAACCAAACTGAGCAGGGGTTCCCCACAGAACTTCCTCGCTCAGCGTTTCTAATCGGATTTCAGCTCCACCTCTAATCATAAGCGCACTCCTAAATGTGTGCTAGAGCTTGGTCGACTACCAGTCCGCTTCCGGCTTCCGTTTTCCAAAATAAGGTGCAGACGCGTGCCTTCTAAACTTCCATTCGGCAAGCGGGCAAGAAAGGATATAATCATATCATCAGGACATCGTGAATGTTCGTTACATAAGCAAAGAAACAAATAAGTATGTTAGACAGAAATATTTGCATGCTATAAAAAGTGCAGCATCCGCACCCTCCCATATAATTAGCAACGCAGAACATCAAAGAAACTGAAACACCCTTAGACGTTTGGAACTGGAACGTCAACAACGTCACGACACCGTCAATTAACGTCACACCACCGTCAGTTAACGTCACAACACCGTTACATCACCGTCACACCAACGTAAGCTAATCAAGCGGTACACCGTCGTGGTTGCAATAGAAGGACGGTTGGGCTGGGTGTTAGAAAGTGTCGGTTGCAGACCCCATGTCTTCCGGGCAAATGGCAGGCGCAAACCCATTTCAGTGCGATTTGATTGGTGATTGACGTGACCTTGATGCTGATCCAGGGAGGACGGTTAGCGCTGTTAGATTGACCCGGCGGGCATATTATTCGATAGTAACCATGGGGGCAGTCCGCACCCTTTGACGTTGACCCACAGCGGGCCATGCCGAGGCTGACCGCATGGCCGTGCTATGGGACTGAACCGGCGCGCTTGCGAAACTAGCCCGGTGCAGTGGGCAAGGCTGTCAGACTGACCCGGAGCGCTATACACACTGTGCAGTGTAAACTGATTACTGACCCATCGCGCTGTGCTGTGCTGTGAGAATAACTGTGAACTGTGCTGTGCTGTAGGACTGACCCTGTAAACTGTACTGTACTCAGAGACTGATCCTGTGAACTGTGCTGTGCTGAGAGACTGACCCTGTGCTGTACTGCACTGTGCTGTAGGACTGACCTGGTGTGGCGGCCGGCGCGCCGTGCACCTTGAACGGCAGCCCGTCTGACTTGCGGCGGTAGTGCTCCAGGTCCCTGAGGTGGTCCGAGAACCGTGTGTCCAGGAACGGCCGCTGCCCGATGCCGTAGGCCCGGTACTGGTGCTGTCCTGCTGGTCACACGCCGGCATACAGGTCAGATAGCTCTGACACACAGGTTAGATAGCTCAGACAGACAGGTCAGATAGCTCTGACAAAGGTTAGAGAGCTCCGACAGACAGGTCAGAAAGATCCAACAGTCGACACACAGTTCAGTTTTGACACACAGGTCAACGGTCAGACAGTTACGGCATAGCCGTGCAGAGGTCGGATAATTCTGACGGTCAAAAGTTGCTCCAACAGACAGGTCCGATGGCTCCGACAAACGCCGTCATGCAGGTTATATAACTTCCACACATAGTCCTCAGCTCCGACACACAGTCCTGACAGCAGCGTCACAACTCCATCACACAATTCTAACCAAATCCGACACCTAAGGATGACAACCCTGACAAACAGGTCAGACAACTCCGTCACACAGGCTAAATATGTAGCCCCGACAAACAGACCATGTAATTCCCACTCATAAGTCATAATAGTATAAATCGCATAAGTCATAAATATAATTACGACACATCCAAGAAGTCAGACGGTTGTACGACTCCGACACACCAGTCAGGTAACTCCGACGCACAGGTCATTGACGGCGTTACAAATAAAGACGTGCGGATCCGATGACAGGTAACCCCCGACCTAAAGCCCTATCGGCCCAGACACGACACTCTCGACACTGACACAATGAGTAACACCAGGGGTGGATTAAATTTATATTCCTCGTCTTAAGACACTAGCGGAGCCTAAACAGAACACTAGCCCAGACTCCGTAGTCCGAACAATTACCGTTCGGACAAGCGTTCTTAACCCTCGCATGTGTAGGGGGGGGGGGGGTCGGATGGACCCCCCCCCATGGTTTTTCGCGAATAACTCGCGTAAAAAGCGGCCGATCGCGACGAAATTTTCAGTACCCTCGCATTGATCAATTTTACACCTACCCTGAAAATTTCATGACCCTGACCCAAATGACCTTTGACCTGTGACCTCTTTTCCGAGACCATGTTTGGCCGGAATCGCGATTTCGCGTATGTCGGCTCGCCTTAGCCGAGTGTTTGCAAGCTTTTCGTGGTTTCAAACGTTCAAACATGTGATTTGATGTTACTCCCGTGTGTGTCAAGGTCACCTGAAGGTCAGGTCAGGTCATTGACCTTTGGTGACCTCGGGTGACCTCGGGTCACCTTTTCGAGTTTTACATGTTTCTAGGCTAGTTTTTGGAGCTGAATTCGAATTTAGCAACCATTTGAACATTTACGAAGTAGTTTTGGTGACTTCGTAACATGTTACGAAGCTGTCAGAGGCGGTTGACACGTACTACGAATACCCGTCACGACGCCTACTGGTTGACCTGACCTGACCTGACCCGACCTGGTCTAAATGCTTCAAGACATCATCTGTGATCAAAACTAACACGATATTCGTGATCAGCACCCCGAAAAACCCCTTAGCAGCCACACTTTACGACTTTCTAACAGGTCCCGATTTTCCCGACTTTGGGTCATTGACCTGACCTGGAAGGTCAACCAATGACCTAGGACCTTAAAATTGGGTATCATCGGCTTCCTCTCGTCACGGGCAACACGCTCGTTTTTTCCGCGAAGCTCTAGCTCGATCAGGGGCCAAACGGCAAGGGGGGGGGTCCAACCGACCCCCCCCCCCCTACACATTAGAAGCTGGCAAACGCCGCACACATGCGAGGGTTAAATTGGTCGTGTGGTGTATTTCATTTGCCGGCCATTCCCAGTTCTCTGCGGCGGTGTTCCGATGGGGGGTTCCACAGGGCTGGTGACGGTGGCCGCTCACCGCTCGCTCGGGGCTGCAGGACGGCTCAGTAGCCGGCTGGACGGCCCCTGCTGCTGCCATTTTTGGGACTGTCCGTCTAACGAGGCTACCGGCTGGTTTTGCACAAAGACACGGCCAGCCAGCCAGTACCTAAGCCGGCTGGCCGCCGAGAAAAGCCGTGCTAAAACCTGTCCGTCACGAGAAAAAAAGCTCATCAGACCAGGGAAGCTTTTCCAGGAATGATATGGCCAATGCCCGCTCCGGCAAAGGAGGCGCCCCCGAACTTTTTTTCGGAGCGAGATGCTGCCTCGGTCGGTTGTTTTGTCACCTGTTTTCTCCGATGAGGCTGACGTATTGCAACACGCATTTTTGTAGAAAGTTGAGCTTGCTAAGTCTAGAACAATAGTGGTTATGATTTCAACACAATTAGGCGTGCTCAACAAACAATGCAGAAGTTATTTGGAATGACAAAGCCGAGTACTTTCATACCTTTTGAACTTATTCCTACCGGGCAGGTGAGTCTGATTGCGTGCCTATCATGCTATGCATGCCAACACATTTTATGACAATGCCATTATGCCGTTTACCCGCATTTCACCTGTCTTTTTATCTACCTTGATGTAAACTGACAGTGCCTGAAAGTTCGCTTGGTATGTAGGAGCTCAATGCATATTGTAGCATGTCAAACCGTGCATAATCATATAACAGTGTTCCTTTTTCAGTCTGCATAATCTAATACTTGGCATTTGGAGAAGCGAAATGATAACAATAACATATTTTGCCCGCAAATGGGGGCGAAACGGCCTGTTGGTGATAAATTAAATAAATAAATGACACTTTTTCTGTCCTTTCCTGACGTAACTACTGACTTCAAGGAACCAATCACTTGGTCGTCATTATTGCCGATAATTCCAGCTTCCACCTGGCGATGGGGACCAGGGTGGTGGTCACTCTGACCATACCGTCTGAATTAGCAGCCCCTTCTGTCTCCCCTCTCACTCCTTCCGACCTTCAGTCCTGCTGCACCGCGCCGAGTGGCCAGACCAGTCAGCCGGTGTTCCCGGCGCGGCCCTATGAGCCTGCCTCCCCTGTCTGCCCGGTGAGCCGCCGTTCTAGCCTCGGCTGACGTCCGTACCGACCCGTCCCGCGTTCCGTCCCGTACAGCCCCGCTCACCACCGCGCCGCTCCGCTCCGCACGCCACGACGCCAGTTCCAGAAACACTAGCGCGGAAAATACAACCTCTTGCTCACTGCAAATGATTCACTTTTGCAACTTGGCTGCAATTTCCGGAATGTATAAGCCACACGTGGTCCGTCCGGTGCTGGCGCCCCTTTCATGATTGATGGTCGGGACGGCCGGCCCCCTGCCGCGCGGCCCGGAGCGATGGCCTGTTCCGGTCGGTGGCCCACGGCCCGGGGGAGTCGGCCCACGGCCCGGGGCGGTCGGATGGCCCATGCGGCCGCGGGCAGTCGGCTGGCCCACGGCCGGAGGTAGTCGGATGGCCCACCGCCGGAGGTAGCGCGGCGCCCGCTGCAGTTCCCCGTTCGGCGTCAGCTGGTCGCCGTCCGACCAGCGCAGCCCACAGCACACACGGTGAAACGGCGAGAGCGGACGGCCGGCCCGGGCGTAAAAACGGCACACGCTCCGGGAACAGAGCTGGGCCGGAGTCCGGGCCGGAGTCCGGGCCGGAGTCCGGGCCGGAGTCCGGGCCGGAATTATACCCCCGCGCCGCCGCAGACCGGCGGGCAGGGGAGGGGGCACGGCCGCCGATCGCGGCGCTTCCATTCACCTGCCGCATTTTCAGTCTTCGGAGGTGCGAGCGAGCAAAAATGGAACGATGTGCGAAAATATACAATCGAAATATCCTATAAAATAAAATCATCTAGAAATGAGTGTTTCTTGCAATTGCAATACATGACGTTGGCTGTCACCGGTCGCTCTCGACTCACAAGGTCATGAACTCATTACAGGTGTCACTCAGAAAGAATTGACGGGCTTCCCTGGCCGGCTGGTCCGTTGGTTATGGTACAGACCCGGTGCATGAAGTCGCGGGGCAGGCAATGCGAGTGTCGTGTTGGTCATACTCCTATAGCAGGCGATATAAAGAATGCGACGTAGCTCTAAACGGATTCATTATTGAAGGATATTATGGGAATGAGACCGCCTTTGGGGTTTGGATTATTGAATGTTTGTGTGCCCTCTCAAAAGAAAAGCTCCCAGCTCCCTGAAACAGTAAACCCGAAAGAGTTATGGTTGGTGCAGCGGAGACCTGTGAGCGGTTTCGGCGGCGCCTGCTAAGCGGAGGGCAGTCCGGTGGCGGTGGTCCCACTGGGACCGTTTGTTTGGACAGCAGGACGTCTCACTGCCGTGAACGAGCCCACAGGTTATCCAGTGAGCGGGGCCGCCGCTGCCGCCCTCAATATTTACACGTGCAATAAGGGGCCGTGGGAGCGGCAGATGAAGCCGGCGCCGGTTTGTTTGGAGCGGTGATAATATTAGGGCGGCACCGGCACAGGGCTACCGAGAGGAGCCGGGCGGCGTCAACCCTTTGCGACGACCGGCCAAACTACTTGCCAAACAATGCGCCGACCGACAGTTAGCGTGCATCAATTTTCACAGAGCTGCACTGGCGCCGCCATCGTGCAGCTAATTGTGGACGGCTCCTGCAGTTGATGAGTTTTTAACACGGCCTTTAATTGCAGTTTCATATGAATGTGGGTGTATTAGCGGCGCGATAAAGACCGGAGCCGCGCGCATGGCCGACGGTGAGCGAAATTTGCGCCATAACTTTGTCAGAAGAATGCCGCGCATCGGCGAGCACGGCCGCCTAGCTGTGCATTCACAGATAGCGCTCGTAAAACCAGCGCCGGCTGTGTCTGCTACAGCGCCCAACTCTGACACGGTCTGACGCTTTCCCCATGGTTCACGAGCTCAGCCGCTCACCGGCTCACGAGCTCAGCGGAACACTGAGCTCACCGGAACCATGAGATCACAGGCACACGAGCTCAACGCTCACTGAGCTCACCGGCACACGAGCTCACCAGCTCGCCGGCCCACCGGCGCACGGCACGCCTCTGCTCACCGGCACACGAACTCTTGCCGCTCGTGACTCTGAGTCAGGACAAGTTTTTAGTTTTTTTGTACCACTCGTCGGTACCATCTGGCGGAAAATAGGGTATAATGAGTCGTCCGGCGGTGGCGCGCGCTGCTTTTTGTGCCGCTGCTGTCGGCTCGGCTCGG